TGGATAAAATACAGGGTGATAAATATGCCATCCAACAACACATCCTTATAGCCACAGCAATGGTTATGGACAGGGAAGGGGGCGCTAAGAGTTTAGTTAAACTTGGTTAAAGACGATTAACTAAAACACTAAATCAGCCCCCAAAATCCAGCCCCTACCTAGCAGGTTTGTCCGGTAAGTTTATTACATGACCCAACCACGGCCTGTTACAATACGTAATCTACCTACATAGCAAGCACGCACTTACTCACCTCGAGCTGGGTATCTGTTGGGATGGATTCACTTCAAAGTATGTATTAGTTATTCCCCTCGACAATGTCGAAATAAAACAAGAAAGATACATCTATCGGATTTCTATCTTAAGAAATAGAATAAAAAAGCTGCCGAGATAAACTTGAATATCAACAGTGCGGTATGGTAATAGTCGTAATACGTACCAGTACGGGAGTACATCCATAATTCCGCCCTGTCACCTGACATCATTGCCCAAGGAGGAAAAACGGCTAAACAATCGCCAGCAACTTATTGAGTGGTAGCATTTAAACCAGGCCAGGCATTTGACAGTTCGACAGCAAGGAAATCGAACGAAGGAGCTGATCGGGAAAGAACTTTTTTTTTTTTTAATCTCGAAAACATAGTTAGCCTTTCTCCCCTCCCTTATTGGTTTAAATAATATTTTTTTAAGCATTTTAGAGTGACCAGGAGATCGCGCCGTTGGATGGTGTAGTTCTCCACCCCTATCAGTTACTATATTTTACCATTACTCCCCCTATCAGGAATATACCAACGCAGAAGATAAAGGAAGTGGAAGAATTCGGGCAGTTTAATCACTGAACGTGCTGCTAATCCCATATTATATACCTGCACCTGGGAAAAGTTTGCTACTCAGGTGAATCCGCAAACGCAAAATCCAGCATTTCGCATATTTCCCATTTCAATTCTCAGAAAGAGACGAACAAAAAGCTAGGAAAAAAATATGAATAACGAATCTCAAACACAGTCATCGACATCGACCTTTGTAGTCGAACACCTGGACCCAGAACTGGGCGCCTGGTCCGCTCTGGAATATGGCTGCATTGCTCGAGAGTCCAGCGCCGCTGGCGCAAGATTTCTCCTGACATCGGTACCGGAGTCATTAAAGATGCCCGATGAGCTTGCTACGCTAAGCAGCTTAGAGGTGGAGCATAGGGGGGTCGAAGACATTTTTGCAGATAGGAAGGAGAAAGTATGCCTACTGGATCCGTCAGCGAAGACGGAGCTGTGTCCACAGGATGGGGATGAGTTTGAGGTTTTCTTGTTTGGTGGGATACTTGGTACGGTTGAACTACGATGACTAGTATGGTGATGGTGAATATATTATGAAGGAACTTGAAAGCATGTGGAAATATGCATCAGTCTCGACATATTATGTATCACTTTGATGAAGAATAAAAACAGAAGACGAGACGAAACTAATTGATTTTTATTCTTTCGTGTTCAGGTGATGATCCCCCCCGAGGTACGTGTTTCTGCATACCAAAAATATAGCGCCCCCTGAATTCAATATGTATGTACACCACAGTCGGGACTGATGAATACTGATTCCTACCCGCCAGACCGCACATCGGAGCTACGTCAGAAAGGTTATGCGGGTCGCAGATTAGGGCCCAAACAAATGACGACTGACACCGCAGTCAGAGTGACCAGAATAGTAACGCAAGGCAAAGGTGAGCATTGCGAGCAATGCGAGGTGTTAAGTTCATAGTTCCGAAAATTCCTACTAACCAGAACCCCTACCTCTCCGAATAGTGCCATTGGAGGATATTCCCTATGTGGACTTCCCGGAGCTACGTCTTAATGAGCACGAAAGTACTGAGATGCCATTTCGATATGTGAAGGGTGAAGATGGAAAGCCGATTATGCCTGAGGTTAGTTGGAGCTGTTCGAGCTTTTGACCCTTTTGAATCCTTTCCGATTTCGTACAGTAAATACTGACAATGTTTGATAGGGGATGGTTGAGCTGATCAAAAGCGACTCGGATAAGGGCCTGGACGATCTTCTTTAGGGAGTAATGAATAGAGAGGATTTTACCGATAGAGAAAAATATGAATTTTCCAGACCAAGTCATGAGAAAGCCGTCTTGCCAAGGCTTCCTTTCCCGATGTGACTTAGCGTGGCTTGACCGGGCAGAGGCTGTGGATCACGTGATAATCGTAATTTACAGATAAGACAGATAACTATCAACTATGCAACCCTCTCTAGTTATCAACAATCGTCTTTGACCCCTTTTCCCTTCTCTCATTATATAAATTGTTTAGACCACTATCATTTCTCTCGTTCACTCTGCTTTTAAACAGTTCATGTCTTATTAAATAACTCTGTTCTCTAAATCCTATCCGCTCGACATCCCGAAACTACTCACGACCGTGATCTGTCTCCGATTTCCAATCCGCCGTGCTCCGCCTGGCTCATCCGGACAGTCTCCCAGGACCTCAAATCCCTTCACACATGAGGTTTTAATGTGTACTAAGTGAGGGCGGTGTGGAATTTCCCCCCTCGTTTGGGACGACCCCTCGTTGCGGTCAAACCACCATGGGTTTCTCTGAAACTCGAGCCTACTCGGCATGGGGCGCCTGGTCGACATGGCTCACAATCTGTCTAGCGCTGGCAAACTTACTCCCTGTCACTGCGAAGTCTGCAGCAGATTATTTTGTAGATTCACTGCCGGGCCAACCTGAAGGCCCGCTGGTGAAAATGCATGCTGGGTGAGTACCATATTCACGTAATAAGGGGAGCTGTTAGGAAATCCATTCTAATTAAAATATCTTATATCTATAGGCACATCGAAATCAACCCCGAAACTAGTGGAAACTTCTTCTTCTGGCATTTTGCCAACAGTCACATTGCCGATAAACCACGGACCATAGTATGGTTGAACGGGGGACCTGGCTGCAGTTCAGAGGACGGCGCGCTCATGGAAATTGGACCATACAGGGTTACAGATGATCATATGCTAAATCGTACGGACGGCTCTTGGGACGAATTTGCCAATTTACTGTTTGTGGATCAGCCGGTGGGCACTGGCTTTAGCTATGTCAGCACAGGGGCCTACGTCAGTGAGCTCGATGAGATGACCTCACAGTTCGTAACGTTTATGGAGAAATGGTTTGAGCTGTTCCCACATTATGAAAAAGATGATGTAAGACGGTGATTTTTTTGCCCCCTACCCCTTGTTTAAAGACGATGTCAAACATTTTTTTTTGCTAATGGCAACTCGTTTTAGCTTTATTTTGCTGGAGAATCGTATGCGGGGCAATACATACCGTATATCGCACGTGCAATTCTCGATCGGAATAAGAAGGAATCAGTGCAAGCACAAAATCGACAGTGGAATCTTAAAGGCCTCCTCATTGGCAATGGCTGGATATCCCCTCGGCACCAATATCTGTCTTACCTGCCCTACGCTTATCGGGAAGGAATAATCCAGGGTGGGACTGACGCATCACTCCGCGTCGAGGCGACAATATCGAAATGCATGAAGAAATTGAACGTCGAAGACACCACTGGGACTATACATATTGCCGACTGCGAAGACATCCTCCAGACGATTGTCGATGAAACACATAAAGGAAACCGTTGCATCAACATGTATGATATCCGTCTTACAGATGCATACAGCGCATGTGGTATGAATTGGCCTCCAGACTTGAAGAATATAGAGCCATACCTCCGGTATAAGAATGTCACAGAAGCGTTACATATCAACAGTGACAAACAAACTGGCTGGACTGAATGTTCGGGTGCAGTAGGTGGCAACTTCAGGGCCCTGAAATCTAAGCCATCCGTCGAGCTACTTCCGAGGCTCCTCGAAGAGGGCCTTCCCATTCTTCTATTCAGCGGCCAAAAGGACCTAATATGCAATCACATGGGCACCGAAGACATGATCAAAGACATGAAATGGTCTGGCGGGACAGGATTCGAACTCTCCCCGGGCGTCTGGGCCCCACGACAAGATTGGACCTTCGAAGGCGACTCGGCAGGCTTCTATCAACAGGCACGAAACCTGACATACGTCCTATTCTACAACGCCAGCCACATGGTACCCTTCGACTACCCACGGCGCACCCGCGACATGCTCGATAAATTCATAGGCGTCGATATCACAGACATCGGCGGCAATCCTGCCGATTCTCGAATCGGCGGCGAAAAGGGCCCCACCACCTCCGTCGGCGGCCATCCAAACAGCACCACCGCCGCTGAGCGCGAGAAGGAGAAGATGAAGTCCGCTGCGTGGAAGGCATATTACAAATCCGGCGAGGTGGCGCTTATCGTCGTCGCCATCGCCGCTATCATATGGGGCGTTTTCATCTGGCGGTCGCGCCGCCAGAAGCTCCGGAACTCAAGCCATGAGTACCGTGGCATATACCCGATGCTGGGATCGAGTAGCTCGGGATCCCTGCCCAGGTTTTCAAATAAACGGGGTAGAAGTGCGGATGATGTTGAGGCGGCGGATTTCGACGAGACGGAGCTGGATGAGCGGCTGAGTCGCGCTGTGTCGTCGAGATCGAGTAGAGAGCATGAGCCTTATGCTATTGGGGAGGAGGACGGGAGTGATCGGGAGGGTGAGGGGTCTGATGAACGGAGAGGCCTCGTTGATAAATCGTGAAGGAACGGGGCAGGGGCAAGAGGATGGGCGGGGTTGACCTGGAACACAGTAAACTACTGGCCATGTAACCCTTGAAAGTCACTTCTCTCAGTCTACTCCGAATATCCCAGAACGTCCTCACATCTATCTGGCCAGCCGAGCCAACAACCGAAAGGTTCTTATTCCTTAGAATACCACCCTCCTATCTACCTACCTACCTACCTATCCAACTGGCGCCTTTTGTCCCTATACTTCTTCCCCTTCAACCTTCAACTTCCTATCCATTTTATTCTACGCACTACCCCCTTCTTATCATCTACCAAAGATCATCATATTATATAATATATTCATGACCTTTTTGTTCACTTGATTTTTCTTTCTTTTCTTTTCTTTTCTTTTCTTTTTTGGGTTGCTAGGCTTATTATTACATGCAGGGTGTTCGGGAACCTTTTGTTAGAGCTCATCTTATATTTTGCTATGCATTCAGTTTGTGATTTCCACCATTTATAACGTCGTATTTTGGCGCTCTGTTTTTTTACTGGATACATACCTAGGCATATATCTTGATTCCACCTCGATATTATCTTCATGTCTTGTCTTGCTGCTATGCTTTTTTCCTAGCTCTGTGTCATTCTCGTACGAAGCAAGGTGTTGTTGTGCAGGGATATCTAGCTATTTCTTTAAGGTTTCTTGAATATTTCTGATGCATCGATTCATTTGAAAGAGATTTATTACGTGCGAAGTTCATCAGAATGCATAACATGCCTGGATGTAGAGCATGTGGGATTGATACAAATTCCCCCTTCTATCTAATTTGCCAATCGGGGGGAGCGGTGGAATGTGGAAACGTTTCCTAATCAGACATTAAAAAACAACATAGATTATAAGGATATATATAATCAATCAACGAATCCAAATCGCCCAGGACACATTTTTATGATCTATATAAGAACATAAAAAGTTATGCCCCAACTGATGCAAAATCCAATGGTGATCAAAACTCAGACCTGAAAATGTCAAAGGAGAGAGAGATGAACATAACAAAATACATATGCATGCATTAGTTATAGTCTATTGATCATCGTCATCATCATCTCTCCAACCTCCAAACCTTTACACAGCCATCATCACCCGTACTTATTAGCACCTCCTCCTCCTCCCCTTCCTTTCGCCCCCGATCAGCCCGCAGCGCCCAGCAAATATGATTAACCTCGTAAAGACCGTGTGCAGCATCGATCATAGCGAGGACATGCCATTCTGTTCGCGGGTTAGTTGCGTGTTCTGGTTGTGACTGTGCTTCTTGTCCCTTTGCCTGCGTAATATCATCATCATTCTTCTCTATATTATCTGCTGGCGACGAGGGGGTATCCATATCTGCATTCGCATCTGTGGCTGTAGATTCCCCCGCGGCCTTCTCCACATTCACAAATCGCTCCTGGTATACTACGATCCTCCCATCGGCGCCTGTCGACGCGATCAGCCCGCTCCGCTTGCTCCATGCAACGGAGTAGACGGATAGATCGTGCCGCGATGGTAACTGCGACTGCTCAAGCCACTTTTCGTCAGTATCGGCGGGGCGGATTATGCTGGGCATTGATGAGGGGCCGGTGTTTTGGCCGGTTGTAGGAGGGCGAGTTTGCTTATCCCATATGCGAATCGTGCGGTCGTCGGAGCAGGAGACTAGCCGGGGACCGGCAAGTGTACGCCGTTCAATCCATTGTTTCCGGCGCGTTTCTGTTATATCGGCGTCTTCTTCTCTTCCTCCATCTTCACTATCACCACTTGCAGAAACAGGAACAGTACACCCCGCCTCACCAGACTCCCACTCGACACACCACACCGTACCCTCATGGCCCCGTAGACACGCCACCTGGCCCCAATCATCAATATCCTCCCTCCACAACCGGACCGTATCATCATAACTCGCACTCGCCAAACACTCCTCAGTCGGATGCCAGCTTACCCACTTCACATCGCCCGTATGCTCCTGCATAACCGCGACGGTCTCAAAGTTATTATCGCCATCGTCCAGATCCTCCCAGATCCAGATAGACTTGTCGCGCGAGCAGGTAGCCAGCAGGGCGCCGGCGGGGGACCAGGAGAGGGATTTCACCTCGCTGTCGTGCCCGTCTAGAAGGACGGCGAAGCGCCATTCCTCGTCGTCCTCTTCTTCGTTGTTGGAGTGGGCGTCGGCGTCGGCGTCGGCGTAGGCGTTGCTGTCATTGCTTCCGGCTCCGGCACCAGCCTCCACCACAGCCATCCGATCATCATCACCTCCACGCCCGTATCCATCCCACCGCCTCCATACGCCGACTGTCGCGTCAAAACTCCCCGTCGCCAACACGCTCTCGCCTTTTACGAGAGGTTTCCATGCACAGCTGCGCACGCTGCGCTTGTGGCCGCCAGATATCGTCGAGAGTAAGGTGAAGTTCTGCAGTGAGTAGATGCGGACGGTTTTGTCGGCACTGCAGGTTGCGACGAAAGGGAGGCGCGGGTGCGGGGCTGTGAGCCAGGTCCGTTCGAGAGAGGGCGGGGTGAGAGGGGAGAGGAGGGTTATAGCTGGAGATGGGATCGTAGGCATTTTTGAAGGGTGTCTGAGGTGGTGGTGGAGAGTGGAGGGGGAAACAGGAAGCGAGGGGGAGGGGGGGGTGGGAGAGGCAGGACGGACTGTCAGGACGGAGGTGTTGAAATCGTCCCTGTTGCGGCTGTTCCTCTGAGTTATAGAATTATATTGAGTTAGGCCATACGGCTAGCCTGTGTTTTAGAATATTAATACGTATATAAAACCACGCAGGTACATATTATCCTGACAAGAACCCTTCGCAAAATCACCTCCCCTCCCTCTCCCCCGCCTGCCCCAGTAATACCGAATTCCCAAGATAAAGAGGAGAAAGCAAAGGTAGTTGAACTCACCTGCCCGTATAAACAGAGTAATTTAATTCGAAGTCCACAATTCCCACAAACATCCGCAATTATTAAAATGGACGACAAACCAAACGTAAATTGCAAAAAAAAAAAAAAAAAAGTGATGTTTCTCCCCGCGGGGCGGAGGTGGAAATTTCCCGATGTGGCTTGATCGAGTTTAGCTAGATCAGATAACTTAAGCGCGATGATGTCACTGCCAGCACATTATTCTGATCTTTAAAAAAAAAATTGATTCAAAATGAATATAACATATCTAGATAAAAATAATACACTCAATAGATTATTCAAAGATACGTATATAGGAAAAACAAAAAAAAGAATTTCACCACTCGCCAATATGTTGTTTGCAACCTGGTTATATTATCCAAAAAAAAGGGTGATCTGAATTCCTCTCAACGCTCATTACCACACGTTAAAAAGGTGACAATAGGGGGAAGAAAGAAAGATGGAAATAAAAAGCAAAGAAATATGCTAAAAGACATGCATGTCTGAATTGATGGAGAAGGGCCTGAACATGAGAAACAGTGAGAAGTAAAAAAAACCATTAAAGGTAAGAATAAAAATAACGCAACATGGGTGGTGAGAAAGACACACCAGACCCACCGTCTCTAGTAAAAAACAAAAAAGAAAAAAAGCAAAACCGGCATTATCATATGAAAACCGACCCCGAAACCGGTGCATCTAAAAAAACACCCAGCCAAATCTACAATCCATGCGATGCCTCTATCACGCATAACACATAACCCTCATCACTAATCACTCATCGCTCATTCTCATCCTTCCCCCCCTCGCCCTCGCCCCCACCCTCGCCCCCGCCCTCCCCGTCCTCCCTCTCACTCCAAATCCCCTCATAAACCATCCCATGACACAACCAATCTACCTCCCTAACCTTCCCCAAGCTCTCCACAATCTTGCCCACCTCGCTCACAAACTCCGGCATGCCCGCGGCCGCCAGACTCTGGCTCGCCGTCGCCGTGGTCCGCACCCGCTCGCTGGCGCTCGACGCGCTGAGGCGCGCGAGGACATGTGCTCGGAGCCGGGAGAGCATGAGTTTCGTCACGGGGTCGGTGAAACAGCCTGCATTTGCGGTATTGGTGGTGGTGTTGTTATTGTATGCGTCTGAGCCTGATGATGATGAGGGGGAGAAATGAGAGGAAGGTAGTAATGCGATTGTATCTGGTGAGATTGAGGCAGCTGAGGAAGCTGAGGCGGTAGCTGTGGCCGTGGCCGTGATGGATGCTGCCGTCGCGGGGCTAAGGACACGTTTGATGGTGGAGAATAGCTGTGCCCGCGTTGATGCGGGCATGGCATGTGAGGACTCAAGGATCGACTGGACGCGTTCGGGTTTTATGTCGTTGAAATCAAGAGCCATGATCCGCTCTGCTTCGCTCTTCCACTGGGACCGGACATCGCGTTTAAGGAGGTTCTTGGCACTTAGAAGGATCGAGGCGGTGGCTGCGATTTTGAAGGCGCGTGAGCGTAGTTGGTCGAGGCGTCCGCGATCCATATCTAGGGTTTCGGGAATGAGTTCGGGACGTAGATGTCTGTTGCTTAAGACTAGGTCGACGAGGCCCTGTGCGTAGATTTTGGCTACAGGTGGCTTGTAATCCGAGTTCAGATTGTCTGGGTCACGTTTCTTCATGTCTTCGATGATGGCGTTGCGGTTCACACGCCAAAATGCCCGCGTCTTCTCGAGAGTAATAACCCCTTCTTGCAGAAGTGTTGAAAACACACGCTGTTCGTATCCGGGACCTTCCTGGATCAGCTGCGGAGCCGCAACATGGAGCAGGAAATTGGTATGATCCAAGGATAAAAGGTCAATGATACCCATCAATCTCGCGAGGCGGTCAATTGCATCGCCCGAAGTGTCAGTAGCAAAGGCCTTGACATCAGGGTCGCGGTATGGAGCACAGAGCTTTGGAAGAATATTGCTCATGAAATCGAAAAATGCATCATACGAGAATGTGCCTGCATTGCACTGGTTTTCAATATATTTCGGGTCGAGCACCTCGCTGATCAAAACATGTAGCGAATTCCCAGGCTTCAGTGAACGAAGCAACCTGTCCTGAATGACGCTGGCCATTGCGACCGTCCACGTAGTCCCCAATCCTTTAGCAACATCTTTCCTCATCATGTCGCACATAAGATTCATGATCTGGCGTCGTATATCCGTATACGGGCCTTGATCGATTTTGTACTCCCGGTTGATCAAAAGCTCATGCACAAGCGCTCTGTTATCCGGCAGGGCCGTCAAGGCCTTCGCAAAACGATCACGGGGGGTCATCTCCTGCTGATCCAATTGGGCTAAAGCGATTTGGTCTGCGGCGGAGAATGATTCACAGATAGGCGACTGGGCAGACTCTGGGAGCAGCTCCGCAGACGACGGAGGCACACTTGCGGCGCGGGGGATAGCCTGTTGCGAAGATCCGTTTTTCATCTTGTCCCGCTTAGATTTCCTCAAAGCTTGCTTCACCATCGCCATTGCCTTTTCAGGACCTGCCAGTCTCTTAAGACGTGCAAGCAACAAAATTTGATTCTGGCGGATGCCTTGCTGGTAATCATCAGCAACACCTCCCTCACGGTCATCTTTGACCGTCTGCCAGATAAGCTCCAGCTCGATGAATTGAGCTAACATGATTTCTATCAAGACTGAGGAATCGTGGGTCTTCCAGGCGTGAAATGCAGAAAAGAAAGTATTGTAGGACTCCGACAATGCCTGGAGATCGGCGGCAAGCGAGGCAGGCCACACCCCAATAGCTGATAATTGAGAAATAACCTGCTCGAAAATGACGAGCAAATCCCGACCTTTTGCGATAAGATCCTGCTCTTGCTCTCCATTGCTGCTAAGAACTTGTGCCGGATGGGCCAATATCAAATAGCTGCTAAGGAATGTACGGACAGCGCCACGTTCACCCATCGCGCCCCCTTCTGTATCCTGCAAACCGCACAGGCGCAGAACCTTGGCCGTCACAACCAAGAGTTTCTCCGCAGACAGCAAAGCCCCAACCTCGTCAAAACTCAAAGCGCGGATCCGCTCCAGGGAAAGGTCAACCTCTCGAAATTCCTTGATAACAGTGCGCGCATAGTGATTGCGCCATGCCCGCTGAATAATCCGCGAAGCACTAGTCCGGCTCATCTGCTTAATGGACGCCTTGGCCAGCCTCTTCTCCTCAGCTGCGGCAAGACTCGTAGTCCGTGGCCGTCGGGTATTTTGCTGATAAAGCAGCCTTCTCTTCTCTGCCTCTGCAAATTTCTCCGCCATCTCCAATCGCTGCCTAGCATGCTCTGCCGCCTTCCGCTCCTTCATATCCTCAGCTTTCTTCTTTGCTCTTCGCACCTCCTCCTCGCATTTGGCCGTAATTTCAGCCAGCAACTTCTCACGCGCCTGCTTGGCAGCCAAAGCCCTTTCCTCCCGCAATATATGTTTGGACTCGTTCTTGGCAAGCGCCGCGCGCAGCCGGACCTTTTCCGCATGTGCTGCGCGGTCAGCAAGGCGCGCTTTACGAGATTCGATGATGGACGCACGGCGTAGGTGTTGCGCAACATGGTCACTGTGCGGGCCCCCGTGGGACGAGATATTCGAGTGCAACGAGGATATCGAGCTGCGGCGGGAGGAAGTGGCAGACGCGCGCCGACGGCCGCTTGACTTTTGATAGAAACGTGCGGCGAGCTTAGCTGGTAAGGCGAGGGATGTGTTCGCGTCGCCTGACGACATGTCTACGTCGCCTTCATTGGTAGTGGCGGTTGACGAGGTCGCTTGGGCTGTATCGGGCAGATGCATTTCCAGGTCGGAATTCCGCCGGACAATCATAGGTAACGGTAATGCGAGTGGGGAAGGGTAATTCCAAAATGGTAAAGTCTTGGTTGAATAATGATATTTTCAAGTAAGAGGAAAATAAAACAAGCAAGCAACAAAATAAAAATCGGGTAGGCGGTTTTGCTTTCCCAAGGCTTCCAACAGGGTCAGAGTTGACAAACTGTGGCCGTTGCGTTCCAGGTGCTTGGATAAAAGAATCAACAAACAGCAATAGCCTCGCAAGCGCAAGGGGCGACGATTTAGAATTCGACGGAACAAGCTGACGAATGGAGGTCCTAGGTAATAATAGATGGCACAGGCGTCCGTAAGCGGTTTCAGAGCCGCTGGGATCGAGCGGAATGGTGAAACGAGAAGACGTCGATGGGCGGAAAACAAGGACTGGCACGAAAAGAAAGAATAAAAGTAGTCGACAGCCGGCAGAGGTAATGGGGTTGCTTGTCGAATACACCGTAAGTAAGCAACGATGTTAAGGAGAGGACAAAGAAGAAGAGGAAGAAGAGGAAGAAGTTGTAACTAGCTGCAACGAAGGAGGAAGAGGAAAGAAAGTTGGATGAAGTCAGGTCACATGCTGGGAGGCCAATGGGGAAGTTAGTTACTTGATTGGTACTTACACTGCCCATATATTCCAGAGCAAAGATACAGGTAGCTACCAGGTACTCCTCATTTCTTTTGGCGGGGATCTGAAACAATCCTGGACCAAGATTAGTTTGCTCTAAAATATCCTTGGAAAATGGATGACGACTGGGCTTCTTACCTCAGGCGGGAATACGGGTGCTGGTTGGTTGTTGTGCGGCGGCGAGTTTAACTACGCTGTTAACTAATCTATCGCGCGGGCTAAGAATAGGCTGACGCTAAGAGAGGGCCGGCTGTTTGGGGAGATCTGGTGAAGAATGATGGGAGAAATGTAGATATGATCGATGTTGCATAGCTCTAGACACTATCCAAGTCTATTTCCGTTTTATTGGTGGAATTACAATGTATTCAAATTGTAGATAATATAACTACTCTCTATGGCCGGGGGCGGGGGCGAATTTTATATGCCTCTCAACCATATCTACAAAGCCGCGAAAATATCCAAAACCACCGACATCCATCTAAAAAAACCAAAACCTATAACTACATACCAATATTTTTTTTAAAAAAGGAGATCAGATCACAATCTCGTGCCCTCCAAAATACCCACAGGAATCTCCACAACTTTATCACGCACATAATCCGCAAACCCCTTCCCCAAACAATCCAGCTTCGTCGAACTACTCACCCCACGGCCCAAAATCCCATAAATCACAAAATGCACCGCCCACAACCGCGGGAACTCAACCCGCTCGATGAAATACCCATCATCATCCTCACCCAGCAACTCCCGCATCTTCTCCCGGCTCATGAAGCTCCGGAACCAGTCCCACTGGCCCGCTGACCGCACGAAGATGCCAAAGTTGATATTGGCTCCCTTATCTCCCGATCGTGCGAGGGCGATGTCGCCTAGGCGCATGCGGGTCGTGGGGCCGAGGGTGCTTATGGCTATTGGGGAGACGGTGTTGTAGTTCTTCCGTGCCTCGAGGGCTTCGAAGGCGGGAGGGTGGCCAGCGGCGATTGATGAGGTGGTAGTTGCGGTTTCTTGGCTGCTCCCCCCGCCACCACCACCACCACTACTACTACGGCTTGGGGTGAGAATATTTACGGTTTCTTTGAGGGAATGCTGGCGGTACAGAGCTGGGTAAAAGGCGAGGTAAGGGCGTGGCAGGGCAGTTCGTTGGTCGAGGGAGAGATGGAAGCCTTAACCCAGGGTCAGCGTTAACTCACTGGTTAGGTTATCTTGAAGCAATCTTGTTCCGTAGTTACCTGAAAAGTGCTGCATGGCAAATTCGCCCATGACCATCGGCACCGCCATGACGGTGTCTGCATCCTCGGCCTGCGTAAATACACGACAGTAGGTCGTGCTCTTAAACTGGCTGGAAGGATTCGCAGCCGGGGTCCCAAGCCTGCACTCCCAGTTTCGTCAGACAAGATCTCAAAGAAATATATATATGATACGGTCTAAATTAGATAGGAAGAACTGACACTTGAAATTCCAAAAAATGGAATTTATCTGCAGTAAGACCCCTCTTTGCCAGTCCAAATCGCATCTGTTTCTCGAAAAGCTCCCATTTCTTATCGGTGCCATAGCCTGTCGCGTTTATGAGAAGCTGAGATTCGAACCCCCCTCGGTAGAATATTGCTAGTTTTGTCGTGGGAGGTGGCGGGCCACCGGTTACACCAGAAACTCGCACCCTGTTGGTTTTATATGAGTCATGAAGCTGTATCCTTAATAATGGCGGGGAGGTGATGGAATGTTAATAATGTATCTACTTACCGATCTTTTCCTACGGCCTCAATTGAGATGTTCTGTGTATATGCCTTGACGTCACCTAAACGCCATTGTCGTTGTTAGTTTCCCCGAAAATCCCGAAAATAGATAAGAAAAAAAGAAAAGGGGGAGGGGGGGTTAGTTGAGAGCAGGGGAAGAAAAAAGCTTACTATTAAGATAAACATCTCCCTGCAGCTCATACAAAAACTGACACTTAACCACATCCACATTCACAAGCCCCTTCGTCCCTTCATGCTTTGTAACCACACAACTCCCCCCAGCATCCACCTCCACAATCCCAAACGGCAAATCCACAAATCTATCGAGATCATACTCCGAGAAGCCCGAGAAATTCGACCCGGTCACGTACGCCGAGCATTCAATGAGGTGGCCCGCAATCAATGCCCCGGCTAGCGCGTCATAGTACGTCTCCTTCCATCCGTGCCAATACCATGCGGCGCCGATTACGGGGGAGGCATCTGCGACACGTCCACAAATTATGATATCGGCGCCTGCTTCCAGGCCCTTGACGATTGCGCGGGCGCCGAGGTATGTGTTTGCGGAAACGACTGGTTTACCCTGGGTGTCCAGGAGATCGTTGGTGTGCGCCTGCGTCTGGATTTCCGGGTTGTTGGAGTCGAGATGGGCGGGCAGTGTGCCTGTCTTTGCGAGGCTGTCCCGTACCTCGTCGAGGAGGTTGTCGCCGGCGACGTAGGCGACTTTTAGGTCATAGCCTCGGCTGCTTACCTAGCCATAACCTCAGTATTTCGGGGGTTCTTGTCTCAAATAAAAAGGGGGTTGGGGGCGGGGGGGAAAGCAACCGCTTACCAGCTTCTGGGTTTGAACAGCCAAACCACGAGGGTTCAAAGCGCCCCCGTTGATAACTATTTTGATCCGCTTAGCCGCGATAGCGTCTATCGATTGCTGGATCCCATCCCATGCATACGGATCATATCCAGGATGCTGTCCGGCCGCCATCGCCTCCGCATGTTCGGCCAGGTTCATTTCTAAATCATCACATAAGTATTTAAGTAGATGATTCTCTCCCTCTTCCGAACAAACAGAAACGGGAAAAGGCCTTTTTTAATTTTAATCCTTCAACTACACACCTGCAAGATAATCTCCCGTAATGAAATCCACATCCCCAAGCGTTGCCTGCCGCAGCATTTGATATCCGGGATCGCCTGTGCACGTGGTATATTTATTAGCCTAAATTGTTTTTTGAAATAGACGATATATAAGGTATAAACAGTAGAGAGAGAAAGATAGAAAAAAAGAAGACCAACCTCGAGCTCCCGAGCAATTCGCAATGCGAACGGGCCGCTGCCCCTTCGTTGCCCATCTCGAGGAAGCTGCATTGTTCCGCATCTTTATCTGTCCTCTCCTCAATATTCAATGTTTTTATATATATTTCCCCTTTCCAATTTCCCAAGGGAACAAAAATGAGCAGTACCAGCAGAGAACAGAATCGAGGGAGCAACTCAGTAGCGTATACGGATGAAAAGCCCGCCATTATGAAATCAATCATATCGGGCGAAACTTTTCATTTTATCTCTATTCATTTTCATTTTTTCCCCCTCCATTATTCTCGGATCGTATCCGGGGGAAATCTTAGCCTCCCCCCCCCCCCCCGGGACCCCAGGCCCCTCTCCTGGTGGGTTGTGCAGCTTGTAGCCAAACACTGGGAACCTCGGCCTCAATATATAGCTTGCTCTTTGGCAGCCAGCCAACCAGCCCCTTTGAATAATAGTAATAATGAACACGGCGTTTTCGGGCAGCTTTTTTTCCTCAACGCCTCCCAGCCGACCCGACCTGACCGCCTCGGCTATGATTGGCAACTTTAACTTTGAAGTGGGGAGGGGAGAATGAACAATGCGGAGGCGGAGAGAGAAGCAGGAAGCAATAAAATAGTTCGGGGCTCCGCCGCTCCGCTGGCTTCCCCTTTGGAAGTGTGGGAGATAATGTACATGTACATGTACCTAGGTAGTTTCATTATCTGCTAGGGCTGGGGATGTTGAGCATGGATGTGGTCGGTACACTTCTCAAGTATGGCAGGGCTTTTTTGCCCCTCCTCAATCATTTTGGCGCAGAGCTTTGCGAATTGAATGTATGGTGGGGCATCTGTGTCGTTTGGAAACGACAACAGTTTCCAGCTAGATTGTGAATCTTGGTAGTTGTGAGGTTGTCGATGAGTCGTCCTTTATCAGAGATCTTCCCATCGAGGACGGTCATGGTCATGGTTTGGCAGGGAATGTTTGGCAGGGAGTGCAAGGGCCGAGGGGGGTCTTGGTGGCACACTACCGACTGCACGAAAAATAAAAATAAGAACAAATAATAAAAAATACAAATAATCAAGAAATACATGCACTAGCTGTGACCCAGCTTGTAGAATTGCTTTATTATGAAAAATATCTCAAAGCAACATTTTCTCACTTTTATCAGAAAGTAATCAAACCTTCTTTGCATTCGGTGATTGCACAAATTTAAGAGACATTATTGATAAGTGTACGATCTCTAATTTACTTTATCTACTCTGTACTGTCTATCTTAACACTCAATCATGTACTTACCTCTGTCTGGTATAGTTAAATTTAGATACATATCTAGTAGTGATGTAGACAAGTGACTTTGTATGGGTAATTCACAGTTCTGAGTGGGATCTGAGAGGAGACAATCTCATGAATACAACAGATGATTAATAGAAAGGTCCAAGAGGTTGCACATATGCTATGTTCATATACATATAGAACCACTGGTGAGAGACGGAGAGTGGGAGTACGGTACTGACATTCATAAAGATCCTATTTCTACTACCTCTGAGAGCCGCGAAAAAGGTCCTAAATCCCACACTCCTCATGGTTAACACAGATACTTCCAAATATTTTGCCTCCTAAAGCCAATGAAAACCTGGTATCAAGGGGGGAAACTTTAGTAGTAGCAACTTTCTTCGGCTTGCCGCTTGCGAGCTTTTCATGAGGTTGGCAAAGATCAGCCAAAGCGCCTGTCGGTCCCGTGTTCATATCGCCACTTCTCACGCATCTAGCGCATCCATTTCCGCGCGACTTCCATAGCGATTATAGGACTCACCTCAAACCACTCGCGGTGTGCTTCCCCACAGTCCGCGCAATTCCCTTCCCGTTTCCGCTGCTCCTTCAATTCCGCATGCACAAGGCCTTCGACGCGGAAGATGTGTTTTGACGGGGTAGTAAGTTCTGCTTCCTCTGTTCATCTGCTGCATCTTGTTTTGGGAAATAGACCTCTAGTTTGGTACCACATTGCTTTCCCCATCGCTGGAGCCGTTTGCTTATGTCTTTTGTCATGCCGATCTTCAGGTGCCCTAAGTTTCCGGGTTGCCAGTAAATCTATATGAAATCCTCCCTATTATTATCTTTATTGTTCTTAAACGGGCTCATAATTTTCTTTTCTAGGCATTGACTCGAGGATATACCTTCTTGGCATTTCGGTCGGTACGGCGTGAAGTTTTGTAACTGGGGAATTGGTCGGCTTATGGCTGTCGGGGGTCCGGTCATGGCCGTCGGTTTGCGTGTTCCTGAGACGGAGCCCGTGTTTACAGCAGAGCTACTGGCCACTAGCTAATCTCCCGATTTCGTGCTCTGAGCGTGCCGTGATTTTCCAAACTTTTCGTTCAACTCCTTTATAGCCATTTTCTTATGCGTTGTGCGAAGTGACGAGCCAATCAATGTTTCTATCCATTGGAGAATATCACACGATGGAACAGTCTTCAGGGGTTCCAGGCGGGCATCCCCTTCTTGGATATTCCCTTTTTGGCGCTTGAGGGAGCGCCTATTTCCCCCCTTATAGCTGGTGCGACGCAGCGCCCACTGCCCTCTGTCAATCTTTGATCAATGTCGGAGGGAATAATTTTTGGCAAGTACCTCACTGGTTGCTTTCACATTGGACAGAGTTTTTGGCACCGGCACTGGCATAGCTAATGGTGAACCTGCTGAGGAATTGGTTTTACTGGAACTAGAAGATTGACTCTTGAAATCCCAGCCCTTCTTTCTGAAATTGGTATCAATGCAGTCACTCTCCAGAATTGGAGAATCCCGCTTTATTAATTCCTGGCTTTCAGGTGTTGAAAACTCTTGTTCACTCAGTCGAGGTCGCTTTAAATTCCGAGCTCCCTCGTTTATGCGGCTCTCCCTCAACTGCAGGAAATTTTCTACCAACAGAAGCTCCTGTTCACTGACTGTAGCATGAACCCTAAATTTTCGCTTTAAGGTCCATTTTCGAGTCTCAGACAGCTTGCGCTTTTGACTTTCCTGAGCATCACGCCCTTTGGGCGACGGTTATCTGACTCCTCAAGCTTCGGAACGGTGTTTTGTAGCGATGAATTTATACTTTGAGGAGAGAATTGTCCACCCTGTGCTTCGAAAGCTGAAGATGAGATTTTCAGTTGCGGGTGGAGAATACCGGTACATTTTGTCCTCCTGGGCATCAAGCCTGGTGGGCGTCCATGCCCAGTCGTCAGCAGCTCTTGTGTTGGTCTCATGAATTCCTTCTCCTGTTACCAAGCAGCGTACTTGGTGTTGGAGAGGAAAGAAGGTCACATCGACGAGTGGACAACCGTTCAGGGGTTGGGCTGTCCCAACCATATTCAGTAGCATCGGTGCTTACAGAATTTTGCTGGATGAATATGCTCGCTTCCCTTCCTTCTGGTGTTCTCGACGGAGTGCTTTCTAGAGAAGAAAAGGTCTCCTCTGTATCCGGCTAATCTCCATAAAGAACAGGGGAGAAGTTAGCTTTTGTAGGTGTCTGAGGTTCAGCCAGGTGATGATATGTTCTATTGCCATATTTCGTATTCGAATGGGTTAAAGTATGTACTGCACATACAACATTTGGTTTTCAGTGTGAAAAAAAGGGGGACTGGAAACTTGAACCCCGAGCTGGGGAAGGCGCCAGCAATATGAGCATTGCCCCTCCATGCCGCGACAGGACCAACTAGATCATAGCGTGCAGGAATAACAAGACAAGGAATACGCGCCGCTAACGCGGAACCTAAAAATGTGGTTCATCAAAAGAGCCATTAGGGAATGTACTACTAGCCTCGCTAGGACATCACTGATAGCCCTAGATAGCTTTTGAAGGCAATTCGTCCCTGTTTCTTGACTGCAAAGCGTTCAATGAAACATGCCCTCTCCTCCTGTGTTTTGAAATCACAGAGTTTGAAATGTTACTATTTCTGCCTCAGGAGAAACAATCATCAGCCACTCTGCATGAAATCTCTGCATTGCCTTGATGGTGGGCACGAGGCTATCCTCGCATATCAATCCATGTCAATGCTGCGCCGCAGGAACGCTCGTAGGCGCCACACAACTTCATGGGGAAAGAAAAAAGAAAAGAAAGCATAGAGAAATAGTTCTTCAACTTCATAAAGGATGCTGTGCCTCTGAAGTAGCTTGTGATCTGGACTCCTAACTTCTTGTGATGAGAGGAGAGAAGAAGGGAGGGCCTGATGAGATTATGAATACTTGAGTATGTTTAGCTCTGGCACAATCGGGGTTCCTTTGATACCTACTTATCATCCATCCTATGATAAATATCATCTGGGTCTCTCAACTCTGCTCGAGTGTTCCGCCTCGAGTGACACTAGCTAATTCGGGAAGTGGAGTTGCCGCGGGCCGTCTTACGCTGCTACAACCCCTGCCATTAGCCGCGCAGTCTCAAGGCTGGAGCATTTTGCCTGCGCTTGCTCATTGCAAAGTCATTGGAGGACAACTCTTTCTTTTCACATGAGTGGCTGGCAAAAAAAAAAAATAAAAAATAAAAAAAATAAAAAAATAAAAAATAAAAAAAAAAATAAAAAAAAAGCACTTTCATGGGACACAGCTGGAGCTGAACTCAATCAATCATATCTCCCAGGCTGACATCATTTGATGATTTCAAGTAACAAGTTTGTTCTACTCATCATCACAGTATGGCATCTGTTTACTCCCCAAGATCTTCTCAGCACAGACAACTCTCCCTTCCCAATCATGTATCCAACTCCTGCCAAAGCCGCACAGGGCCAGCAGAGACACAACAACCCCCTGTGACATTATTGTCTTCAGGTGGTACCCACCACCACCACCACCACCACAGCGTCTCAGCCCGAATCGTGCACATTCTTATCCCCCTTCACTTTCACACTGCCTCCTGCCACATCCTCCTCCTCCTTCTTCTCCTCCTTCCTCTCTCCCTTCCCCTCTGCACTCAATCCCTTCACATTCTCCCCTCCGCACCCAGCACAAAGAATTACGTATATATTGAGAGATTGTGGGGTGAAGCTCATAGCTTAAAGCCAAGACTGACTAAACCATATATAGTAATATACTAACTACATTAGGACTAGTGAAATTGGTGCGTGATTATAAAATCAGTATTATGTGGAATTAGGCCTTTACACTGAAAAAACAATAAAAGCCATTTGACAAGTCACTATAGACTGCCGTATGTCCGCGTTCTTGGCGCCCAGGAAATCCCGATGCTCATGTTTATTTTCTGATCAGCTTTTTTGTACTGGGTGGACTGGTCTCGACAGCATTTTTCCCATGGGCTACCTTGATTGTCACCTGCAATCGTTAAATTTTCAGAGCCCATGGTCATACGCGTACTACGCAGATAGAATGATCCGGTATGCACGTCGAGTGGTGATCTACTCCGTACATAGGAAATAATTGCATAATTCGTCACATTCGCCTACTAAAAATAACTTGTAGAAATTAGAGATCTATACACTACCTAGCATATCTAAGTATATATCCCATTGCTCTATTATCTAGGCTGCAAGTTTAAACAACTATGTATAGATCTTTGGACCAAACCACGCATCTCTTCAGGAAAGTGTTCATAAAAGTTTAGCAAACGAAGCTGTTATATAATGATGGGCGTAAAGTGAATATATCAAGCGGAAAAAGCTAGTTTGAATGGCCCAGAATATTGAACCTTTGCATAGTGCAGACGTGAGCACCCGGGAGGAAAAGCGCCTCCAGGCAAAACCATGGGGCTGCTCGGAAAAAGGCAGAAAACACTCCTCCAAAGCGTTCTGCCACTGCATTCAGCGGCCTTTTAAATGGGTGGGTGCACATAGCCATAAGTGCTCAGAAATTAGTACTCGAGAGTCTTCTTAATCGCATCGAAGATCCCTATTAGGCGCGCCATGTTAGTAAACCAACCGAGATAATACCACATCTTTGCGGAAATGAATGTTCACTTACTTGCAACGTCAGGCATATTAAACCTCTCGTAGATCAAGCCTGGATGAATATCCCATCCAGTAACACGGCTGACAGGGGCCTCTAGGCTCAAGAATGCGCCTTCTTGGATGGTGGCGGCCACTTCTGCTCCAATACCGGCGTTCAGCATACTTTCATGCACAACAATTGCCCGTCCAGTTTTCCGGACACTCTCTAGGATTGTGGGCCGGTCCCAAGGATAAAGGGTGCGAAGGTCTATAAGTTCAATGTTGACACCCTTGAAAGCTTTCTCAGCTGCTTCAATTGCCGCGGAACAGAGGTAAAGAGGTTGTCCATATGATATTATTGTTAGATCTTTCCCTGGTTTGATTACGTCGGCCTTGTCAAGTGGGAGGGTATATGCTTCGGTAGGGACATGTTCCACTGCTGCCCGGTATAAGATCTTGGGTTCCATGAACACTACAGGGTCATTGCATTCGAGAATGGAAGATAACAAAAGTCCCTTCGCTTGAGTGGGTGATCGTGGCATGACAACTCGTAGACCTGGGATGTGAGTAAAAAGAGATTCCGGAGACTGAGAATGGTACCTTCAATTGTCGAGCTATGTTAGCTAGTTGATACCAATTTACTGGCGAGGGCAGAGAATTGAGAATTTCATACAAAGCACCATGCCCTACACCTCCGCAAGGCATTCGCACCACGAGTCCGCCAACATGGCTTCCCGTTGCTCCCTCCCTATATCGGAATTTGGCAGCTTCGTTGACGAGCTGGTCAAAGGCAGGGTACACATAGTCCGCAAACTGGATTTCCGCCACAGGTTTCATCCCTTCGGCAGCAGCACCAATTGCAAATCCAACAATTCCCTGCTCTGTCAAGGGGGTGTTGAATACTCTCTCAGCCCCAAACTCGGTTTGTAAATCCACAGAGCAGCGGAATACTCCTCCAAAGGCAACATCTTCCCCAAACAATAGGACCTGGTCTGAAGCTGACAGGGCAGTCCGGAGGGCTGAATTAATAGACTGGTAAAGGTTTATTCGTTTCGTAGCTCCACTTTTTGGTAATTCTGTAGAGGAGGGTAATGTGGACGGGGAGTGATGTAGGAGCGGAGTTGTGCCATAGTTGATCGGCAAATTAAGATGTGCTGAAGGGGAGGGAGCGTGTGTTGAGTACAGGCGTTGACGGCACAATGAGCTTAGCAGCCTTCGTGCAGAGTTATGGGAAAATGCTACCATTTTCTAACAATATGAGGAATTAAAGAGTGAAGAAAGAAGACGGTCGGTCATCTTGTCTGGGGGGGGCTGCGGATGTTTCTGTCCTGGTGGTTATAAACAGCCAACGGCTCCCAGCTGTTTGCCGAGCGGGTATCCCGTGACCTCCGCCGAAGATAGCCGTGTGTACGGAGTACTTTTCAACGCCAAGCCCGGCTGTCCATTTTTGTTTCGGCATTCCAATCGGATAATCATATAATCCGTAGTTAGCGAAGTTGAGAGATCAAGTCACATGGCTTCGCGCCTTCTTTTCTGCTGGTGGCGCAGGCGACAGTGACTCGGCGCGCCCCAACCTGCAAAAGCGCTCCAAAAAATGGCCGCACTTACCATGGCGGCATAGCAAACTGCTGAAATGCGTACCTGTGTGGCCCCGAACTGATGCAAAGTCCGCGGTCCATTCATCATGGGTGTTACCGGCCTCTGGACAGTGGTCAAACCATGCGCTAGGCCTATCAAGATAGAAACGTTAAACCGAAAGCGGCTTGCGGTTGATGCGTCGATATGGATATACCAGTTTCTAAAGGCAGTGCGCGATCGGGAAGGAAACGCGCTTCGGAACGCTCATATCGTCGGCTTCTTCCAGCGAATATGCAAGTTACTCTACTTCGGTATCAAACCTGTTTTCGTCTTCGATGGGGGTGCGCCAGCCCTGAAGCGACAGACAATTGTGTCCAGGAAGCAAAGAAGAGAAGGAAGAAGAGAAGATGCAGCTAGAACTGCTGGAAAGCTTTTGGCTGTTCAAATCCAGAGAAAAGCCGAGGAAGCAGAGTTGCAGAGGCGCACGAGGGTTGACAACAATGAAGCTGAGGAGCCCCTCCCGGAGAATTTGGTGTATGTGGATGAACTAAATATGACGCCTAAAGAAAGACAAAAGAACCGGCATTTCCGCAAACAGGATGCTTATCATCTTCCTGACCTGGATGTTTCTCTTGCTGAGATGGGTGCCCCGAACGATCCTCGGATCATGTCCCAGGAAGAACTCGAGGAATATGCACGTCAGTTCCACTCGGGGGAAGATATTAGCCTGTATGACTTTTCGAAGATCGACTTTAATAGTCCTTTTTTTCTCAGCTTGCCTCCCAGTGATCGCTATAATATTCTGAATGCAGCAAGGTTAAGGAGTAGGCTTCGGATGGGCTACTCGAAAGAGCAACTGGATACTATGTTTCCGGACCGAATGGCTTTCTCGAGATTCCAAATTGAACGAGTGAAAGAGCGGAATGACCTAACGCAGAGATTGATGCATCTTAGCGGGATGACCGAGGATGACTCTTTATACGGGATAGGAAGTAGCGCTAGAATCGCTGGCGAGAGAGGCAAGGAGTATGTACTGGTTAAAAATAACGGAGTGGAGGGAGGTTGGGCTTTAGGGGTGTTGGGAAACAGGGACGAGGGTCAGCGTAACAAACCCATTGATGTTGAAGAGTACGGGGAGCAATTATTGTCTGATGAGAATAATGTCCTAGAAGATGACGATGAGGAATTTGAGGATGTTCCTATTGAGGGACTCAACAGGTTGCCCAAGCTACCTGTATTTGACAAAGGTGTCTTCGATAAGGCTCTTAACGAGCACGCTAGGGAAATTGCAGATCGCGCAACGGATCAGATATATGATGTATCCTTCGACCAGACTAACGCAAAACACGACCCTCTCTTTGTTCCAGAAATATCTCAAAGCACGAAGGATCAGGATACACTTTTTGAAGACTCGGAATGTCAAGATTATTCTGACAACGACGATATCCGACTGGCAATCCAAATGTCTTTGGAATCGCCCAACGACGAAAACATTCTTAACTTAAATGGGCCATCGGGGCCTGGCAGCAACGAGGAACCTAGCAAGAAGGCAATTGACCGCGACGACCCCGAGGATATTACCGATGACGAGGATATGAATTTTTTTGCCGCATTGTCCAAGTCTAAAGCGATGAATATGGGATCCTCTACCCCAATTCCCAATCCCTTCGACGGACCACTACCCTTTGAATCTTTGAAAATTAGCAAGCCAACTACTTCACGCACCGTCCCCAAAGCGGATGGCGAGGCTGGTGGTTTTGAGAAAACCACGCCGAAAGCCCAGAAGACAGCCCAGCCCCTACCACCATGGTTCGGCGCCATACTTGCAGAGAAACCCTTTATTGATCAAGAAATCGATGACCAATTCGGTGGTGTTGATTCTAACAATCGTGTAAGACAACGCGATAATATTCTTGGAAAACCCAAAGAGGTGGAAGTTATCAATGTTGATGAGGATGTTTCCCAGGGGAATAAGACAATCGATGTTGAGACCCTAGGTGGAGATACCCAGGGGCATAGCGCTCCTGCTCCCGTCAAGGACTCTAATTCCAGAACCTCACCATCAACGGTCTCTAGTCGCGAAGCCACTCCGAACACTCCGTCTAAACCTGCCCACGAGCACATGGAAAAAGAGGATACAGCTGAGCCAAAGGCTGATAAATTTAACTCCGTCAAGCATGATAATGAAAAATATTACGAGTCGGAACGTACAGATGACGAGACCAATTCCAAAAATATTGTACAGAACGAGAAATCCCACCCCGAAATGAAAGTGCAGCGGGCGGTTATATCTCCAAGCCCAGAATTCGAGGATGTAGAAATTGCCCACCCTCCCGAGGCGGCGCAGACAACATCAGACGTTTACGATGCCTCGAATTATACAGCGCAACACCACGATTCTACACGTTATTATGATGATGGTGACGATTTTTCAGACCCCGAGGACGATGAATTAATGCACCAGCTGCAAAAGGAAGCCGAAGAACATGCTCGATTTGCATCTACTCTTAATTCTAAAAGCCAGGCAGAAAATGCATTCAATTATGAGCAGGAATTGAGACAGCTACGTTCGCAGCAAAAGAAAGACCGGCGGGACGCTGATGAAGTCTCGCACATTATGGTTTCAGAGTGTCAAGAATTGCTTAGACTTTTCGGGCTTCCCTACATCACTGCTCCTATGGAAGCAGAAGCTCAATGTGCGGAGCTGTTGTCATTGGGCTTGGTGGACGGCGTTGTGACTGACGATAGCGATATTTTCCTGTTCGGCGGTACTCGTGTTTACAAGAACATGTTCAACACCGTCAAGTTTGTGGAATGCTATCTTAGCAACGACCTCGAAAAGGAATATAATCTGGATCGCAGCAAGCTGATTCAGTTTGCTCACTTGCTGGGGAGTGACTACACTGAAGGAATACCTGGCGTAGGCCCCGTTACTGCTCTTGAAATCCTCACAGAATTTCCGACTTTGGAAGACTTTAGGGATTGGTGGTCTCAAGTGCAAATGGGTGCTAAACTCCCAGAGGACAGCCACTCTGCTTTTCGCAAAAAGTTCAAGAAAAATGTTACGAAGCTATTCCTCCCTCCAGGGTTTCCTGACAAACGTATCGATTCCGCATATCTTGAACCTGAGGTAGATTCTGATCCCTCAGCATTCCAATGGGGCGTGCCTGACCTTAATGCTCTACGCCAGTTTTTAATGTCTACTATCGGATGGAGTCAAGAGAGGACGGATGAGGTGCTTGTTCCAGTGATTCGTGATATGAATCGTAGAGAACAGGAGGGCACTCAATCGAATATCACCAACTTCTTCCAGGGGCCTTTAGGGGCGGGCGCGTTTGCTCCACATCGACGACCGGATGGGAGAAGCAGGATGGAGAGGGCGTTCAACAGATTAAAACACCAAGCTCAAACAAAGCAGCAGGGCATTGGGCCGCGTTCGGATGATGGGGATCCCTCTGGTTCCAACCCTTCAGTAAATCGGGGGCCTAGCAAAAGATCTCCAGATGATGGTCTCGATGCTTCTAATGAGCGTGAATCTCCCGGTGATAATGAGAGTGAGAAGACAACTCGCAAGACATCAAAGAAGCGTAAAACGACGAAAGCATGACATTACTATGAGATATGACTTGAATGATTTTGAATGATAAATTTATGCAAGTATACCAGCATATTTTTGCTGAGCTTAAGTTACCGAGCGTGTACAGAATGACTCGGATCTTGTATATATACAGAAAGATAGATCTAGCAAGAAATGTAAGAAAATGGACATACAGTCTGAGCGCGGCTCGGGCGAAACCGACAATGCGTCCGGTATCCTACTAGAGGAACCTTTTGCGTGGTTCCAAACCTGACTCCGCGATCACACACCGTCAAAACAGCATAGATTAGCCAATCCAATGCACTGCACTAGCATCCAAAATCGATTCGATCACTCTTGAAAAGCTGCCAGTTCCGGACAGTTCCAGCTAATTCAGTGTTAGCACGTTCAGTACTTCCCTGGTATATAGGTGAAGCTACACTTACGTGAGGAACTTTCCGCTCAACCCTCCCGGAGCATCAAGCGCAAGCCTCGCAATAACATGTCCCGGTTGCTCCGGTTTGAGCAACTTGCCTTCCTTGTGAGCATCAACGAACCTCCGCCCTTGTACGGGCCCTAGGACGTCTATGTGTTTCTCTCGAAGCTCCTCTTGCATCTGCGTATCGACCATCCCTGGTCGGATGGAGATGGATGTGATGTCGGGCTCTTCCAGCGCGAGGGTCATGTTGAGATGATTCAGAGCTGCCTTGGTGGAGCCGTATAATCCCCAGCCCGTCGTTGCCGATGTCGCCGCACCGGATGAGGTGAAGATTACTTTACCATGAGTTTTGCGCAAGTGTGGGATTGCGGCTTTTAGCTGTATATCGGTAGAGTTAGAACGTAAGGTATTTGTAAATTCATTTCAAACCAGACCTTCCCTTCCTTTTTTTTTTTTCATTTGTAAAATATCCCCCAGTTGTAAGACCACAGCCCGCACCACCCGCAAACTCGAATCGCAGACAAAACCATCACCCCCAAAATAAAAAAAAATAAAAATAAAAATAAAAAATTCAAAAGACACTCACAAACCCAAGTACACTAATAAAATTAACTTCAACCCCCTCCCTCCATTCCTTCAACTCACAATCCACCAGCCGCGTCACAGGCCCCAACGTTCCGTGATTAAGCACCAGCCCGTCCAGTCTTCCAAATGTCTTTATGGCCACCTCAACCGCCCGCTCAGGTAGCGACGGAGATGGCGGGGAGGATGAATGTGGCCCGGCGACATCGCCCGTGAGGATCACCACGCGGTTAGCACCGTATTGCTCCTGTAGTTGCTGGAGGGGTTGCTGTGAGCGGGCGAGGAGGATTAAATTGTGGGAGGCCGGGAGACGAAGTAGGTAGTGGGCCACTGCGAGGCCGATGCCGCGTGAGCCGCCAGTGACGATTATGGTTTTTGACGACATCTGTTATGTTATATTATATGTTGAAGTGGTCTTTTATCCTTTATTGGCGAAGGAGGGGCTCTTCTTTTGTGCTCGGTTCATCCGATTTGTCCGCGAACACTTTGAGGTTCCAGATAAGATAAGATAAGATAAGATAAGATAAGATAAGATAATCCGCTATGTAATGTACTTAACAGTAGTAGAGTAGTACAGTAACTACAGCGTATGGCAGGACGATTTTACTTGAACTACAGTACATTGCTTTTTGTGATATTAGCCTGACTTACTTGCTATATTCACTCACACGAACGAGTGCTACCCTTGCTCACAGCAGGCTGTTCCGTTATCATTATATTAGTTTGTGCCTTGCTGAGCCCGGCAGGATATATTATATATTCGTATACTCCTCCATACCGGATTGAACTCTTAAGAGATTCCCTCAAGGGATGAAATATACAAAACTCTTAGGTGACCGGAGGGAGGTGGTGAATTCATTATTATCGGAATAATCTCCCCCTGCTGGCAAAGTATACATATGCAAAACTATGGACATTTTTACATATCATTATTACATCGATTTCTATATGCAGGTGGTACCGATGCCAATCATATTCTTATCTGCTTGTATCTGCATTGAAAGTGAAGCCTAACAGATTACTTTGATTTAGACTGTGAGCTCTATGGATAGCTTTCTCTCTCCTTTGACCAGGTGCTAATTTAATTGAAAACGTGTCTAACAGAGCTACTCTTGAAATGCCACAATCTTTCTCTGTCCGAGTTGAACTATCCAGCCAGCTTAATTCTAAAATCCCAGTGAAGGAGGAGATAACGAACTTCGAACGGCAACATTGAATATATGAGCCAATCAATCCTTGAGACTCCAAAGCCCCCTGAACTCTAGACGATATGTAGCAGAGATAGCTGCATCCATGTCTGAGAGCAAAGCATATTTTTGTTGTGCTTCTTGCTATTTTATCTCCAAAGTCTGCTCATCGGTTAAATAATGCAATCACGAACCACAGAGCCGTGCAGGTGGTAGTGGTGCTGAATCCCTGGCTTAAGAAAGTAATGCCAGACCATTCAACGGAAATGGGTAAAGACTCAGAAAATATCGGCCGCGTGGCAGGAAATAATTATTATACAGTAAGCCGTGATCTCTTCATTGACAAACACCAATAATAGCCTGGAGGTACTGTACGGAGTACATACATGTAGTTAAGGATATCTGAACCGCGTGAGATTTTGGCTGATTCCTCCTGCAGTTAGCAAAGGAGTCGTGGAAACACTCACAACTCCTGACTGAAGATTACGAACTTCTTAAGAAACATGGCCCATGTCAAGTTGCATGCAAAAGTTGCAGTTCTCCATGTACTCCTTACGCTGGCCACAGTCTTCTTGTTGTTCTCAGTCGCTGATTATGAGCCACATGCTGAATTCCTCCGACACCACTGAATTTCTTTCGTTTCTTGCATTCTCAGGGGATATGCTCCTCGTCTATATCCTATGCTCTTGATTTTGTTTGTATCGTACTTCTATAGAGGGTACATGGAGCAATCATATCTTGTCACTAAGCTGGGTGTACTGCAGAGACAGGTTATCGATGTACTACATACATGTACATGTACATGTACATATACATTTAATAATTATTACATAAGTCCTGTACTCCGTACTCCGTACATCCGACTCTATAAGCTCTCAGATACCGCTCCTGCTTGTTGTTTCTTCAGGGCCCGTCTGCAATTCCAGAAGAACCCTTATTTTTTTTATTTTTTTTTTGTGTCGGTACGGAAGACTAATTTGCCTCCTGAATTCTAGCACTGCACTGGAGGGACCCTGCAGCGCTAGAAGAAAGCCCTAAATATGCTACAGGCGCAAACTATTTCCACTTTCGTACAGTTCATGGGCTGTTGGTGGCAGATGCTAAATAGAACGGGGTGGGGTCTGTCTGTAATTTTGATTTTGTATTGATTCTGTATATATTATAGAAAAATTACCTATCTATTCAGATTCAGATTATGTAATAAGCAAGTTTAATAGGAGTCTAACCATATAAGGAAGGTTGTATGGCGCTAAGCTCATGACAGTGGCTTATAATGACTTACTCTAAATACGCCCCCAAATGCCAATTTTAAGTGAAGCTAAACTGTATAAGGTAGGCCGTTACTAGTGAGCAAATACTCCCAGTATGTGCATTTTCGCTTGTACGTACTGCAAATGTACTGTACAGCATCTCCAGGTGTTTACACGGCATTCTGAACCTGATTTTTCTCCCTTTGACACTTTCAAGGAAAACCATTGTCTAGGACTTATTAGATGAATGCAGATGCGTATTAAAAACAAGATGAAGCTTCTGACCCCGCTGACCGTTTGCCGCTGGTCTCGGTCCAATGCCTCCATGAGTTCGTAGCCAACTTGATATTCCCGCCCATCTAAAGACTAAAAGAGCAGGCAGGGATTGAGCTTACATTCAATCAATCCCACTCATTCTTGAAACGTCTAGTCGGTTGTAATTGTTTACATCTCCTTCTCGGAGAGTTTTATATGCAGGACCTGAATGACAAGACGGTATAGACCCTACGACCCAGAGCTTCTGCGAAGACAAGCTTAAAAATGGTATGTATAGTATCATGCACCTTAGAACAGCGGATAGTTACAGCGTAGTATTGTTTCAAAAGAATTTTAGCGGCCGGGGGTGGTGAAGCTAGATTGCAAAGCACATAACTAGAAAAGGGTTGAGCAAAGCTGAGCATATAAAAATGAATGATCCCCCCGGCTCTACTTCTACTTCTTCTTCTTTCCTTCAACCTAATTCATTTCTCATTTTGTTCGTTAAATTTCCTCTTCGGCTTTTGACACTTGCAGTGGTTGATCTCTCCTTTCCCACCAAGTGATCGGACATTCATTTCATATCTATTATCTTGGAACCTGTAGTAGAATCGAAACTTAGCAATGAAGGTACGCAAATGGATCAATTATATTAGAATAATAAAGATATTGCTTGAAGCTGATCATCATTTCTTCAGTTCCTTTCCCTCACCCTGATGACCCTTGCTGGGCTTCTTACCAGCACTCTGGCTTTGCCCAAGTATGTGTCATATCATTTTATTTTCAACTCGTCGTTTGACCCCCTTCCTCTTCTATCATTCTAGTCTTCCGTCATTAGCCAAAGCTTCGAGTCTGTCATTTCATGCGTAGACATTGATGCTGATAAAAGTATTCCCTCCATCCTTAGTCCAACCGAACTCGGCCTCAGCGCCCGTGGGGGGCCCGCTCTGGATTGCTATGACCACAGATACAAGGGGCACAAGTTTGCCGCCAACGGGAGATATGCCATTCGAGAGGCTGGCAAGAAGCGGGATAATATCAAGGGGAAGAACATCTATGAAGTTACAAAGAAATATTGCCATCAGAACAACGGCCATCGATTCACGCGCCGCTCTTCCAAGAAGGAAAATACCTACTGGTTCCAAAACGCATGGAAAAACTTCCCGTTGCCCTTTGTCCCGATGGGCATCGAAATCATCAATTACGGGAAAGCGGGGCGGATCAATGCGAAGGTCTGCACGGATATGATGGCCAGGCTCATTTCGGGTTGCATTGCTCAGAAGGCGTCTCGGCTAAACCATTTCAGAGGTGGACTATTGTCAGACGGATCTGGGTGGACTTACCACATATACTGTGACGCAGACTACTGTTGGTCCTGAGGGTTCGTTCCAACGGGTTGCGTCCTGGGGGTGGCGCATCATGTATCGACTTAAGCTTGTCTCGGTCCCTTATTTAGTGTATTGCTTCTCTTATTTTGTATTTGCTCTCCTTTTGTGCTTCTTGGCACAAGTGGTATGAGGTCTTCATTCTTTGGCCTTTAATAACTCGGATTTTTAACAGCTAGTTTATTTCCTGTAATAATATTACTATCGAAGTCAGTGCTGTTGCTTAGATACACCCCAAGGTGAGTGTGGAGAAAAAAAAAAAAAAGAAAGGAGCTATATAGACATACTTGTTGAGGAGTCTTGTAATAGTTATGTAGCATGATTGAGGGCTGCTGCTACACCTGTATTTTGCTGCATAGAAGGTCCGATATTTAATATAAGGTCATTCCGGGATAGTCAGGTGAAAATACGAGGAAGTGTATTGTTAGGGATTAGTTAGAATGAGAGAAGGCTGTTGAATCGCCTGGGAATATATTAATTACAGCTGAGCATGTGAAGGCCGGTGATGTATGCAGGGGGGGTATGTGCATGAGAACACGACAAATAAAAGAAGACGAAAGCAGGGAAATACGCCATAAACGCACAGCAGTTGGATGCCGTCTAAAAAACAACCGCCCAAAAATGAACGCCCAAGCATAAATAAAATGATACATCGTAGAACGTCATCGAGAAATGTATGTAATCTAGAAAATAGATTTACAGATAAAAGAAAAAAAGAAAAATGAAAGGCAATATGTTAAATCACCAAGCGGTTATATCTTCCACCTCAGCTTCACCAAAGGTGCTACTCTTCGTCAGCTTGCCCACTTGGGCTACAACACCATTGGCATCTTCACCAGGCGCACTCATGATGTCGGGCAGGACTTCCCTGAAAAACTCAAGAATATGGCGGTTAACCTGCTCGAACTGGAGAAGGAAGGCATCATGTCCTTCGGGGCTATTAATGTTTTTTAAGCGCGAATCTGGAATGCCATCTGCTATCTCCTGCTGCTCAGCAAATGTGAATAGGCCATCGCTTTCAATGCCAATGACCAGTGCCGGTTGCTGGATTTGCGAGAGGGCATCTTTTACTGGGGTTTTGGAGTTAGGGTCGACTCGGTGTCTGGAGACGTCGTGGGTATCAAGCTTCCGTGTGATTGCAATGTAGCAATTGCTGTCGAATCGTTTCACGAATTTCTGCCCTTGGTATCGCAGATATGACTGGGCGGAGAAGTAAGTTGTTGGGCGATTGCCAGTTTTGAGAGATGTTGTGGAGGAAGGAGAGTCCGGCGCGGAGAAAAGCGTGGTGCCATTGAACTGGGGGTCGGTGAACATCGCGTGGGATTCTAGGTCTGTATTGTCCGTCGATGGGAGCGTTGGTGGCAGGGGTCGGGTACTCTTGTGGCCATCGTTATGAACGGCCAGATGCTCATTGGGGGGTGTGGGGAGGCGTGCCATGCCGTTGATATTTTGTCTTCTCGAGGGGTCAGGGACATTTCTGCCGAAACGAGATTCAAATGAATCTCGGCTTCGATAGGTGAGCAGAGCGGACATGCGAGCCGCGCCCAGACCGCTTGCAGGGGGATCTTCGAAGGAGTAATAGCCGTCCTCATATTTCGGGTCGCTGTATATACTTTGGCGTTGCGCCTCGCCCCAGCTGATACCCCATGCTGAGTGGCGACTTGAAGTGGCGATTGGCACGATACTCCGTATGTAGTCCTTGCCAAAATATGCATATTCCAGAACAAGCATCCCACCCATAGAGCCTCCTACCACTGCTGCGATTTGCCGAACTCCTAGATCATCCAAGACAAGTCTGTGGATTCTGGAAGCGAAATTTGTCAGCCACTTATCATCACAAAAAGTCAAAGTCGTTGGATACTGCTCAGCTCATACTTCACGTCATCTCTGATCGTTGTCAACGGGAATTCAGGGCCGTATATGCCTTTGTTCCTGTCCCCATTTTTATATGTAACAGCACTCGCGCTGCCGTATGGGCTGCCTAAGCTGTTCAGGCAAACCACAAAAAATCTGGTTATATCAAAAGCCTGGCCAGGGCCACCGAGCAATGGGCCCCACCAGTCACTGACGTCTGCACTGCCGCTCAGGGCATGACATACGACCAACGCATTGTCTCCCGAGGGTGATAGGGTCCCTCTTGTTGTATATGCGACTGGAACATTGTGTAGGGTGACTCCGGATTCAAGGGTGAAAGAAGGGATTACAGCGATCGATTGGTCGGTGATGAGGGCGGAAAAGGGGTTCTCAGGTTGCGAAGCGACTCTCTCTACGGGATTTAGTAGCTGTTCAACAGAATTTTTTTTTGCCAGAGACCGACAGGAGGGGAGATAACTGGTGTTATACTGACGGTATTGAGGGGTTTTGTTAGGGCCCTTGTTATTAGTCCCAATGTTTGCGGAGACCATCGTGTCAAGTTATTGGTCGATCCTGCGAAACAAATTGGCAATTGACAGCGCTAAGGCGATGTATATCAACGGGACAAAGACAAAATTATATCTAGAATGAGGACATGGAGGGATCGAGGTTGTTGAACAGAAGCAGATGGGAACAAAGCTGAGGATTAGGAGAAAAAAAAAAAAAAGTTCCGGCTGAGTAAGCTGGCGCCAAGAATGGTTCCACCCAGTGGAAACGCAGGTGATGATGCCATTTCCGACCAATCAGATGTCGCCAAAATAGCCGTGGAGGAGGAGGCGGAAGAATATTTTGCCGCGTTGCCGAAAAAGCTTAAACCTCGGTAGACAGGGTTTGTTTAACGCGCTGATCGATTATCGTTTATACGCAGGTAGGGGAAGCTGTTTCATGTAACAACTGGTATGTATTTTGCTTAACCAATATATCTAAGTGTATAATCTATGTGTATATGTGTAGTATGTCTGAAGATAAGTATATGCCAATGTTGTTATATCCAGAGGGCAACAAAAGATTTCAATATAGTCATCATCATCAAACATTAGCAGGAACTTTTTGTAAGGGCATAGAAGCCATTCAAAAGAATCAAGAAATATATCAAGTAAATCCGCTCATGATACGCGCATCTCAGCATCTTGGAACTCATGTTCCTCATCGTTCTCCTCATCATATTCCTCGTCATCTTCCTCGGCTTCTTCATCCGTGCTACTATTTTCCCTGACATGGCGCGAGGGCGAAAGTTCGTCCTTGGAGGTATCATTGAGGATCCCTGGCTGCTTTCTCCGCTCGAAATCCTGTGCGTGGGCATTTGCAAGCATCGTACCCACGCGAGACAGCGTCCGTGTTAGCTCCGGTGGAGTTGACATCTTGCGTTGTCGAATCGAACAAGGCCGATTCTCGAGGTCGACTCCGGTCGCAGTCTGGGAATCCTCCAGCAAATTCCCTTGCTGTAAGGGATCGTGTTGCTCCTCTAATCGCTCAAGTGAGGCCCTGGATGGGGATGGGATTTCATACGGAAGTGGAACATCTCGTGAGGCGCGGAACCGGGCAACGTTTGTACAGTGCTCGTTCTCGACACGGAAAATAGACCACATTCCTCGTCGGCATACTTCGGAGAATGAGAGGATGAAGCTAAGGATGGCCGAGTGTTGATAATCATGGGGGAAGATGGCGTAGAATATCCAATTGAAACGGAGGATAGGGTCGATGGCCATTGCTAAGTAGTATACCCAGCGACGACGGAAGGCTAGCGAATCCCGAAGGAAAGGGTGTTTGGAGTACGGATTTCCCAGACTCCAGTCCATGGCAAGGTCCCAGATAGAGGTGTAGATAGCGTTAATACAGGCACAGGTTATGAAGATGGCTCGAAGTTGATCCACTTCGTGAATTCGGTAAAGACTGAGGGTCATGTAGTAGAGGATTGAGAAGGAGTATTTTCCAAGGTTTACAATGTGGGGGAAAACGTTTTTAGTATCTAAATAACGTCGGATGCATTGGAAGGAGCGCCAGATAGATGGAACTGTCGAAAGGAAGCCCATCACTCGTGAGTGTGATGAATTGCACCTCGGTGCATTATCCCATCCTTTGTTGTATAGACAGAAAAATAATGAAATGTTCTTTGGTGTCTGTTAGCTTTTTCCACGTATGCGATTTAATTCAAGACTACTTACACTCATGGCATATGTCTGGGAGCAGTACATATCGCCCAGGAAAAAGTCTCGAAACTCGACAGGGTAGAAACCCGCGAGTAAAAGCCGCCACTGTGTATTATTAGCATAACTAAACAGGGACGGAACGGGCTACATCGGCCCCCTAAACTACTCACATTTGAATAGGCCCACCATCGTCTAGTTCGATGGTAGAACAAACGAATTGGGATAAGCAATATAATTAGGGTGATGCCTATTAAAAGAATAGGCCAGTATATGTACGCGCTATTCACCCAGCGGAAGTTCAGTAATAAAGTGATTCCAAGTAATAGGGAAAAGAAACAAGGTAACTATATCGCGGGTTAGCTGGCAGATTGACGATGAAAACAAATGTATGAGATTATTATACATTACCTCCGACAGCTCTCGCCAATCCAGAGCATGGCGAGTATCGAATTCAAAAACGAAGGCATAGTTGATTTTAGATGCGCCCCAAATTTTGCAATCCAGACAAAAAAGAAGAAAGTGGAAGACGGCAAGGAAATACCCACCGTATATCTGAATTTGAAAATTAGCAAATTCCCAAATGGAAACGGGAGCAACGATGTAACAAACCTGGAGCAAGTTCGCGGTGTACAGGCGAATTTCGGGATCCCCATAGTGCAGCCGGCGAACGGCATGTGTCAGGCCGTGAACACCAAAGACAACACCACCAGCAAGCATTAAGCCATTTCGAAAGGCGTTCGAAGAATAATCATAAGTTCTTGATGTTTTGCCACGAAGCTTGCGAACAGCCACTTTACGATTCCCTCTTTCGAAATAGCGTGTGTAAAGGTCCTCAACGGACACCATGTGATTCTCCACGACCTCACTTTGGACGAACCAGGCCTTGTTCACCTTCTCTGAAACGTAGCGACCGGTTGGGCGTGTGCTGGTAACTTTGTCGTACTTTTTATTCATTTTGCGAAACGCTTTTCGATTTAGGTCAGCATAGGCCTTAAGGAGTTCCAGACCACGATAGAACTCTATCAAAGCAATTTTCAGCTTCCTTTTGGCAGACCGATATGAAACATCATATAAATCTTCATGGCGGACAAAATCTCGCTGCTCATCAGGGTGGGAACTCATTGGTACTGGACCAGAGGGAGTTGCAAGTTGTTCCATTGCTTTCGAAGTCTTTCTCGACCGTGCTTTATTTAGTTTATCTCCCAGAGGAGTCTTCCATTTCATTACGGAAGCAGCAGTGTCAGACTTGGAAGCAACGAGCCGGGCTTTAACCTCGAGATTCCGCTTGTTGGTCCTAGTTTCCGCGACTCTAGTATCTCTCATCAGATGCAGCTGTGACCTTAACGCTACAAGCCGGTCACTGGCCTCCTTCTCTTTCATATGATAAAACGATTCGATCTTTCCCAACTCCTTATCCAAAAAGGCAAAAAATTCCGATTCTTTATGTTTGAGAGCCATGGAAGCATCAACAGGACCACGCATCATTGTATGGTCGTTGTGAGTCCTAGAAGCAAACACATTTTTTAAGCGAGCTTTTTGGCTATTTAGCACTCGGCTAGGAACTGAATGACCCCTTAGCCGGCCTGCATTGTTAGCTCCTCGGGGGTTGGTGGAGGTAGAGTTTTCACTGTGAGTGTTTGTCAATTCCACTGTTCCATTATTATCAGCAGCATCCCCGGCAGCCTTTATGGGTTGTATAGCATCCACCCCGGACGACCACGGCATACTCCGAACTGAAGTTCCTGGACGGGAATGAGGGTCCTCTAGGTCCAAGGCAGGGCCCGGAAGTTCCAGAGAAGGAGGAATTGAGGGCGACACCTGCTGCGGGGTTGATGTTACAATGCTGCCGTAACTGCCAGGCTGCTCATTGAACCGGGACCCGGGAGACTTCAGAGGGCGTCTTTCTGGAACGACAACCGATAGCGTATCCCCATACTTTCCACGGCTGGGATCGCGTAGAGCAGGCTCAGGCCGTTCCAGGAAGGCAGGGGATTTCTGTCCCCGAGCCAAGGGGGGCACTTGATGCGAGAGGGAGTGCGATCGAGGGAAATCGAAATTGGGGCGATCTTCATGTTGGAAGATCTGGCTGAGCCGTCTACGGTGGGCAAAAGGAGATTGCTGTTCAGCATGACGAAGAGCTCGAGAAATTGCCTTGACCTTCTTTTTGCCAGCCTATATAGTAGGAAGCAAACGGTTGTGTTAGGAGCAATAAGAAAAGTGGAAGTAGTTACGCTCTGGGTATATGTATGTACTGTACATTTGCATACCTTATAATCTAAGTATTTCGCCCTCCACTCGGGTACTAAATCCTCTTCGAGCTCCCTATAATGAGCAATTGGTTAGTTATAACTAGATAACTGAAGCTATGGAAAACAAAAGGTTTTTTCTGAATACCATCACAATTAGGTGTCATGCATTCAACTTACTTCGCGAACTTCATGATACTACTATGTACAGATACAGGAACATTTAAACGACGACAATGGCATTATTGTTCATTTGTCAAATGAGGACGATCAATTGAGAGGAGGGGGGGAAAAGGGGGGGGGGGGGGGGGAACGGCGAGACAAAACGAGAGACAGACTAGGAAACCTGATTTTAAATATGCAATTGTAGAGCATGATGAAGGGTCTTTCTGGAGAGGATTAAAAGCTGATCCCGCCTTGAGTTGTTTGATGCAGGAAAAAAGAAGAATAACTAGAATAATCCAATCCAGGCCTGGAAAATCGAAGGTTTTCACGTGGGTGGGGGGGGGATGGGGGTCAGCCGCCGGGCACGCTCTACCTACCCGTATTACCGCTAACAGTTAGCGGAGTGAGCCCGGAATGGGGCCTGGTCCTGCCTGGAAGCCCGGGAAAATTAGGGAGCAAGCCTGGGCAAGCGTCCTTCTGGGCAGGCAATGTTGCAGAGTGACAGAAGTGACAGATTGCAGTGTGTATTTAGCGGCTTTAGCGGCTTTAGCCACGTTTGCCCACGCGGGTTTGATTTAGGCCATCCAGGGCTGGAAACAGTTGGAAACAGCAAAAGATCTTCATCGCTCGCCAAAACATCTCGCAGCAGCCAGTAGGGCTCGCCTTCCAAGCGATGTCAATCATTGTCAGCTCAATTGCCAAGCCGTGTCAAGCGCAAAGACCTCCCCAGTGTCACTATCCAAGCACCACAGCCAGCCCCGGAACTCGGAAAATTTACGGAGTTCTTACTATGCGTAAGGCCTCAGGCCAATCGGGTTGCTGGCTTGTGGCAACGCTGCCTGTGCGCCTACTACTAATGTTTCACCTTTGACAGCATTTGATAATTAACGTTAACTACAACAGTTCTTAACTACTCACCAGTATGGTATGATAGTTAGCAGCCCATATGGTATGTCAGTCGAAACATAATAAATACTAGCAGATCTAATCCATCCGTATTGTTTGTTGGGTTCAATTCTTCTTTCTGGACCAACCAGAATTGAGCATTGAGCATAATGATAGATGAGCTCATATTTTTACGTACCGTTATTGGCAGGTTATTTAATGCTACTGCTTTCGAGTGGCTTGCAGATTTCCTTCTGCTCCAAATCCTCTGGATGAGCTCGCACCTGATGAGAGCCCAGTCACCGCCCCTTGCATCTGCCCTCTTCAATTGGGCGCGAAATTTCCCCATCCTGAAGTTCTCCCCAGCATTTTTTCCAGCATGGCGGGGGTGTCCGATGGACCGCCACCCCTGTCACATCTCTAGGCCTGATGACTGGGTTGTAGCAACGTGGAGAATTCCGGCAACACTGTTTGAAATACATTATTCGCTCTCTTCTGGTCTGTACCACAAAGGAGACAGGACGAAAAGCTCCTCCTGGGGGGTTGTGTGTTCCAAAGGCCACGAGGCAGTTCTGTCCCACCACCCCCAGCCGGAGCCTGGCCTCAATCCAACCAAGTTCGAAACCATTGCAGCCCAGTTTTCCAATCCCCCTACCGGTTCCTCGTGGATTGGTGGTGCCTTGTTTTTTATCCCTTCCACTTCCGCCGGCTTCAAGCCTTGTAGTCGGTAGAGTCATATGCCAGGGTTTTTAAGCTTTGTTGAGACTGATGAAGATATTGTGACGTAATAAATAAAGATCTTTAACTAATGATGCGGGAGTTCCACCGGTTTGTTGACCCGTTAAAATGGTTTCTGAAGAATATGCCACAACTCTAACAATGCCGATTCACAAGATATCGGATTGGCCGTTGTCATCCTTGAGGAAACCCCCATTGGAATTGGCGAATTTTCTTTTCTTTTTGTTCTTCTCACAATGGTTCAGATTTGGCATCACAGAGGTCGTGAACATCGATCAACTATTCCGGACGCCCCGTCTCAAGACACCTGCAGTGCCCTCGTACTCCTTCGCAAATGATGTAGTCATGTGTTTTTGCCGACCATCAAGCTTCATAGCTTCATTAATCCCATCCCTTAAATCTCATGGCCGAGTTGGTGGTGGTGGTGGTGGTGACATTAGCGTTTGCACTCTGCTAGGGAGGATAAAATTTGCGTTTGCGCTGAAGCAATTGCCTGCGCTCTCGAGTGCGAGGATTCAGATTTTGCTAGTGTCGATAATCTAGTATCCATGTATTGAGCATCTTCAATCACTGCGACTGGGATCCTTGAAGCTGCCAATAATAATAATAGGATAGCAAGAGAATGTGAAATTCCTATAACTTATGCCAAGTCCCTGTAATGTTAGCTATGTATCCCCCGCCGGAATATATATTCGCCGTTATCTCTGTCGAGTCATATATTTCCCCCACGCCTCCGGGTTCGGACTTCTTGATATTGTCAATACATTGGTACGAATATTGATAGCCCAATCGCGCTATAACATGTCAACTCCGTCAAAAAAGCGATGCGGTAAGGCCATTTCTCTGGTCACTTTGTATGTGAAAGTACGAGGGCGTTGCTAATACCTCCCCAGGTGTCCTAGGAGCAACCGGCGCAGTGGGAACGCGCTTCATCCTCCTACTCGAGCAAAGCCCCTTACTCGAACTGGTAGCGGTAGGTGCTTCGGAGAGGTCAGCGGGTAAGAAATATCGCGATGCCGTGCGCTGGAAACAAGCGTCGCCGATGCCTGCCAGCGTTGCAGACCTGACCGTCCGCCGCTGTGCCCCCTCTGAATTCTCAGACTGTGATATCATTTTCTCCGGCCTGGATCCTGTTGCTGCTGGTGATATTGAGATGGCATTTCTCAAGGCAAACTTTGCTGTCTTTTCCAATGCGAAGAATTATCGACTGGATCCTATAGTACCCCTGGTGGTGCCCTTGGTGAACGCGGGGCACATCGATGTGATTCCGGCGCAAAGGAAGCATTATGGACTTGACAAGGGACTGATCGTTTGTAACTCAAATTGTGCGGTCGTGGGACTGGTAATTCCGGCCAAGGCACTTATTCAAAAGTTTGGCCCTATTGAGTCAGTGAGCATGGTGACCATGCAGGCTGTGTCAGGAGCAGGCTATCCTGGCGTCAGCAGTAAGTACCATACATATATCGTCACAGTGGTGGGCAGAATGACCCCTTTCGTCAATTGTCTTACTGAATTTTGTGTCAGGCATGGACATCTTCGATAACATCGTACCCTTCATCCCTGGCGAGGAGGGCAAGATCGCCACCGAATCACGCAAGATTCTAGGCAATTTGAACCCAGACCTCGCTGGGTTCAGCGACCAACAACCCCTCCAAGTTTCCGTTGCGTGCAACCGCGTCCCAGTGCTCGACGGCCATACCGTCTGTGCATCCTTGCGCTTCGTAAATCGCCCTGCACCCACCGCGAGCCAGGTCCGCGATGCGTTGAGAGAGTACAAATCAGAGGTTCAACTGCTAGGGTGCCCTTCCGCGCCAAGGCAGGCTATTCATGTTCTAGATGATGTGGACAGGCCGCAGCCCCGCCTCGATAGAGACACCGAAGCGGGCTATGCTTGCAGCGTAGGGAGGATTAGGGAAGATGATAGTGGGGTTTTTGACATTCAGTTCGTTGCTCTCAGTCATAATACAGTTCTAGGTGCATCAGGCAGTAGTATCTTGAACGTGAGTTTTAATAAAATCCCTTCTAGTTCCTTTAATGTCTTGGTCCAAATATATATATATAAATGCTAACACCAACCTTTCACTGAATGTAGGCGGAGAGCGCGATTCTGAAAGGATATATATAACTTCGTCCGCCCCCTGGGTAGGTTGCTACACCGCGAACGACCTATTCGTTCGTGGCACATGCTCTACGCCTGATCCCCTTATGCGCTGAGCGACTTTGGTCGCCAACCTCCGTACCACTGTGGACCCTCGAATTTCATGAGAGATCATGGTGTAAAATATCTTCTTATCCTAGACGTCACATACATGTGAAAAAAAATCTAAGCAAAAAGAATTTAATATAAAAGACCAACGCAGTGTGCTGGGAGTTCAGTGGCTTTTTAATCTCGGAGCAACTTTATGTTATGTTGATATTCCTCGAGAATTGAAAGCATGCCAGATGAAAATTGTGAGGTCGATTTTTTTTTTTTTTTTTTTTTTTTTTTTTCCCTCCCTAGAACGGTTTTAGACAGGCATTCGTTTCTTCCGATATTATTATTATGTATTATATTTATTAAGGCTGGATTGAAACAAGATGAATTTCTTTTCCGTATATCATACCTGTGAATCTGTCCATAGCGTGTGCGTATCACATCATATATCTCCCTAGTATGGAAGCAGACAGCTCACTCGATACGTGACTGGTTCTCGTTTTCATTCATGGCATGGGCGTCTACTGTGCGGCATCACACTGACATTCCTTGGTACATTAGCCAGGAATGCAATATATGTATAGGTTTTAATTGGTCTCGGAAAGCGGATAACAGTTCACTCGAGCTAACGATGGTTCGATGCGTAGGGGCTGAAATCAAGCAGATATTGACCATGATGTGTTTATTCAGTAGAAGGAAAATAGGAAGAGGATGAAAGACCGCGGGAGATAATCACGAATTCAGATCGTTTTCGCTTTGTTCACTCCTAAATACAAAAAATATTCAACCCCCCCCCCCCTCCCCTTCCGGCTCCGGTTTAAAAGAACGGAAAAACAGCCCTCACAGAACACCAAACGCAAAACATAGGAAATGACACGAAAAGGAACGAACTAAAGTGAAGAGAATACATCAAATGGAAGAGGGAGTGATCCAAAATTTAGCCCAAAGGTTGATCATGTTTCGCCGCCCCCAGCTACAGCTCCAGCAGTGCCAGACAATCCTGCCCCATCTCCCGAAAGCCCATCCAACAAGCCCGTTCCCGCCCCAGTGCCAGACCTTCGACTGCCCGCCCCGTAAACCATCTCCATCAACTTTGCCTTCTGTCTCTCCCTCACCCCCTTCAAATACTCATAAGCACCTTCAAGCCCTTTAATCTGGCCTTCAACCACCAACTCCACCGAACCCTGCGCACTACTTCCAACCCCTCTGCCCATGTACTCTCTATCCCCGCCACTACCACTTCCACCGCTGGCCCCTAACAGCCCAAAACCGACCGAATCATTCCTCCTAACCAGCGGGCTAACCAGCTTCCTCCGCAACGTCTCCAAATTCACCTTGAGGGTCAGCAGCTTCCCGCGATGGTCCATCAGAAGATGCTTATTGGCGACAGTCCGCTGCCGCACCGACGACAGCAGCTGGCGGTTCTTTTCATACTTGCGCAGCGCAGCGGCGTTGGGGCCCAGCACACGCGTCCACAGCGATGAGAGCATCTCACCCTCCGCACGTTCCTGCGCGTCCGACTCGCGCACAACCGTCCGCTGGAGGTTCAGGAACTGGCGGTCTATGGACTCGAAAAGGGCGAAGAGGGCGGACGAATGCGTCAGTTCGCTGTTTATAGACTCCTCGAGCACGGCGAGGAATTCGGTGAAGGTGTGAGTGAGGGTGCGGTGGGTGCGCTGCGAGCGGGTTGTGCCGAAGATTGTTGTGATGAGAGAGCCCAGGCGGGTAGGAGAAGGGAGGGGCGATTTGCTGCCGTCTGGGGATGTAGTTACAGCGGTTTCGAGCGCGCCGAGACGCGAAAGGAGGGAGTGAAAGTTGTCGAAGAAGATAGATGGAAGGGAGTGCGCGGGTTGCGAAGAGAGGGCTTCCAGTTCACGTTTTGCCCAGTCCATGACAATCAGGATGGAGTCGATGTCAGCATCGACATTGGCGAAGAAGCGGGTTAGTTCTAGAGAGAGGGTCTTGAGGGACTCGGAGAGCTCGTCTAGCTGCCGCACGATGACTGGGGCGCTTGTCATATTTGTGCCACGCACAGATTCGCCCAAATCCCAGACGGCGACTCCGGTTTCTTGCAATGCGCCGATTTGTTGGACGCCATTTTCGGAGTAGTATATCAATGGCTCGAAGGAGCGCGCGAGGCCGGAAAGTTTGACCAGATCAGGGACGGGCAGGGGGATAGGAGGGAGGAAAAGAGCACGGATAATTACGAAGGAAATAATGCCTATTAGGAAGGATAAAACGGTGTTTGTGCGGCTTTTGGTCACGGAATCAATTTTTTGGCTGACATAGTTGAAGAATGCATCGAAGGGCTCCCGGTGCTGAACTTCCGCACGCACGGCGAAACGGATATCTATATACTAAGTTAGCACAAGAAAGGGTTACAACCGGACAAAAAAAAATAAAAAAAATAGGTAGATGGCGTCAATATTAGCCAAAGATTCTAATCAAGGAAAAATTGAAAATGTATTACAATTTGTAAAAGAATCCGACGTAAGTTCCTGGGGTGATAGATCGAATTGATCACTGGTATTATTAGGATTACTCTCATTCTTTCCCTGGGCTTTCCCTTCGAGCTTTATCGAAGGCGCAGGGCTAGGCGACCTGCCCTTCTGCGGTGACTCAGCGCCCACGGGTAAGGGTATATTTGCAGGTATCGTCAGGTCAGCGGGGTCATCTTCTCCAGTGACCAAAGGTTTCTCAAGGGCGTCTTCATATTGCGGACTAACTTCTCTTGACCGCAGAGGGCTGCAATCATATGTCGGTTTTAAATCCGGCTTGTCACGTAGATACGGTTGGTGCCGATACCAAGCGCTGCCAGGTGTTGGGGGAAAGTGTTGCTGTTGCAAGAGGTATCTCCGTTGCTGGTACACCGGGGGTGACCAGGGATCGTCAATGCTAGAGTCTATATCTGTGTCTGGGTCACGGTCATTGGTATCTTCAGATTGGAATCCCGAGTGTTGAGATGGGAGATCGAGGAGGGGTGAAGGGCGGGAAGAGTCCTCGAAGTCCTCAAGCGAGGCGGTTAGCGAAGGGTGTTCATCAAAGACGTTGTCCAGTTCCTCAAGACGGACGGGCGCCATCATGGACATTTGGGCTCCTTTTGAGCACTCAGAAAGAGTTTCCTCCCCAGGTTGCGACGCAGAATATTCCGACACGAAGGGCTGAGAAAAGGTGTGTGTATAGTGAGTTCGATTGCGCTCGAGCGGAGATTGGCAGACGGTTGACTCCAACAACGGCATGCGCCAATTATCGAACCATTATGCGACCGGCAAACGAAGTCAAAAAGATAACGCTGGGCGCCGAGTGGAGGCTGGGCTGGATAGGTAGGTATGTCAATCAAGCCTTGAATCGAGAAGGAGAGAGAAGGACAGGAAACAGTCACTCAATCCGCGATCTCGACCAGCTCTGTCCGCATTTATTTGCCTGTTCGATAGTTCATCGGCGTCAGTGTTCCTGAGTTAACTACACCACACCGCGAAAACCAAACACGCTATGTTATCGGTTAACTAACTTAGTAGCTAGGCGGCAGTCACAGTTTCGCGTGGACGCGGCTTGAGGGCGTGTTGAATAATAATAATCAAGGAGATCAGGCAGCCAGTGCGATTCTTCTCCAGATGTCTGTCTAGGCACTCGCAGTTCATGTGCAAGAGTTGTTGGAGGGTTGCGATGATACACGATGCCGCGGAGGGGGGGGGGGGGGGTTGGAGGAGAAGAGAAACGGCGCCTGGTTCGAACGAAAGAATACACTAGTAAGTAACTAAGTTAAGCAAGTCGGGACAAGCACACAAAGCACACCCACGGCCCAACTAGCAGGATTCCCTTGGGCCTTTGGATGGGATGATATGATGGCACAGCAGCGGGCATCAGCAGGTCTGCGAAAGCTGCTGTGACTGGTGCATCTATCTGGCTAAAGTGCGTGGAACTGTGGACTTGTAAGTTAGTTAGTTATTAGTTTAACTTAGTTATCCGTGGCCAGTAAAATACGCCCAGCCCGTCTTCTTCTTCTCTCTTCTGCTTGCTTGCTGTTGCTGCTGTTGTTGCTGCCAATAATAGCTTTGGGTTTTGCTGCTGCAGTTGAAACGACTTTGATTCAGAGGCTCCGTCGATAAAGGATTGAGAAAGAAAGAAAGCTGTGAATTCAGATTCTAATTAATAATGTCGCTCCTCGCTGAACGAACAAAATACAGTGTTGATTTTGGATGCATTTTGCATTTGCGACGGACTTAAGTTAAATAACCAACCAACCTTGGAATTGGAATTGGAACTCTGAGCCACCACCGCCCGCCCGCAGCCAGCCCTTAACCCGGCCACAACTCGCTCTCCACATAAATAACCACATAAGCCAATCTGATGAGAGTGTGGGCTGGCTCACATAACCGCGTACCTTTAACTACTCCGTTAGTTATATCCAACATCGCAGAAAATCCGGGGGGGCTGGCCCAATCACCGAGTGGCACATCATATCATGGCTTGCGGATCATTCGAAACTGTGCGGATCCTCGAACCCATCGCAAAAAAAAAAAAAAAAAAAAAAAAAAAAAAAAAAAAAGCATAGAGTAAAAGCCGATATGGGGTTGTGATCGGTTTCCTGTGAAGAAGATTATTCGCGGGAGCTATCTAGCCCTTCCCCTGCAGCGAAGTATCTCCAACGGTACAAGATATAAGAGGCGAGGAGGAAGTACTGTACTGTACTCCGTTAGAGAGGGATGTCTCATAAACAAACACCCCTGCGCAGTATAGTTATATAGTAGTTATATAGCCCGGTAGGTACCCCAAAGTGGGCCAAAATGGAACGTCGATTACTTTGCAAGTCATTATTGTATGGACATTATTACACACTATCGCACAACTCGAAGGCTGCTTGAGCAGATCCAGGTTGTGAACTGTCTGCAAAGGCAATCATCATCGATAATACAGAGAGCCCTTTGAAATACTTAGCCTCTGACAACTATTTCTGCGCTTATGTTGTTGCTCTTTGAAACATTCGTAACCAGCGACATTCATCTTCCAACGGAGTCTTGGGCGGTAACTCTGTGCACCGCTTTTCTTTTGACTTCTTCACAGAATCTTTGTGGAAGTGGTGGACATACATACATACTATTAACTACATAAGAGGGAAATCACAACATAGCCGCAAATGAAGCGCTGGGCAGGTTGCATTTTGAAATCCAGAGCAATAGAGTGCTCGTGCTCGTTAAGTTACGACTGCCAACCTACTCAGCTCGATCACAGCTACACCAGCAGACCACAAGATTGAAGCCAGGTTCAGATGATATAGAATTGGAGCCGGTTCCTAGAGAACAACTCCATGCCAAAATCTCTCTATATCCTTTATCAAGCACCGTAGGGCCGCTTGTTCTCTATGAGCATTCTCAAAAGAGACTCACTCCATGGCAAATCTGCACATCAAAAGGGTTTAACAGCCAATGCCGTATTGGAAGAGCCTGGGCTGGCCTTGTGCGGTGCCTGACAGCGGGTAAGCTCTTCTGGCTGAGAGTCAAGTACTTATCCCGCGCCGCGTTACCTTCGATGTCCGCACAAGTCAAAGGCTAATCTGATCTATTAGAGTCTTTGCATATCAATCTCGCCGAGTTGAAATTGGCACCAATTTCTCACCTCCATGGCAGCACCCTGAGACCCAAAACCCGTGTCAAGACGGACCCGTGTTCGTATTATGAGTGCCGGCAGGTTGTTTGAATAATGATGTAAGAAACATTTCCTAATTTCTCTTTAACTGACTTTTCTTTTCCTTTTGCTGTTGCTCTTCTTTTTTGGTTTTGTACTGTACATTGTTTTGTCGCAGTTTCTCGCCGCATATGTGCTTTCAACGCTCCCTTGCGCCGTACACACTTGTCCCAGGAATCCAGGGTCGATATTAGCGCGCATATGGTCGAGGGCTGCAGATCCATGTTCCTCGTAAAACAATTCCCCCTGTTCAGAATCCGTGTTCTCACGGCCCTCATCCTATGCGCTGCTTTCTTCGTCTTCTACTTTCAGAGGGCAGCTATTGTTCTTGCGGTCGTCTCATATTGGCAACTACCTTGACGATATATCCTCGTCATTCTTTATCCCCAAGAAAATCCGGTATAAACTCGATCCAAGAGGCATAAGTCCCGAAATTCGGAATTGGGCAGACAGTTGTTCATCCAAAACCCCTACCTTCACCAGAGAATTCCTGACCGATACATCTGCGGACGAGTGCGTCAAAACACACTTTTCCCACCTCCCGGACCTTGTCGAGACCTATCTCTCCCTCCCAGTTTCCATCCTCAAAGCGGATCTACTCCGCTAGCTCCTCCTTCTTGTCGAGGGCGGGATCTGGAGTGATCTCGGCGTCTCCTACGAGGACACTTCGATTTACGGATGGATACCCGAACAATTTAAGCAAGATGCAAACCTCGTCGTTGGCTTAGAATTCGATGTGGGATGGGATAGCGACTTTCCCCGCCTATTCGCCAGCTGGACTGTTTTAGCTAGACCCGGTTCTCGCCACCTGCAGATGGTTATCGATGATATTTTAAATGAGATCAAAGCGACAAAGGAGAAGTATAACCTTACCAGCACATCAGAGCTGCAGTTGGGGATGGTGGACGATGTGGTAGATTATACGGGCTCCAGAAGGTTGACGGCAGGTGTACTTAGGAGTCTTAGCGAGCAGCTAGGTGAGATGGTGGACAGCAGGAATGTGTCCCGTCTTCCTGAGCCCGAAATTGATAGAGGATGTCTTGATTTTGCCGCGGTACGCTTTTGCCCTTTCAGCCAACAATTATAAGGGTGTGAAATGGCCGGACGGAACGGGGGAACGGATTTTGTGCCTGGGCCGCCGTTGGTGACACACCATTATGCAGGTACTTGGAAAAGTCCCTATGGTGGGGAAGTTGTATGATTTGCCAATATATCTCCATTTGGGAGTAGAATTGTTACATAGTAGATATTTTTGCCGCGGTTATGCTTCTCATGAAAGATGATTGATGCATGGAGATTATAAATACGTACTTACAAGGCCTATCTACACATGAGACACATGTGCATAAAAATCCCAGTCTTAAGGGTTAATTTTGGGACAAGCTGGAGGACTATGGATTGCGGGTGTGAGTTTGTATCAATAACGAGACCACTGAGACGATATGACCATACACTAACATTGATTGAGGTCAATCGCCAATAGATCTAGTTAACAGGTGAGATATTGATAGCATTTCCATAGAAAGAGACTATCGCTTTGGCGATCATTTATAAACGATGATTGATATCGGTTAAATAATTCCTCTATTCTAGGCTACACAGAGATAAAAATTTGTAGATGCATACACGGAAAAGTAATCCAAAACCCAGCCTAGTAACGCTAAAATATTCAAACAAACGCTTGAACACCAGTCATAGCACGGCCAATAATTAAACCTGCAGGAAAATATGTGTTAGTTAGGCTTTGAACTTCGGCTGACACGGAGATATAGCTTGACGTGTGACTGCGGGGGCAAGTTCCAGAGGTTTGGATCGTAGGGGCAGGTACGGAAAGACTTACTGTGTATATCACTCTGCCCTTCATATGTTTGGGTAACGAATAGGTTTGCTACATGACGGCCGATATGGTATTCGTCACTGGCGGCATTACCGCCAAAGATTTCCTGCAGGCTGTCGATTGGAAATGAGAAATGAGGTCAGTCACATTCAAAAAATGCCGAAATAGGCTGGTGTGGGGGGGGAGGATGGTCCAGGCTTCGGAGGAAGCATTGCTGAAGAAACATACGTTCTTGCTCCCACTAACGCACGATCGCAATTCTGTCTCTTGATTATGGAAATCATCTCGGGTACAGACTTTCCCTCGTCATTAAGCCTAGCAACTTGAACCGCCGCCAAAGTGCCGTAAGCCGCATCCGTTGCGGCATCTGCAAGCTTCTTTTGCACGAGTTGGTACTTGGCTAGCGGGTTTCCTTTAAACTGTTTGCGTTCCAGAGCATACGTGCGTGCTCTATCAATGCAGTCCTCCAGAGCACCCATGGTCCCAAACGCAATTCCCAACCTTGCGCTATTCAGACACGTAAAGGGCCCCACGAGCCCTTCGACATCGGGGAACATGTTGGCTTCAGGAACAGGACAGGAGTCCAATTGAATCATACCAGTGATGGACGCGCGGAGGGCGGTCTTATTTTTGATCGCGGGTGTCTCTAGTGTACCAGGTGGACACTGGTCTCGCTCGATGATAAAGCCCTTGATCTTGCCAGTGGTTTCGAGCTTGGCCCAAACTAGGAAATAGTCGGAAATCGGAGAGTTTGTGATCCATGTCTTCGAACCTGAAATTGAGTAATAGCCCTTTTTGGTCGGATGCGGTTTGGCGACTGACTCCATCGAGCTCGGGTCTGAGCCGTGGTTTGGCTCAGTCAATCCGAAGCAGCCCAATTTCTTCCCCTTGGCAAGATCAGGGAGGTATTTGTCTTTCTGCGCCTGAGTGCCAAATTTGTATATGCCTGTCATGATCAGTGAGCTTTGGACAGACATGCCGGATCGGTAGCCGGAGTCTACCCTTTCGACTTCCTTTGTAATAAGGCCGGAGGCCACGGTGCTGACACCAGCACACCCATATCCGTCGATAGTGGCTCCGAGGAGACCGAGCTCGCCCATCTCCCGGATGATTTCTTTGTCATAGTTTTCATTTCGGTATGCCTCTACATAGAAATAAGCATTTTGTCAATGTCAAGGTGCCCAATTTGTTGTTCCTCCATTTTGTATGGCTCGCCAGAATGCAGGGAGTATCTATACCGTACCTAGGATCCTGGGTGCCAGCCTCTCCTGACAATATTGCCTCGCAGTGTCTTGGATAGCTAGTTCGTCTTCAGTATATAAATTTGTCGTGCCGAGCGGGTCTTGCCAATTGAATGTAGCAGTAGAGTGCGCGTATCGTCGCGGGATATTATTTGAAACAAAGTGGTTTGCTGCATGGAGTCTGCGAAAAGCGTGTCGCACAGTGAATGGATTCATATTGGATTTTCGCACGAAGGATACAGGACGGAATTGGAAACCCCTGTAGAAACAGTAGTTATCGTTTAATAATCCCAACACAATCCAGAGGGAGCGGGAACGAAGATGCCAGGAGGCACCCGGGCAAGTTTACATACTCGACTAGGTTTTAGTTATTGTCGCAGACCGACCCTTTATCAAATGCGATTGAATACGTGGGTAAAAAAAGAGGAAAAGCAAATATGATTAGAAATTAATATTGTCGAACACACAATTTATACGTTGCCAGTCAAACGCAAGTTCATTGGCGCAGTACATCTGAGAAGGAGATAGAAACAAGAGGCAGAAGGGTGAACATTTGACGTTGGTGATGGCGCTGATAAGGCTTGACGCGGCCCGAATGATGGCCCTCGGGTAACTATTAACAATACGCCGCTGCCGAAGTTCCTTCGGGAATCAGGATTGTGTCGGCAACAAAATCCCCGGCCGCCAAGATGTTCCCCGGCCCGAAGAAACCTTATCCCACAGTGAAACCCCCCAGCGAGAGAGATGACAAAAGTATCACAAAGCAATTATCAAAACCATCGTCTTATAACTAACTACTGAAAAGTCAATAATATATTTATATTTGGGTACTTTTGATATATAAAATATACTACTAATAAATCTATACCGTGAAATTTATTTATGAATGGTAGCCTACCCATAGTAACCACCCCCTTAATTACGTTAACTGGTATCCTCTCTGACCACCATAATAGAGGGTACAGTGCATTAGGACACTGCAACGATAAGCAGAGCGAAGCTCTGGAGCTAGTTAGCAATCTCGTTATATCATCATTACTAGTTTCTTCAGCTTTCCACTGCAAGTGACGTATTATTGAAGCCTTTCTCATCGCAGTTATATTACTGAACAGGCACAATTTTAACTAAATCTTATCAGATATTTCCACCCCTCTATGGAGCGAAAATGAAATAATATTATGGCTTCGGTCTCTAGAGTAATAACTTCAATAAAACCACTCATCGAAGGAACCTGAATCTTGTTGTCAATGCCATACATCCATAAGGGAAATCCCGTTAATGTTTGCTTTCGCAAGCTAAACCTGTCTGTTCGATACGATCTTTATGAGAATACCGTCAGGCTTGAAGCCTGCATCAATATATTCCTGAGTCATGTAGGCCGGAGCAGCTACATCTGCAATCTGCGTACCAAAGGAACCGCCATCCGCTTGACACTTGAGGATGCTGTCAGCCTCCGGCTTCTTACCACCATCGATGGTGTCTGCAATATCGGAAAAGAGGACCGAGGAGTCGTATGTCAGGTTGGTCTTTTTGGCGTAAGCTGCTGCTGTGCCACGCGCATACAGAATCCATTCTCCACAGTCAGGCGCATCGGCCGCCTTCATGGTGAACACTATTAGTCAACGGGTTAGTAGTCTGCTTCAATTGGCATTTTTAACATGCCTGCTGGGCACGACCGTGCCTAGGTTACGTGAATAATGGAATTTATTAGCCCATACATCTACCAATTCTAGTCTGTCGACCATAGGCGCGAAGATAGCTTGCTATGAAGCTGACATCCTTTGGGTCGACATCCTGGGGGATGTCGTTCTCTCCTGAGTAGCAATGCATGTTGGGAGTTTCATCGAAGCAAATAGTGCGGACCCCAGCCTCAAACCCCGGGATGGTCGCCGGCAGTGCAACGGCACCGGTGGTCATAAGAAGGGCGGCATACTTGATCACGGCTGAGGAAAACAGCATATTGACAGAGTTTGTTGGGTTGCTAATCACTGATGAATGTGGTTTGATATCAAAAGAGAGTTGTGGATTGGACCTTTCATGGAGGAGAAGCTGCCACTGAAAACCAAGATACTTATAGCATTTTCATCAGCTTGCCCGTCAGCACTGATGCAGCTGGAATTCGGTACACCAACTCTCCAGCATATAGACGATGTGACGCGGGAGGGATATGCATGTACTTCCCCTGCATGATGAGGATGACTGCCACTTCAACTAAATGAGGTGGCGGTTTTTAGAGCGGACTCCTGGATGACCAGAGCTTGAGGGAGTGCGGCTCATCGGATCATGTTGTATCCCTACGTGTAGCCAATTCTCTAGTTTGGATTTCCAGAGGTTTGAGAGTGGAGCAATATCTCAACACCGCCATTTGATATCACCGGGCTACATAGCAGTTTGACGTCAGCCTTAGTGTGTTGGCCTTGGTTGTCTTGCAGGTGGTCTTGCATATCAGATGGATGTCATTGTCTGGAGTGTAAGAGTCAATGGTAGAGGTGACTGTCAAAAAAGCATCGACAGGTTTGTTATGAAGTGTAAGCTCAGAGCCTTGTCCGCAGTAGAGTGGAAGCACGGAACCCGGACGATATCTCGGCGAGATATGGAGGACTCGCTTACTCCTCCGGTGTGATATATATACTCCGTAGTGTTGCATGTGTGCTCTGCATATGACATCATTGGCTGTAACTACCCCAGGTAAGATCCATTATTTAGTTACCTAATCCCAATCAGGAAATAATGTCATGCTTCTAATCCGTACATCCATACCTCTCATTTTATATATGTCCGTGATTTCAACTTTGCTGCCAACACGGTTACATTCTGCAGCTTATGAATAGCTTGAATGTAATTTTATATATCTATTATTCAACAATCCTTCGCTATCAGGTGTTGCACAAACGTCGTTTATCTCTTAAAGCATGGACTTTTTTTCACTACGTGGGAGCCGACCACCTTGAAGCACTACAATGCATGTACTCTTTAGCATCAGGTGCGGCTAGTAGAAACCAGTTGACTTATTGTGCTTTTGGCCTACTAGTTAAACAATGCTACGGCTCGGCTAGTGATGGCCATGGGAATATGAGGATGAGTAATGGTGTGGTTGCATGGAAATCTAGATTCATTCTCCGAGACGTGGGGGCCGTCATCTCTCAGTCCCTGTGAAGAGGCTAACATCGGAGTGTTCTCAGATTATCCATGAATTCTCTAACCTTCTCCTCAAATAGTTTAGTTGTGGATCGGTTGCCTGCTCAGCCCACCGAGCAAACGGAGGTTCAGGGTGCCGAGAGATGATACTCTCATAGAAACTCATTTACTCCGAAGGGGCCATACACTCCCCTTGACTGCGCTTGACTTCCCTTGCTAGGTCTTCTACAATTTCACCTGGGTATGTTTCAAACAAGAAACTTCTACAAGGAGCACCCTTACCTGCGTCTTACCGAAAGGAACCTTGTGTTTACTGTCGGAAATTGCGCTCACGGTTTCCTGGGCCTCGAAACCATGTCCCACTGTCCCCGAGAAGAGAGTGTGTTCAGTGGACGGAAAAAAAAAAAAAAAAAAAAAATCGCATCACTAGATAAGAGGTCTTTTTCCTCCATTCTGGATGGTGAGTAGTAAACTGTATTTTCTAGTCAGGCAAATTCGTTTCTGTGGCAAGAGAATATGGCTTCTCTGAAGTTGTTTCTTGGACTTCTGTTCTGCGTGGTGGGAAAGGCTAATTTATTGTACGATTCCAAAAGATACCCGAATCTTCCAAGTTATGGACCACAGGTGAATAGAAAACGACCTTGCATTGCTTATTGCCAAGCATGGACAGAATTGGCTGATTTTTCTGCGGTAGCCCAATGCCCCGTACATGGTGGACAATCAATACAATTACTTCAAAGTTGCACCAGATAAAGGTATGTCATTATCACCGGGCGATAGCTGCATGGAGTGGAATATTTTTGAAAATTTACATTAACTCGGGGATAGGAGAACAAAATGGGCCGGTGCGGCTTGAATCTGGTAGCTTTGAGAGCTACATATCAATGTTTAACACGCCAGATGCCAACTCAAAAAACCCTACTGGAGGTTCTTCAAACATTACTACCACAGCTAGTAGCTACTGGTTGCCGAAACTTGCGCCTTTGGGGAAGGTAAGTGCTTTCTCACGGTGCTAGACTACTGACTGAGCTAATGTATATGTCTAGCAACCAATTGCAGGAAAAGACTATGAGCTCTACAGAGATGTTGTAGAGTATGGTGCAGACAATACAGGAAAGGAGGATGCCACAGAGGCAATAAATGCAGCAATTAAAGATGGCAATCGTTGTGGTTTGGAATGCGGAAATACCTTTGCACAAGGAGCCATAATCTACTTTCCAGTAAGTGAGTTCCTCTTCTGCAAGGCAAATTCATTTACTGATATAGTATTTCCTATTTCTAGCCTGGCACATATAAAATCTGTCGACCTGTCATCCAGCTATACTATACTCAGTTCATTGGTGATGCTCTAGACCCGCCTACAATCAAAGGGTGCGATACCTTTCAAGGCATTGCCCTTTTTGATACAGATCCATACATCCCTAATGGTAATGGTCAAAATTGGTACATTAACCAAAACCAGTTTTTCCGTCAGATTCGTAATTTTATCTTTGACCTAACAGAGATGCCTTTGACCACGGACGACCATGACCAGCCACTTGTGCCCACGGGTATCCACTGGCAGGTTTCCCAGGCTTGCTCATTACAAAATCTGGTCTTCAACATGCCGGAGGCGACTGACAGTAACAAAGTCACTCATGTGGGTATCTTCATGGAAAATGGCAGTGGCGGATTTGTCTCGGATCTAGTGTTCAATGGGGGTAATATCGGCTGGCGTGCTGGTAAGCAAATGAATTGTTAGGTTGACTATTCCTTTATTTCAGACCTAACATCCCCTCTCAAAGGTTCCCAGCAGTATACAGCAATGAACCTCAAGTTCAATGGGTGCCTCACGGCAGTTCAAATGATTTGGGACTGGGGCTTCAATTGGCAACGCATTGAAGTTGACGGCGGGGCAATTGCATTTAACATTAGTGGTAGGGGTGGTAGCACTGGACAGGGCATAGGCTCTGTCTCCATCATTGGTATGTTTCTATAATACATGATTGCATGTTTAAACCTGAGCTGACTTGTGCATGCAGACTCGAAGATATCCAATTGCCCAATTGCTATCTTGACCAACTCTCGCGAAGATAGGATCAATGGCCCCCCCAATATTGTTATTGACAATTTGGAGATGATCAATGTTGAAACAACAGTTAAGAGTGAGAATGGTGATGTAATCCTTGATGGTACTGACCATGTTGGCCTCTGGGCAATTGGGCGTCGTTATAAAGGATACAAAGGAACTTATGTTTCCGGTGATGTTGAAGCACCTTCAAAAGGGAAACGCTTGCTGGATAAAGATGGAAAGCTCTTCTATCGACCTCGCCCTCAATATGAAGACCTCGGAGTGGACCAATTTCTTATTGCCACTGAAAATGGCTGTAAGAATGATGGAACTGGTGATAACGCGGGAGATATTAATGCTTTTCTTGAAAAGGCGACTAAGGAACGCAAGATTGCATACTTCCCAGCAGGTATCTACAGAGTTGGCGGCACCGTATTAATTCCGACAGGCTCCAGAGTGCAAGGTTCCAGCTGGTCACAAATACAGGGAGCTGGATTCTATTTCAATGACATTCACAATCCACGCGTGGTAGTACAGGTCGGGAAGAAAGGCGATGTGGGTGACATGGAGATAGTTGATATGATGTTCACTGTCCAAGGAGCTACAGCTGGTGCTATAGTCCTTGAATGGAATGTGCATGAGGACAGTCAAGGATCTGGTTAGTCACATCATTATTTTGACTATCCCCTTTTCCGGCATAGGATGCAATCATTCTAACTTAGAGCCTTCGGGGGCAGCTGCTATGTGGGACTCACATGTTCGTGTGGGAGGAGCTCTTGGTACGGATCTAGATATAGAGACTTGCCCAAAGTTTGAGTTTAGTGATGCTTGCATTTGCGCTTCGCTCTTGTTCCACGTCACGCCTCAGGCCTCAGGTTATTTTGAGAATGTTTGGATATGGCTTGCGGACCAGTAAGTTAAATTCCTCCTGCTAATGTTCAATCTTATGAAACACAATAGATAGAGAGCTAATTTTGGGATCTGATCAGTGACAATGACATGAGTGTCTATGATTCCCCTGACAAGATAGCGAATCAAATTAGTATATATGCCGCTCGTGGAACACTGATAGAGTCTGAAGGGCCCTCTTGGTTCTATGGTACCGGTTCTGAACACACTGTCCTGTACCAATATCAAGTGTATGGAGCGAAAGATGTGAGCAACCAGATCAGTACAAGTATCATAAAGCCGTGCATAGTACTAATTGGATGTTTCCTAGATATATCTCGGCCATATTCAAACAGAAACTCCATATTATCAGCCAGTTCCTATAGCGCCTTTACCATTCTACTCTGCCAAGAAATTTCCTGGTGATCCATCTTTTGAGGAGTGCAGGACCACTGGCTGTTCAACTGCTTGGGGTCTGCGCATCATCAACTCGGAAGGTGTAACACTTCACAGTTCAGGATTATACAGCTTTTTCCAGGAGTATTACCAGGACTGCGTTCCAACACATAACTGTCAAGAGCGTGTTCTCGAAGTTAGAGGCAGTAAAGATGTTGCCCTTTTCAACATTTTCACTGTTGGAATCGTGGAAATCGGAACTGGAATAAAGTAAGAAGCCTTTTTTCATGAGTGTACCTAGGCACATAGACATAACTAACCCTTTAATCTTAGCAACGGTGCCGTTTTCCAGAATGATTCAAATCAAAGGTTCGTTTGATGACTTGGATGTCTTTCCCCTGCAGAACTTGCTCGCTAATGAATGATCACTTCGATGCCAGTGGATTCACTACGGAAGTTAGCGTTTGGCTTCCTTTGCCAGGGGACGATGAATATGATATTGTTTATGTCGGTCCTGATGTGTATGATAATCCCTCAGTTACATGCCCTGCCGATTGCATTCTTGTGTTTCCGACTAGTTCACTTGCTTCACCGACAACCATTGATCCAGGTGACTATACAACTTCTCTTGAGTATGGACACCACGGCACAACAACCATTGGTGGGAGAGAAGTTCCCACATTCTACACAACAGTCACCACAATCACATTGGATATAGACCCAATCACTACAGATGGAATGCCCTACTCAAACATTAATATCACTGAAGGACAGCCAAGTGCTACACTCACTGTACTGCCTAGTGTTGATATTCCACCCATCCCTGTGCCCATGCCAGATGGAGAAGGGAAAACAACCACTCGGAATGTCACAGTTCCACCGTGGCCAGCTATTACCAGAGGACCACCGGAGAGCTGGAGCAATCCTAATACCTCCCCTACAGATGGCACCAAGGAAGGGGTTTACCACACTCCTTTTGTGACCACTGTTGTTGCCACTCATCCAACTGTCTCAACCCTTTCGTTTCCATCAACTGTTAGTCCGATTGTGGTTAAATGTCCTCCTAACTCAAAAGTTCCTTTCAATACTCCGAAAACAACGCCTACAATCTATTGTAGAGTGCCCACAACAGTGTCTGTTGCCTTCACTTGTCCTGCAACAAAGGTTGTTACATTTATTGGTTCCTCTACTGGTGTTTTTACAGTTGACTGCACTGTCTCAACAACCTTCACCAAGCCGGAGGAAACAATTACCCCTGGCCCCACAAATGAACCGGTAGGGATTTCAGAAAATATCCAGAGAGGAAAAAGGGAATAGACCATTTAAAGCTGACCAAGAATTGCCACAAGACAACTACCCTGCCACTGCCAGCGTGGACCACATGGCCACCTGGGGCCATCACACCAGTTGAAGAAGAGATCGAAGAGCCAGAACCAGGTAAAACGACTTGTGATCTCTGGTTTTTTTCAGTAAGTCTTATTATGAGAGAACAGATAATAGTATTATTTTAAGACATTTTGTTTGACTGGGTCCAGATATGTCTGAACAGAGATAACTCTATTTTTGGAGGATTACGCTGGATTCTTCCACCTGGCATATACCCACCGTAAGTAGCGTTCTCAGTACACTTCCACCATCAAACAATGGTATATGAATGTGACATTCTTAAATATAGGGGACCGCCACCTGCGCGCGCGATAAATCTTCCTCCATCATGGACAATAAAGCCTCCTCTCCCACCTTGGCCACCAATAACGTATGATATTGGCTCTGCACTTCCTTACCCTTACCAATCGTATAGGTACGGCACGAACTAACTTGCACAAAGTGTTGGTCGAGATAATATCATAACATACCCCAAGGAGGAGCCTACTAAGTGCGAGAAAACATCGGCTTCAATTTGCGCAACAAGTGTCTTCAAGACAACGACCACTAAGGGTCCAATCACATCTACAATCACATCCACCAGTTCGACATGCAATACAATTTATGGATGTTCAGCATCAGATTGGGACACCACAACAACACAGACACAGACGGGTAACTGTCAATTGCCAACAGCTCTATCAGCTCAAGCTGCCGCAGCGCCGCCCATACCGCCTCCCGGCTGCCCTGCAAATGCCATAGTGTATCCATCCGACATGAAGGATGTGGGGCAAATCCCTCAGCTTCTCGAAAAGTACGAAGGAAAATATGTTGAGATCAAGTCGGAGGTGCTCCGCCTCACAACATTCTTCTGGGTGCCTTTCTTGGATCAAGAGACGATGAACGCCTTGTTACAATCTGTAAGAACTTGATAGCATCCGGCTTTGACCTGCACGAGAGTGACGACTGATTTTGTTATATAGCCTGATGTTTCCGAGGCTTATTACTATGAAAGGTGGAATGCACAAGTGCACCCGCCCGATCCACGTAGCAGCTCCAAGGGTAGAAGTCACCTCGCTGTAGCTTCCACTCTTCACGGCCAGAAGAATGGTAATCACTTTACAAACGGCAACAAGACAGTTCTGGATGCGGGTAATGCGACTCAATTCAATAAGCGAGCGGTGAAGACACGAGAGCATGGCCTCATTTGGGATCTCTCCCAGATCTCCATGCCGAGAGGCAGTATTTGGAGATCCCCTACGAGCCATACGGTAGGGGACGACGAAGAGTTCCTATTCCATTATGATGACATCTCAGGAGACGACCAGTATATATATATATTTGACGAAGATGGCGTCTGGAATGACCATCCTGTGAGACGCCACCCTTTAAACCTATTCAGCGCAACATTGAGTGTTTATCACTGGTTATACTTTTCAAACACAAACTGACTAACATTCAACCTCTGTAGGAAATGGCTTATCACGATGACATCGAAATTTTGGAGCCATATATCCCTTACGGCTATGTTGGTCCCATTCAACCGGACTTAAAGCACGGAACTCGAGTGGCTTCCAAGATTTTAGGAGCTAATTTGGGCATATGTCAAAGGTGTACACTCATCGTTGTCAACCTCTATGGCTCAAGTCAAGCTCCGCTGAGCGACTTGATTCAGGAACGATACGTTGAACAACTGCTACACGTCCTGGAAGATGTTACTCAAAAGCGTCGCAATGGTAAGGCAGTTATTAACATGAGCTTTCAGTTCGCCGAGCACCTCTTGAGAGTGCCATTTTTAAATCGACTGTGTAAGTATCAATGCTACTCCTACGCTTCTATCTCCCTTCCCCTCATTGTGCACTATTTATTTCCTTATCCATTTGAAGGTTATCAAGATGAAGTTATTCAAAACTATTGTTTCTCTCTTACTAACTTTTATCAAATGTTTGGGTGTACTTTACAGATGAACTCTTTACTCTCTTAGACGACCAGAATGTTGCTCTCCTCGCTGCGTCTAGCAATGACGGTAATCAGTACCGACCGATCAACACTTACCCTTCTTTATTCGGAGATCCTACATCTCCACTGTACTTAAAAAACCTTATTGTTGTTGGGGCGACAAATGAAGATGGCCATCTCGCAGATTTCAGCCATTATTCTAACTGGATGACTACATTTGCTCCTGGTGAAGATGTTTATGCTCCGACTTTAGATGAAGGTGGATACGAGACTGATGACGGAACCTCTCTTTGTGAGTTTATAATTCCTTTGTGATATATCTACCAACTTCAAGATATAACAGTCCTATGGATAAAAAGAAGGTAGCTGATAGTGTTTCAAACCTTAGCTGTCGCACTAGTATCTGGTTTGGTAGGATACTATCGATCGTTACCATCTCCCTGGGAAGCCCAACTGCAGTCTCCTGCCAATGTAAAGAAGATGATCAAGATTTTTCACCGCCGTTTTGCTGTCCAGGGTGAACCGGTGAACTTTGCAATGATGAAACCCACCATCTGGAATGCTCAGGTTGGAGCACGTTCATGTTTATCTGACTATCACGAAATTCCTCAATGGGATGTCAACCGCGTATGCCCTCAAATCGAATTGGATCTTGAAAATGATTTCAATGAAGGAGAAACTGTGGAACCTTGCGGCCCTGTAATTAGCAACTCACTTCAGAAATTGGCCGGCTCTTATTGTCCCAATATTCCTGGTGCTGGCTCTGGCGGGCACACTGTTAGCTTCACAAGTAATGGCGGAGCGAAGCCATCGCCTACATGCGCATCTGGAACCGGCTGTGGTGGCCACTTATGCACCGGCTTTTTCTGTTCGCCCATGCCAACAGGAGTCCCCCCGGATCGCCATGACCCAAAAGACCCAAATGCAGGCAATCCGGTGCCGACGACCACCAGGCCTAGCGACCCAGACCCCACATGCGATGACAAATGCAAGTTGGACAGGGGCAACCGATGTGCATGTAATGAGAATGGATGTGATGATCAATCACCAGGCTGCTGTGCCAATGCCAGCTGTCCCTATTGCGAATGTAATGAGAATAGCTGTTCCCCTGGCTCACCTTGGTGCTGTGCAAACGATACGTGTGAGTGGTCAAGAACAGGTGGTGGTGGAGGGTACAATCCTCGTCCAAAACCAAGGACTGGATTTGTTTTGATTTCTGTGTCTAGTGTCGAAAATCCCGCTCCACCATATATTCATCACTATTGGGAAGTCTGGTCCAAACTGCATCCAAATAAAGTTGATCTGTGTGGGGATGAGCCTCTTGTGAAAGAAAAAACAGATGATGTGAAAGGGGCATTCCCTCCCTCCCTTGGACCATTTACTGCAAATGGGGTTACATGCGAATACATTGGTGACAAGAAACAGGCTGGTAAGCTGGAATGTGATACTAATGTCGCCAAAACTTCATGTAGGGCTCTGGATCCAATCGAGACATATGAATGTACCCTGGAAAACCCGATAAAACACCTCACTGTGCAGTGTGAGTGGGAAGCGGTTGACTAGGAAAGGAGGGATTTATCGAGAAAGTGATTTTCGGAAAGACAGAAGAAAGAGATACAACATTGTTTTGATATGTTAACTTGTGATGTATATGAACTTTTAGACTCATTGTGGTTGAATCTCAGTTGTCAACTTGTCATTAGGATATCTTTGATTTCCCAGACGTATCAATGGCTGTTGAGTGTATGTTGAATTGTAATTTGTCTTCTACTATTACTGTCAATTCATCAGACACATCAATGTCTATTATATTAGCCTCTAGCAATCCCGCAACTATGAAGATGATGAGAGTAACCTCAGTTTTAACTTATATTATGCTGTGACATCATCAATGACAGCTACAGTGATTGTGTGATATAGTAAATATTAACTTAAGAGAAGATATACTGGCACTGATTTACAAATGAAATAAGATGATATCTGAAGTGTGAGTTCTGTGCCGAGAACAGTAGAAATATATACTCTTGGTCTTAGTTCCACCTCTACGCCCTCAAGTCCAAGGACCTGCTTCTCACACGCTGTCGCAACCACGATTGCATCTACAGATGTCATCCCGATGGTTCTCACATGCCATCTGTGCTGCCGTTAACCACATCTCTTTCTTGGTAGGTAGGTACATTACATAGACAAGGGTATATTCTCCCCCCCCCCCCCCCTTCACACAACTTCACCTTCATGTTTTCCTGCACCACACACCACCCCCACTGCAGTCTCGATGTCTTCCCGTTAGTTATCCCCCCACTCTTCTTCCCGCAAACCTCAACGCTCATAGCCACAGCACACACTGCCGCTTCCCAGCCCTGGTCGGAGCGGATTGTGTAGAGGAGTGAGATCACCAATTGGAAGTGTCTCCGTATCTGGGAAGGCAGGCTTCACAGGGGAAGCACCTGTCTACATTGCGCTGACGCGGGGAAAGTTGCTTGCAATGCTGAAGAATGTTGGGGGCCCCCTCGGGGGGGCGGGGGGGGGAGGCGCTGTGAAGCGGTTTTTCACACAAGGACAATCTGCAAAAAAACGTGAGTAAGGAATTTACGCAGAATCTGGCGTTGAAAGCGAGGTCATGGCGACAGGACTGGAGAAGGGCGGAAGTTAGTCTATTTTATGAAAGTAAATAATAAGAACATGGGATAGCTTCGGCCGGTGTCTTTAACCCTTTAAGTTACCCCTATTTCCCGCACACATGCCCGTTCGCGCCTACTAAGCGCGTTTACGCCAACTACATTCTACACCTCTTTGTGTATTTTACGCACTCCTCACTCCTCCTCCACCACCTCTGAGGCGACAAACCCCATGCTATATTTTATTTAAGTATCTTAAGATGAGTGGCGGACTGCATACCCAAACCATGTGGACTCATATTTGGACTCATACAATTCAGCCCATTGATATATAGACCTCACGTAATAACATTCAAGCCACACTGCTATTAACTCAGAACCTTCCACAAGTGATTAAATATACATGCTAGGCTCCCTTGGCCGGGTGCATGAACCTAGAGGCAACGATGCAATCGCGCATGGTCTAGTTGCAACGAGTCCGAGCAACCGCGGGCTTTATGGGGGTTGGGAGTTTAGTCTGCATGGGTGAGATTTTGTACGCCGTAGCAGGGTCACGGAACCCATGTAGGACAAACAGGGTCCAGGTTGGCAGTTGAACCGCGGTTGACAAGGAAGCACGGGGAGGGGGAAAAAAAAGAAGTCAGCGAGTCCGAAGCCTGATGCTGGCCTGGGGCGCTTAGTCTAAAAGCAAAACATGTCTGCGCTTTGGAGCAAGGCAGGAGAAATCAACCAGTGTTGTATAACTTTGTGCACTGCCTGTCCTGAGCTTCTGAGAGAAGTGCCAATCTCATATATAGGCATACACTGGCTTGTCTGCTAGCATAAAGGGTCTCGAATATCTCTCCATTGGTCTTTTATAACTACATCAATTTTTCTCTCTATATTGTCTCGGCCTGATATTTCGGTGGGGATCGGTTGTATAGTACCTAGTGCGCCAAGGGCCAACTGTTTCTGCCCTGGGGATTAACCTGAAGGACTTATGTTTTGCCGAGAAGCCCGTTCCCTTATGGTGTAACTAGTTATGTTGTACAAATTTGGTCTAGCTCCATGCGACGGACGCTCCGCCACTCCTATGAGGATCGGGGCCGTGACTCTTGTACAACCGACGCTGTCCATATGCTTGCCCATCCCCGTTGGCTGTGCTCCTTCACAATGCTACCCTGTTGCGCAAGGTGATCTCACTCCTGCTGCCCATGTCTACCATCAGCTTCGGGTACGGGAAGTCAACCAGAGGGCACCAGAGTAAGTGGCTGCGGATCTGGAAGGCCTGGAAGGCCTGTGAGCGCAACCTGTAGCGCATTCTGTGTCTAGTCTAGAAGGATTTTCGGGATGGTGCGGACCCCTTTCCTCTACGAGGAATACCTCTATCTTCCTTAGGATAGGACTACCTATAAGCCGAATCACGGCATTTGTTGCTTCCATATTTTGAGTGGTAGATAGTGTGTCGCATCCAAGCGCTAGGGTGTTTCCAGTCATGTTTTCTGAAGACAACAGCAGGGTGATTTTCCGTCTTCTTGACTTGCGCAGCACCGCTACGACTTTCGCTTTGGACCCAAATTTGATCGCGTTCGGCGTACCACAGACTGGCGCGGGCTGGCGGTAAAACTGTTGTTATAAGGCAGGCTGAGGCCCTCCCTGGCAGATGCTTGCGCGCTGCTGCAGAGGGATAACGACCACACACACTTGGCGCTACTGTGCGATTCTCAACACACGACTTTAAGCCGTAAATGCAGGTTCAATTTTTAATTCCAACCCGTTTGCAGGTTTAAATAACAACCCAATCTTCTGCAACACCACTGGCTTCGAGACATGGCAGAACCTCCACCGCGCCACGAGCTTCATAACCAGGACTTTGACCTCAAGCAATGCGAACGATTTTCCCAGACAAGCTCGCGCACCGGTATTGAATGCCTGGAATGCGTATCCATCACGAGCTGAAGGAGGCAATGCTTTCCAACGATCAGGATCAAATTTCTCTGGATCTCGGCCCCAGATAGTACAGTTAGACTGAGGCATAACTGGGAACATGAGGACGGTTGTGCCAGATGGAATAAGTTGGCCACATATTGAAATGTCATGTATGGCTTCACGCATGGTGCATGTGGCTAAAATTGAATACACTATCAGCGTTCTTCTCGACATGTTATCATATACAGTTAGTGAGAAATATATCTTACAGGGAGGATAACAGCGAAGAACTTCCTTGACAAAGTGATCCAAAAACTCCATATTGCATATGTCAGAATACTTGAGACCATTAGGTTTCCCATAGTTCAATGCATTGATTTCGCTTCGCAGGCAATCCTGTACATCCTGATGGCTTGCGAGTGCATGAAATGCCCACATCAGGGTGGTTCCGACGGTCTCCAGTCCTGTTTTAACCCGGTTAGTTATCCGGTCCAAAGCCAAACCCAAGGCGTGGAAGGCTCACCAGCAGCTAAGAAAGTTCGAAGCTACATTACATTACTCAGTTAGCAGGCCAAAAATCTCCCATATCCAAGCCTGGACTCAGAATTCATCGATCAGAAGTTGGGCTTACATGGTCCACAATTTCATCTTCAGCGCATTCACCACACCTCTTCAATTGCTCTTGAATTATGAGTGCCAATAGGTCCTTGTTCGATGGTCGCGATCCTTCACTCTGTAAACTTCGTATTTCATGAACTTGTTGCTGTACATGTTTCTTCAATATTTGCTTTATCTTAGTATTTGCATTAACGTATTCTCGATTCGTTCTCATTGGTAAAAGTCGTCGTATCGGTACCCAAGCATTGAGAACGAGCATAACACGGGACATCGTAGTAGAACTGAATATGGTGTGGTAACATGGCCCCAGTTCACTGGCAAAGGGATGGCCGTCGAGCTCGAGTCCAAGAATTGCTTGGCCGATTATATCAAGAGCCGTCTTTGATATCAAGGAGGAAACTGCCCCGAAAAACTTTAGCATCGTCCACTGTAACTTACAGGCACCAATCCTTACTTTCAATGGTCCCTGTTTCGCTATTCTCAAACTCTGCCCCGAGGGAAGAAGAAAGCTCATCAGCTTTCAGTTCGAAGACTGGTAGCAAGTGTCTGACATTGCTGTTTAAAAAGGGCCCTTGTAATTGTCAGCCACAAACCCAACTCTAATGGAAAGAATAGGCGAAGGGTCCGGCTCGGGTAGAGGCTCGAAATACCGGCAAGTAACTTCTTTTGCTTTCTGTGGACCTCTCCTTCGGCAAAAAAGAGACCACCTCCAACCATATCCCCTACCAAACGCTTTAGGAATCTTGGTTTGGCGAAGGCGTATGCATGGGTAAATGTTACTTCACGGAACGCCCTTGGACTGTTAACAAGAACCAGTTCCTGGTTCCCTGGCGCAACATATCGTATTAGATCCGCATCCGGAAATTTCCTCATCCATGTCAAGGCGATGGAAGTCGGGCTAGAGGCCTTGATTTGACTGTAAGTTTGGCCAATAAGGAATTGTGCATACTGCGAAAGGAGTCAGTTCTTATATCCATGGAGATCTTTGATAGAATGGTCAACACAAACACTTGGGCCAGGGAGAGAGCGTAGTGGCGACGCCATCGGTGGATATATCCAAATCCAATAGATCTTTAAGATAACATATTGAATAATGAAAAGGGGCCAAAAGACCTCACGGCAGAACGATATGGTACCTTGATTAAAAAGATGGAAAGTATAGGTTTCCACAATAGATAGAGACGCGACTTTGAGGATGTCCATATGCACGGTAGTTTCGCAAGATGGAATCAATGTCAATGGATTCTGAGTAGCCCCGCCCTTAATAAAAGGAGTATGAAAATGACTCTCCAGAAACGATACAACAAAGATGCGAAAGGTGCGAATCTCTGTGCTTTAGTAGTCTTACATTAATTCCACGCCTTCCGGACCTTGGCTGCCCTCGGCGCTCTCGGAGGCGGGATTAATTGATGCGTCTGGGTATCATAAATAATCGCAACACCCCACGGGCCAAGCCTTCTGCAACACAAACGCAGCGTATTAAAAAAGGCTTGGACGTTTGGAGTGCCCGAACTGAAGGGGGAGAAGGTCCCGCAGGCAAGCAGGTGGGTGGGGTATTGCTATAGTGATATTTAGTATTACCCACACACCACAGGCGCAGAAATAGGTGAATATATCCGCATATATCTTAGAAACATGACAGAAACAAGGTAGAAACAAGACAGAAATCAAGAGGGAAACATCGTCATGATCGCCAGATAGCGTGTAAACGAACATCTCAAGAAAAGTTCCCTGAATAGGAACGAATCAAATCAAACAGCTAACGTATAATCCACGGGACCCGGTATGTATATGGGTATTAGAGTTGTGTCTCTAGTATAGATCGGGCTTCATTTCCGGTCCAAGGATGGTCTAAATATATTAATTTAGGCTTGAGGTGACATCCCTGAACGATTTTTTTAACTGAGGGGACTTCCAAGGCCAACAAGACTGCAGCCAGCCGACCTCAGCATCGACGCTGGAGTGGCGAAAGATTGATGATGTCGCTGTACACCCGTATGAGGGTGATCACGTTAGAAGGGTGAATCAATTGCATCGACGGGCCATACACACAAAATGATGCTAAATAAATCGTTGATATAGGGTTGACATTTGCGGATCCTTGCAGGTGAAACCATAATAATAGTTACCGAAACATTGAAACCCGAGTACTAAAAGCTCGGATTTGGTGTCCCCATTCAGCATGGTGTTCTAGGATTACTTCCACGCATTGTTTTGCCCACTCTCGAGTCTCGAAGTCCCGCCCGCGTGGGCGTAGTTCCCAGCCAAATCAATGGCCGTAGTCCACCGTAGTCCACCGGCGATTTTCAGTCTCCCAAGAACATCTATGGGTCCCAATGCCTCCTCCATGTGGAGGGTGAAGAAGGGGTATTTCTAGATGCTTTTGCGTATTGCCATGTCACCCGCCGTTAGCAAAGAATGCCACCCTAAGCAGTAACTGTGTTCCCAGAAAGATCGACATAATAGATAAACAGCTCTCTCAAATTTCGTTGTCTTCGTGTCGTGCAATTTTGGCCATGTTGTGAGAATGAATGTCCACCTCGAAGAGTCGGACAAAAATGTTGGTTAGTTGCTCCGACTAGTTACTACAGTCACGTGTCTCACATTCTACTCAAGTATCTAGAGAATCTCACAGATCATAATACATACATACAATGTTGATTCTTCTACAAAAGATAATGGTGAAGGCAGATTTATAAGCTGGACTACTCAATTTGACGGCACTAACTTTTTGAAGAAGATGCACTGCACAACGTTGGAATGTTCTATCAGCTCTTGGCATCTGAAAACAATTCATCATCTTTGACCGCAGTTTCTATTTATATATAAATCTGATGATATCATGTATTATCTACCTTTTTATTCGGGTTATTTTGAGGTATGCTGTATGAGAAATAGAGCTGAGAATATTAAGATTCAGAGTGAGATGTGTCATGTCACACAATGTACGGAGTAATGAGCTGAGCATCATCCTTAAACTATATATAGAATTCAGGTGCTGATAATAACTAGTAACTAGTAGCTATTACTGTTGTTTGATCAAGCGATTAGAGATCTGCACTCAAGGGTTTGAGACACTGCATATAGACTCATAAATTAAGAATAGCAGTCATCAAAGTATATATTAAAATATATTATTAAATTAGAAAATCAGTGTAAGTTCGTCCAGCAGCAGATACATAGAGAGATAAATAATATATATGTTCAAATGATGTGTGCACGCGTTGTTTTTTTTTATATGCCAAGAACTGACACTAAATCCAGACCAAATTGCCGCTGGCTATTTTTGGCTACAACTACATATTAAAATATAGACAGGCTGGGTTAGATATGTTGAATGTAGCTGGAGGTTACTTTTATCAGCTGTATGGTATAGTTAACCCTGCAGGAATCATTATATATCTTCGAGGATTCAGCCGATTGGAAGGGATTATTAAGGCATGAAAATGGATGATGAATTAGTTATCATGTTTGAAAAGTGAGATAAGAGTTTCTCTCCCTCTTTAACTCGAATACACAATAAATAATACTAAGAAACAGAAGTAGTAAAGGATTCAACTCGCACTCTCGCTGCTCTGCTATCACATGACACTGAACCAACCCCCTTTACCCCTTCGAACATCTTCACATTATTACTGATTCGCCGTGAGAGAGCCACGGAATCTATGATCAAGGTACTTCTTCAAAACACATACCCGTAAACCAGCAGATTTCGTGTTCTTCGGCCTTGGAACGAACAGGTCATGGCCAATCTCAATATCGTCGCTAGACGTATCTCGAAGCTCAAGCTCGAACTTTCTGAAAATGGTAGCAGTGGTAATAAGAAGGATCGTCTGCGCTAGTCTATACATATAAATAGAATAGTTATAAATATAATGAGCAAATGTCAGATTGGTTGAGTTTTCTGGTTAAATGAGCCTCAAGCAGAAAAAAATCCGATTCTAGGAGATATTTAATAAACTAACCGTTGCCCAACACATCGCCGAGACCCTTTCCCAAAGGAAACCAGATACCTCTCAAGTCGCTTTCGTTCGTCCAGATCCAGCCAGCGCTCTGGTACAAACTTGTGTGAGTCCGGGAAGATGGTTTCGTTGTGGTGCATAAGGACCGATGTCATTCCAACGGGAGTCTGTCCATTGAGAGATAGATTAATGAGTAGAGGTCCGTTCTATCAATGTTGGAATGATAAAATTATAATCCGATGGCTCTCGTACTTACCCCTGGAGGAATACAGTAATCCCTGTAGTGAATTGCTTGGTCAGGCGATTTCCGTTGCAACCTTGTGCTCACTCCGTACGATAGCCTATGAACTATCTTAGCACGGCCTTTGTGTCATTGTGCTGCACGTGTCAATCATTACCTCAGCCCCTCGAGAATGACCGAGGTCTAATGGCAATAAGTTAGCTGATATTTTATCATTCTGATCTCTGTAGAGATTACCCAGGGAGACGAACCAGGTATGGAAGCTGTTCCAGTTTCTGGGCTGGCTGCTTAGAGCTCCAGTCGCCTTCGAAGGTAGAAAGCTCATCGCGAAGTCGCTGGATTTTGTCTGGATTGTCTAGAAGGTAGTAAGTTATGACCGTTAACGCGTTTGAGGTTGTTTCAATTCCCGCTGCTGTTGTTGATCGGACTTCTTGAAGAATTCGTTCAGGGGCTTTCTCTTCGACTGGCAATCTAGAGTCGAGGATTTGATCGATCAACGAGTATCCTTTCGATGCTTTCGATGTCGTGCATGTGGGTTGCCTGTCGTTCTCTCCGTCTCTGTCCATTTGTATCTGTTTAATCCTCCGACGAAATCCTTCTTCCAGCTCAAAGAACAAGCCTAGGCCAGGTTTCATGGAGATTGCCAAGGTTCGAGGGAAATATTTTAGGATCTTCAGCACCCAGATTACCTGCCTAGATACCATCACCATTTCTGATAAGGACACCAACGCCCGCCTCCAGTGTGGAAGCCACCCAGGTGCGTCAAGCCATTGCTGGCGTTCATCCAGCACGTATGAAACAATGAGGTCAGTCGCCAAACATGTGTACCCAAGCGACAGTGGTACCGTCTTGCCTGTGATCCGGAATTGTTCCAGGTGTCCACAAAGCTTGTTGACAAGGTGATGAACCAGGCCTTCGTGTTGGGCCACCCTTCTTTTGCAGAAGAATGGGTTCAATGCACCTCTACGGTGACGATGTTGGTGGTGACTCTCCGTTCCAAATGCGGATAACGGAAATCCGAATGGTTCTAGATAGTACTGGTACTTATCTCGAGGAGAGCTATACGAGTATAATACGTGGTAATAATCAGGATCATCGATATGCAATTCGTATGGGCTGATCCGGATGATTGACCCTGTGGGAATCTACGAGTTAGGGCTTCCTTTTCGGCCTCTAAATGACATAGCAAACGACGACATACTGACCATATTGTTGATGCAGTTCCTTTATTTTGAAGGTGTATTGGCCTTTGCAAACAGCATCGTAATAATACTCATACCATAAAGTCGCGGCTGCTAGCTTCGGCCCTGGGAACTTTGCCAGTGGAGAAATATATAATCGATATATCACACCGCCGACAACGTAGAGTATGAAAAGGGACCATGCTGCAACGAGAAACCCAGTAGTAACGGCCAAACGATACACCTTGATCAACATCGTCGTCGTTAACCTGTACTGACACCCACTCTCATGGCATTGAAAAATGCCGTCCATATCAAGGAGAATAATAGTAGCGTCTTAATACAGCGTAGAATCGACTCTGTAAGAAAATATGGGAATGGTTGGATGTATCCTTCAAGCTGCCATCGAAGGGTTCCTCTGGGTATATCAGGTACTTTTGAATTGCCCATTCCCAGACGCTCAGGGCCACAGGAACATAACAAGTAACCTTGTCGACATCTTCGTAGCTGCAAAAGTTTTCGTGACTTTTCTGTAGGTTCATCTTTTAACTGGAAAACCGGGCGACGAATGTTCGGTACAGTGCTTCCGACGCGCACAATCCCTAGAATCAAGGTTTTGTGAGCAGGCTCGTTTTGAACGGAAGCCTTTGGCGGCATTCATGTTTTCTTCCCTCAATTGAGGCTAGAAGAACTTCGAAGATGTCGGATTAGCTTCGGGTACTGGTTGTTGCAAGCGCTAGAGAATGCCGCTTGATCGTGATGACGCTGCCAGACTTCTCGAGTCTTCAGATCTCTCGTTCCTTTGCCGCAGATTGCATGCATGTACTGTACAACATGACATCTACACGCTGGTGCAAAGCGCGTTTTCGCCAGCCGCAGCTGAGCAGTTAAAATAAGAAAGCCCAAGTCTGGTAACTAATAGGGAAGATAGATGCCAGTAACGTTGCAATCAACCTGCTTAAAAGCCGCGGTCAGAAGACCTCTGTGCTCGAACTTCACATGTTTGTCCAACGTGCTTTTGCATGTACCCGAGCCTTGCTCTCTCTTCATCCACCGATGAGATAACATATCCGATGCAGAGCATCGATATCGATACTGCCATTGCTCTGCATGTACCGGCCATGGTATGGGTATGTGGCCGGACGAGGAGAAGAAGAGAACTGTTGATAACACCTACCTCGATACCGGGCGCGGTGATCGTATGAAATATCTACAGATGCATTGAGATGCGGCATTCGTGTCGGCTAGAGGTACAGATCATCGCACCCAAAATGTAACGGTCGTACCATCACTTTTGCATTTCAACATAGCAGTTGATGCCCGGCTCAGGCAGATTTTCTCGTTCGTCCAACGTGCATTTCGCAGGAGTTCTTTCTGCATCTAAAATATGTGTGCTGAATAGCTTATCACAAAGCGCCACCTCTTAAATATCAGGGCTGATAGCGTGGCTGGGGATAGGCCTTAGGGCTAAAACGGTGTTACTCGGCCAAACTCCGCAGGTAGGAAGAAAAACAGAGCATCCGGGACAAGTTTTGGCTGGCTGGTCTGGATTTATAACCCGACGCTGCCGGGTTGGCACTGAAACTGATAACGTAGTAACATGTTCAATAATAGAAGTTTGAGGGCGGAAAAGAATATAGACATCAGGGATTCCAAATCAAAAGCTCGAAAACAAAGCCGTGATATCCGATATCTATAGAAAAACTCTGAATACGCCTCCCGTTAACATCTACGGAGTATAGGGATGAGTGATGGAATGATGGTGCCGAGTCGATATCGATTGTACACACCTACGAGCTACTGTACCCATCTAACATGGAGGATGAGGGGAAGAGAGCAAAGAGCCATGTAGGCGCCAGCGCTATACAGGCCTGAGCAGGTGAGGTGAGTTTGCATATTTAGCCGGGTTGAATGGTTCTAGGCTGGGAAAATCAAAACGGGGTTAATTAAGACCAATCTCCCCGCTTCATGGCCGCGACGCGTGGCATTTGACCTAATGCATAACTAGGACGAAATCAAACCTCGAATCAGGGACTCGATGTTGTGTATAGAGTATGAGGTTCTGCAAAGAATGCTAAAATTAAATATATGTCACCATTTTTGAATTGAATACCTATCTAAATAGACGAGTGGCCGCGCGAGAAGGGGTCTTAATTTCGTCACAGAGAAATCGACCACTTATTAAACTAAAAGTTGAGCTTGAATTGAACCCACACATACACACACTTGCGCTTATAGATTTTCATCATCTGCTGGAGAAGCAACCACTCAAAACATGTCGATAGCTGAAATATTTTAGAACAAAAAGTAACCGATACGTCTCCAAAGAGGGGCGTTGCGCTTCTTCTCCAGCTTGCGGTTGTGCTCTTCCCAGTCGATCTCTCGGCGGCCGGAATCAACATCGATTTGGCTAAGCCTGAGCCAGCCCTCGCGTTTCCACACGTAACCACAGATCCAGAAGAACATGACAACGGGGGCAGCAAGGTAAGACTTGAAGAAGGCCTGAGCGTTCATTTCAGCCACCGCGACGTAGAACTACAATTAAGTACCGTACGTTAGTGAATATTTCTGCTGCGTGTCAACGGTAGATGGAGATTCGATATGGTGTATGGGGAAAAAAGGAACTCGACAAACCTGTGCAGCAAGAACGATAGCGATAAGGAACAGACCCAGCCACGATCCCCAAACACCGAAAGCGGCTGTGAATGGAAGCTCAGCGACGGTGTGGCCTTGGTAAGCCCATGCCTGTCGGAAGCGAATATGGGCGAAGCAAATCTAACTTCAGTTAGCCAAAAATTACATATATAGCTAGGGATTAGAACATGAACTCACGCTTCCCCAAGTGAAGAGGGCGGCAAGACCAGACAGCGCAAGTAGCCAAGCAAAAATTTCCTCTCCAGAGGCAGACAAGTTGATATAAGCAAACCCGCCAAAAGCGATAATTGTAATCGTTGACACCAAGGGTCTCCCAGCACGATCGACATAGGCAAATATCTTGGGTGCATAGCCTTGCTCAGCCAGAGCTGTTAGGGTTCGGGAACCCCCGTAGACACTTGAATTTCCAATGGAGAGAACAGAAATCAAGATAACGACGTTCATGAAATGGTCAAATCCTATGAGACCGGCGTTTTTGGCAACAATAACGAAAGGGGATGCTTTGACATCGATGTAGCCACTTCCGATCAATCGCTCTTCATCATAGGGGATGAGGAGGCCAACGAAAAACAGAGCAAGGATATAGAACAAGGTAATACGCCAAAACACTTGCTTCACCGCGGAAGGTAGAGACTGGACAGGTGTTTTGGATTCGGCGGCAGCGAGGCCAACCAGTTCTGTTCCTGAGAAGGCAAACGCTGCGGTGACAAAGACGGAACAGAAGCCTTTAAAGCCATTTCGGAATGCGCCGGGGTTGTACCAAAGTCTGGCACCCCAATACTGGGAATAAAGGCCGTTTTCGGGCCCACCACCAAGGACACAAATGAGCGCGATGATCATAAAGATGACAATAGCTGCGAGTTTCAGGCAACTGCTCCAGAATTCTTCCTCTCCGTAGCCGAGGACGCCGAAGACGTTGATAATAATGATTGCAACCATGAAAATCGTGATCCAAACTGCGATGTTAATGTCTACACCCCAATATCCGATTGTCATGGCTGCTACAGTGAGTTCAAGCGGTAAAACAATGGCCCATTGGAAAACGTAATTCCAACCCATGGCGAAGCCCCAGGAGGGATCGATGAACCGTGTTGAATAGGTATAGAAACCACCAGAGATCGGGAACATGATAGCAAGTTCACCAAGGGCGTAAACGACGTTGAACATCATCTACATGCATGTATAAGTTTTAATATATTAGCGCTTGCTGTTAACGATCAAAGCTGCAGTAAGCCACGTTTCCGCCATTAGGAGCATCGATCACGTACCACACCAACAATTCCAAAGTCGATGAGTAGAGTTGCGGGGCCGCCAGTGCTCAGGGAACCGCCAGAGCCCACGAACAAACCAGCTCCGATACTGCCACCGATTGCAATCATGTGCAAATGGCGGCTTTTAAGCGTTCGGTTCAACTGGTTGTGCTTGTCCGCAAGTGTTCTCCTCTTGAACGACTCAGGAGTGCACCCCATACGGGTCCAGAAACCCAACTCATCCCCGCCTTCAGCAGTCCCTACGAGCACAGGGCTGCCACCATCTTCAAAGTAAGTCGGCAAGGGGGCTACCGGAGCTTCCCCTTTGAAGCCCTTTTCATTCTCGTCTTTTCCCATAATAAGAGTATTCGAGTGCAGCGGAAATGGGATATTGTATAGAGATCAGAGATCAGAGATGGAGGAGAGGAACACAAAACACCTCAGTCGCGAGAGAACTAGGCACAACACCGCAAAACGGTAGAGAACAGGGAAGAGAGAAGAGAGGAAGAAAATAAAAAATTGACGGTCAGGGATGCAACACGCAGGGCGAAGAAAGGGGGGAAGGTTGACCGATGCCAAGACTCCGCCTGGGTTGCCCCGACTGCAGATGTGAAGGGAGGGAGGAGAACGAAGACGACAAAGAACTAACAACTAGACGACGACAACAACAACGACAACGGGACCGACGAAACAGCAGGAATCGGGGGTGGGAACTGGGCCCATTGATGTGTCAAACTTGAAATAAGCCCCGTGGGTATCCTGCTTTTTGGCCTTGACCTCTCCAGCTCGGTTATTGACGCCAATGCTAGCGGGAGACACGCCAAGATAAGGGAATGCGATTGACCCGCTCCCACCTGGCGAATTGATATTAATTTGGGTCACAGGCATATCCTATCGCGCGGGCTCCTATGGGATGTGATGTGGCGATGGAATCAATAATTAACGGGGCTAGGGACACGGCTCCCGACTTCTAGGAAAAACCCGCAACAACCGTTTTACCAAGGGATAGAAAACAGCCAGCGCGGGAGGTTGGCGCTAACCTACCAGACAGTCCTCCTGGCGGGGGCGTGCAAGACAAAACATCTCGCTTTCTCGGTGCATACATGTAGTACAGGTCGGTCACCAGCTTCCAGGCGAATAGCCGGCAAGGCAACAATGGGCTATCATGGCGGACAAACAAACTGTGGTAAGCACATGCCACTCGCGGCCGTCCCCCTGATATGACTGGTATATCGCCACGGATTGTCAGGGGGGAGAGAAAAGCTGAGATTTTTCAAAATGTTATAAATGCCACCCAACAATGTTATAATGCATACTATACTGGCGCTGAAAAAAAATGTCGCAACGTGCTTGTCATATTGGGGATGGATCTAACCCCTGCATGGTGCCATGGGCCGAATTCCTTCTGACCCCTTGCGGCTTTCAGCTCATGCTTGTGGTATGGTCGTTGAAACTTGAAAGACATTGGATTGGCTGTGTCCGATGTCCGCTGTCTGTCAGATTTCTTCTGTCTCTCGCCACAACAATCGCGTGGCAGGAGCCATCGCCAGTCGACGACTTCTCATAAGTTTACCTTACGCTGCGTAACTATACAACCGAGCGAATAGATTTAATCAGCCATTTCGCTTATCTTGCAATGTTCGCACTGCTCCAAATGGGAAGGAAGAAAGGGCTGGAGGGGGGAGTCCAGCGAACGAAAAGCGCAATAATTTACATGTGAATCGCAGACTTGAGGATCTCGGGGCTTACTCTTAATGAAGCTAGTGCCGCTGCCCGTTTTCCGCCCAGCCAACGCTGAAAGGCTTGGGTTACATAGAAGCTTCTTCCAAACCGGCACGGAGCGACGGATGGCTTGGCGCAGCCTTAACTTGGAAGGGGAGCTGATGGAATCCGAACTACCCCAGACAACGTCCAGGAAAAGACGGAAGAGCAATTCGGCCAAAATCATATTTTTTTTGGAAGTCGGGCGGTCCGGATGCATAGGCGCAACTTCGCCAGCAGGATTCAGATATGGCTCGGATACGCCGCAGCAGTTTGTCTTGGTTCAACTAGCGCGAAACTCCGCTTAACCCTCTCGCAGAAATTTTTTTCATTACTTTTGTAGATCCTTTTCGCTTGGTGGCAATGGCCAAATGATTGGCATTAATTTTGAACCAATTTCCCCAGAGTTCCACTCCTGAGTCCTGCCCCAGAATCTTTGGTCTGGCACAGTTTCTTAGCTCGAAGCTCGAAGCAGCCAAGGACCGTTCCATTCGGCTGCGGAATGGGGATTATTATAGACGAGTGGTTTGATGTCCAAGAATGGTGAGCTGTGAACTGTCAAGGATTTTTGCGGAATCACACTTCCACACATCCTTGTAAAAATATGGAGAAGGCCATCATCTTCTAGTTATGTGCGGGGAAGCAGAAGAGAATAATTGAAGCGCCCCAAGATCAAAAATCAAAAATCAACAATCATCCACCTCGACGCCACTCAAGCCTCACATGCTGAAGGACATGCTCCAACCGGAAGATAAACGATTCAGCCCCCTTGTCTGCGATGCTGCACGAAATCGACGCCGGAAATTAAAACTGTGAGAGCGATTTTACGCAACCTTGCCGTCTGTTGATAAGATCCGAGGCAAGGCGGCAGAAGGACCCCTCCATTGCAGGTCCCAACATCGATACTTCTCTCAGAGCTCAACCTTTGAGATCGAGGCGAAATTTGCTTTGAACTACTGTGTGTATGTCTGTCTTTGTGGTTTTCTCGTACTCCCTTTTCTTCAAATATTTTTCTGGAAAGTAGCTCTCCCGCCCCGCATTCAACGTTCGGCTGATATCCACCAGTTCTCGTATCACTCCCCAGACAAGCTACCCAAATGTCATGGCATGAAACCTCAAAAGAACACCCGATGCAATACTTGAGCCCAATTCTGGATTCGTCAAAGATGGCCGTGAATATCCTGTTGGGATCCCTGACCCCTGGAGCATTATTGCCACGTTACCTGCCAACCCCACGAGATCTCCGTAGGAGATGACGGGCATGGCGCTATCCCCTGGAAATATCATCTACGCTAAAGGTACTGCGTATAAATAACTATATTCGTTGCGAGTCTCAATCAAAGCCACCTCCGCTTATCCACGGCGCACCCTCTCTCACTCAAATCGTTAATTTCGTGGATGCCCAATGCGGTTACTTCTTCCTTGTATCCAAGACGGAACCCGGTCAGAAACATGGGAAGCACAAAAGCGAAAAGTGATCATGGCGCGCGTCGACCAGGGCATCAGTAGACGCGTCGTCACCCAGTGCGATGGACTGTAAAATACGAGATCTCTCCTTCTCGCCATCCTGAACTTAGTCCATGGCTGAATAAGACGATCTCAACAGAGGCGCTTATGGTATGATGTCTAATGCGGAAAGATATTTTTCTTCGCCCTTCCACAGTTGAAGGATCTAGTGAAGAGAAAAAGAAGAAAAATTGGAGTGAAAAGATGTCAGACCATTCGGTCTACACGTGCCTTCGCTAGCCCCACTGCTCCTGTAGTTGGTGCACCTCACCGCAACATAATTTTTCATCAAGAATGTGTGGAAGGTGTAAAGCTTGCTTGATTGAAACGGTTGCTAGCTAGTGGGAAGTTATATTGTAGGCTACTGGGGCAAAAGAGCTCAGTCACCACCAGCGCACTGCTGGTAGAAGGGCCGATCAACCCGGGAGTGTATACAGAAAACTTGACCTCGCTAAGTGCGCCACCTGACCTCGTTACATAATCATGACCCCGACCTCACACAATACAGTAATAATCAGTTGGTAATTAGCTTTCAATCTTTCAATCCACTTATTCATCCACTCAACCCATCAATCACAGATTCATAATTAATTAAATGAACAGACAAATTCATATAGAATATAAAGAGATATTTTACAGAATTTTGAAATATATCAAGATAAAAATATTTAACAATTGATTTTAAATTGATTTTAAATTGATTTTAAATTGATTCTGAATTAATTATTAATTGATTATAATAATAAAAATAAACTCAATCTATATATTCAAATAATTAACAATTGATTGAAAATCAGTTGATAATTAATTCAGTGTAAATTATATAAATACTTACTTTATTATCAGATTTAAGAATAATTTCAGTATTAAATTAATTACTAATAAAATTAGTAAAGTCTTCTTTTGTGGCGGGGCTACATTCTCTACTGATTTAATAACTGCTTACTCACTGAATCTGTCTTTATCAAAGATTTCACATTCTGAGTAAGTTATTAAGTTAAATAAACATCTACAGAATTAGCTGTATATTTTTATGTGTAATTTTCTATATATATTTTCATCATATAATATATCACCTTAAAATCTAATTGTGTTGTTGAGATATCATTGAAAATATTTCATCATAGTGATGAAATGGCGGGTGTTGGGTGTAAGCGGGCGTTGAGTGGTTGATCACGTTAATAATAATAATAATACATGGAATGTACCTCGGTTGAATCAATAATTAATACGAATAACATATGCAAAAAGAGACCCTGTGAATTTTAATGTCCGGGGCTTCAGGAGTTGTAATATTAACCAACTACAGAATAGAGCTGTCAAACCTCAGATCTGGAGTTGCGCTAGAAGTTGAGACTGCTTAAATCAACTTTTTCCATTCAAAAGTCAATTTTGAATTTTCGAAGCCAGTGGTTATCGAACAAAAAACATCGTCATCTCTCCCGAACCCGGATATTGTCCATCAGCTCAATGTGCTCGCCTCTAACCATGACCATGCCTCTTCACTCAGGAATGTGTGTGCCTCGAACCTAGCTTCCTCCACGGGAACTACACCGGTAATGCGCGGAAACGGCCACCCTAACAGTTCTCAGAAGATCACGGAAGCCCTATAATGAGGGAAGCCGACTTATTTCCCTCCTACTATTATCCATGTGTATTATTTTATGGCATCGAAACACGCCCGTTATGACCAGGTTCCTCTTTCTCTCCGCTGTCGTTTTTACGTCGGTTGTATGTCAATCTCTTGTACCAACTACCGGCTCGGCGACATTTCCTGAGTGCGCTGTTGGGTGTCCGCTGCTCCAGGAGGCACAGGCGAACTGCGTCCCTCCAGCAGCGCCGGTAACAGATCAAGCCACCTATAGGTCGTGCTTTTGCCAATCCAGCCTCCTACAGGCCCTCCATAGCTCTCCCAATGGAGTCTGCGACGCCGTATGTCCGCCGGCGGAGCTAAATACACTGCAACAGTGGTATGCAGGACTCTGTGCAACAGGCAACCCCGAAGTGACCCAAACAACCACAACACTCGCCACATCCACCACGACGTCGTCCAATGCGGGACCGGATCCTGGGACCGAAACATCTTCAAAAGTGCATTATGAAGCCCCGCCAAGTTGGTATGTCGATTGTTCGCATTCTCGTTTCCCATTCCTCGACCTTTCTTTCACTTTTGTCAAAGATGCGTCCAACAACAATAGAAAGGTGTCGAACAATATAAATCTCGTCCACTAAACTCCGATAGGTTCTCCACCCACTGGCGGTGGGTAGTAATGATAATTGTATTAGCCATCGGATTTACCGCTCTTACTCTCCTCTTGGTTTATTTAAAACGTCGTCATAAGCGTAAGCGGGCTTACCAAGCGCCTTTCACTCCAGCCCAATCCGCTGTGGCTGATGGAGATGGCGGCCGGAGCAACTATAGCGGCCGTCAACCAACCTCCAGAAACTTAGTCGCAGCAGCTCTGGGAGACGATACATGGGGTCCACAGCAACATCTTGCACATCCACCCACCAAGGGTCTTGAAAACGATGTCTCTTCCGCCGGAACACATAGAGGGATAGAGCCTGGGCAATTCACCCGTGCACATCCGAGGAGTAGGAATATGCGAGGACAATCTCCTTCAAAGGAACAGCTATGACATTGCAGTGCCTGCTACATAAGCCTCAAGTTGAAAAGAAAGACATGGGTTTTTAACGCATAGTTGGGTCCAGGGGACAGACAGCCTGATGTTGCGAAGATCAACTCACAACAAGAAGATAGGTGAAACCGGCGAACTTTTTTCTTCTCAGATGGAGAGTTAATCGCGCGGGCATCGAAATGAGTTTATCAAAAGGAGTCCCACGTCGATATGATTACTGTTGGAATAACCTGTCTTTAACAATTTTGTCCGCTCCAATCCGGAGTTTATCATAGCTTAATTGGTTGGTTTGGCCGTGCTCATTGCTTGACAATTATGGCCGCCACATCAACCCTTTTTATTACCTCCCCCCCACGCAAACAATTGGGTGTTTGGAGACACGCATGCAGGCATGGAATACATACATATCCCGCATAGTTATGCCTAGGTATATCTAGAACACCTGAATATCTAATATCCGCGAATCCCGTTTCTATTGGTCAGATTGAGCATTCAAGAGGAGAGAGAGAGCTTGCTCGTGCAGAAGGCTGCATTGCAAGATCAGAGTTCGCAGAACTATTTATTACTGAAGAATTTTTATGTAATGGTTATGCTGACTATCTTCACCTCCTCCTCTGGTTTTTCTTTGTACGTCTTGACGTTTTCAATCTTATGTACCACGTCAAGCCCCTTAACCGCCCGCCCAAATATCGTATGTTTCCCATCGAGCCATGGTGTCTTCTCGGTTGTGATAAAAAATTGACTTCCATTTGTATTCGGGCCGGCATTCGCCATCGAGAGCGTGTACGGCTTGTCGTGACGAAGTGTCGAGAACTCGTCTTCAAACTCGCCGCCCCAAATCGACTCACCCCCTGTACCGTCGCCAAGCGGGTCACCAGCTTGGATCATGAATTTGCGAATCACCCGGTGGAATATAGTATTGTTGTAGTAACCATTGCGTGCGTGGGTGACGAAGTTCTCCACGGTTTTGGGAGCTGCGGAAGGGAAAAGCCTAAGGTGGATATCGCCTAGAGTGGTATGAAGCACTGCAGCTGTGCCTGTTTCTGCTGGTTTGGCTGCGGTAGCGGCAGTATCTTCACGCGTCCCAACGGGCTTCTCATTTTGTACATCTCGACTGGACTTGGAAACTTCCGTTTCATTTGTGAAGAGATAGAAACGGACCTTAGCAAAGCCGGTACTGGCGAGCATAGGATCCCGTTCTTCCGCTTCTTGGAGTAAAGGATTTGCACTGGCGGCCATCGAAACTGTTACCACCCCTTTTTTCTGCGGTTGCCCTTGATAGATAGCAAGGTTGAGAGCACGAAATGGTTCATCTTTACCAAAGACTCTCACAACGCGATTTGTGAATGTGTTGATGCATTTTATCCCCATAATAGAGCCGTACATCACAAAGTGGCCCGACTCGTCAAAGATCACATTAATCTTCGGCGCAGTAGCGGGGTTCTCAAGTCCCTTCTCAATTGCTATCCGCCGCCCAAACTCGATTTCCTCGAGCTTATAGAGTGCCGTTCCAGCCTGCTGCATTTCGGTGAGTGTCGTAATAGATTCATCATAGGAGCGGTATAATTTGCCAGTTGGGAAGTCAAATACTCTGACCTGCCTGTCAGGAAAGGAGAAAGTCGCGAATTGGTGACCTGATGGGGATATCGTAATGGAAGATGGAACCGACTTGGATTTTTTGAAAACGAAGAGATTGGTGGAAGATTTCAGTTCAAACACATTGTCTGGCTTTTCGTATGAAGTGTGTGGTCGCCAGTATTCGACCATGCCGGTTTCATCTGCAGAAATCACACAGTCATATGCATCATTAAAGGCCATGGCGACAACCGGGAACCGATGGATTGATGTTAACGTGTGGATGGGCTGAGGGTTTTCTCCTCGTCCGTCGTAAATCATAATGCCGCTACTAGAATCGCAGCTCACAGCCAACAGAGGCAACGATGCGCCTCGTTTATGTACCCAACATACACACCTCGGGACATAATCCAATGTTATTACAGCCAGGAGATCTACAGCTTGTTAGTGCCGAAACTTTCCAGCATGTCCAATGGTAGGGAGGGAATGAAGCTCCTACCGAACGTAATCACATCGAATATTTTAACCGTTTTATCTACTCCAACTGTTGCGAAGCTCCTCCCATCTAGGCTCACACTCGCCCCCTTCAACTCTCCAATATGGGCTCGGAATTCCTTCACAAACTCTACACCAACAGGCATTTTCTTCCAAAATTTAACCACCCCATCAATAGAGCTCGTAATAAGGAAGTCGGTATGAGGAGTTAAGGTAACGAAGGAGAGTTGGTCCTTGTGCATTAAGGATTTTGAATATCGGGCTGAAACTGGGAGAGCATTTACATAGACCTTTTCGTAGGGTAGCTTTCGTCGCTTCTTTTTGGGTATGGCGGAAGGTAAAGCAGGGCCAAAATCGTCTTCTGATGACGAGGATTCATCTGTTATGCGCCATTGTCAGCTACATTTTTCTCGTTCTATATTTCATATCGGAGGAAACAAACCATTCATTCGAGCGTCCTCCAGCTGGGAATGAGGCCGCTTGTTGGAGGTTGTGCTTTTGTTTTCTTCCTCTCGCTCAGCCATTGTCGGGATCCGCATCAGAGGAACAAGAGGTTTACAAGGCTAGTATAACCAATAAGCCAGAGGCGCGTGGATCGAGGCTGCTGCGGCGTACCGTGCTGCTTGGGATGGAGGTTTGTCCAATGTGCTCGAAAAGGCTCAAGCGCGCGCCAACAGCTCGGACCACCCTGACTAAGAATTCCGCAGTACAATTAAGTTACAAAGAACAACCTCGAGCATTCGTCCATGGATTATTTGCTTGTTGCGGCAGTCCTGGCAACACTTTTGAACGCAGCAACCTATATTGTCGTGATCTAAGTTGCGATTCTGCCTTTTCATCATGGTATGTTTTGTTACTGTCGTATTCCTTGATCTATACCTGCTCTTTTGTTTCCATTCTAACCTTTGCCAGGCGTCATTCAATAATCCAACGCAGATTTTTGCCGAAGATGTTACGGAGGAGAAAGGCGAAAATGCTCGTTTGTCCGCATTTGTGGGTGCGATCGCGGTGGGCGATCTTGTGAAGAGTACTCTGGGGCCAAAGGGAATGGATAAAATTCTGCAATCAGCGTATGTTATCTACCGTCCAACTCTAGCGCGGGGCACGACAATAACAAAAACAATCGAACAGTTCGACTGGCGAGATCATGGTTACAAACGACGGGGCTACAATCCTCAAAGCTATAGCTCTCGACAATGCTGCTGCGAAGGTGCTGGTTAATATTTCAAAAGTGCAGGATGATGAAGTTGGAGATGGAACCACTTCTGTCACCGTGCTCGCTGCGGAGCTTCTAAGGGAGGCGGAAAAGCTCGTGGAACGGAGAATACACCCTCAGACAATCATCGAAGGGTACAGGATTGCGAGTCGTGCGGCACTCGAAGCCCTAGAGAAAACAGCTGTGGACAACAGTAAAGACCCTGTTGCTTTCCGAAAGGACTTGTACGCCATTGCTCGCACAACCCTCAGCTCGAAAGTTCTTAGTCAAGACCGGGATCAGTTCGCAAGTTTAGCCTGCGATGCAGTCCTCAGGCTCAAGGGGTCTACCGATCTAAGTCATATACAAATTATCAAGAAGGCTGGTGGCAAGCTGAGCGACTCGTACCTCGACGAGGGATTCATTTTGGACAAAAAGATTGGTGTGAACCAACCTAAGAGACTTGAAAATGCGAAAATCTTGGTCGCCAATACCGCTATGGACACTGATAAAATCAAAATTTTTGGTGCCCGGGTCAAGGTGGACTCAACAGGGAAATTGGCAGAATTGGAGAAGGCAGAACGCGAGAAGATGCGGGCGAAGGTAGAGAAGATTAAATCCCATGGAATCAACTGCTTCGTGAACCGTCAACTCATATACAACTGGCCCGAGCAACTTTTTACCGATGCTGGCATTGTTTCTATTGAGCACGCCGATTTTGATGGCATTGAGCGTCTCGCGCTAGTGACGGGAGGGGAGATCACATCAACATTTGACCATCCAGAGCAGGTGAAGCTGGGCCGGTGCGATGTTATCGAGGAAGTTATCATCGGCGAGGATACCTTGATTAAATTCTCCGGTGTTGCGGACGGCCAAGCCTGTACTATCGTCCTCCGAGGAGCTACGGAGCAGTTACTTGATGAAGCTGAACGGTCTCTACACGATGCTCTTGCCGTACTTTCTCAGACAGTTCGTGAACCAAAGGTGACTCTAGGTGGCGGATCTGCTGAGATGGTGATGGCAAAGGCAGTCGAACAAACTGCGCAAAACACTACTGGGAAAAAGCAAATTGCTGTCGATGCGTTCGCCCAAGCTCTCAAACAACTCCCAACCATCCTTGCAAGCAATGCTGGCCTGGATTCGAGCGACCTTATCACGAGGTTGAGGCAAGCCATCAATAATGGTATGACAAGCTCAGGCTTGGATCTTTTGACCCCTGGCGGTGGAATTGCAGACATGCGGGAATTAGGTGTGGTGGAGAGCTACAAATTGAAACGAGCAGTTGTGTCGTCAGCATCTGAGGCTGCAGAGGTATGTGTCTAAGCAATCTCTTTGTCATTCTTTCGTCTTCCGTTTTCCCCATATCTGCGTATGAGCTAACATCAATACACATTGTACAGCTGTTGCTCCGGGTAGACAACATCATCCGTAGTGCTCCACGAAAGCGAGAACGCATGTAAATGGCGAAATGTTTAAGACCCTGTCCCCAGTTAGAAGCGAAACGAGAAGGCCTGGCCACCATCATTTCCAACCTAACAAAAAAAAAAAAAAAGAAAACCATCAAAAAGCATGTCACGTTACTCCCTTAAATAGAGAAATAGTTAATATGATGAACCTCGACCCTGAGACAATTGGAGAGCTACCTCATAATTATGGTAGCTAGAGAAATAATGCCTGTGAACACCCGTGCGCGGCGTACCCATATCTGGAAATTGACATTGGATGGTACTTAACGGCTGATTCAGGTCGCAACACAATATCAGTTTACAAACTGGTCTATTCAACAACATGAGTTCATATATACTGCTGCCAGTAGATACTGACGCCGTCTGACGGAACGCTACCTTATAATGGGATTACGGGTATATATATATATATGTTGGATTGTTCAATTTTGCTACGCCTGTACTCTGCCTAACTCAATATTATCCACACCATGGTGGTAGATTCCAACGATGGTGTCCCAACTCCCGCCTAGTTTTCAACATATAGGAAATTGAGCTCCTTTTTAGCCTTGCGCTTGCCTCGAAATATGGTCTGAGCTGCCCAATTAAATGTGAAACATCTCAAGCGCTAAACTCAGCTGCAGCTTGAGATACAGAATTGCCCAATATATTTCGTAGAAGAGTTGCATAACATCCCTATAACTCCAAAGAATAGAATATCTGGTAGCCTGGACGCTGGTTGTGAATACACTGAGGGTGCAGTCAGAACAAGGAGACAATGAAATAATGGCTAGGCCAGCAATCCCATCAATGGATTGTTCTTGCAGATGTTAAACAAAGAGAAGTAAAGACCAGATAGGATAGTGTAAGCGGTTGACCGAGATTGTTTTTCTGCCGCGGGCCATCAGGCCAGCTATTGGATATTTTTCAAGGCGGTGAAACATAGGCCGCGCCAAGTATTTCCAAGTTCCAAGTTCTTGGCAGTCAACAATGCGACAACTTGCTGGCTTCCTTGTACTGTACATTATTCATTACATAGACTCTGTACGGACTGGTTGGGAAATCTGTACACAGTGGATCCAATCTCCTGTACCCTCAGCTATCTGGTTAAATGCTTCGTAGTGGAAATACCAATATTAACTAACAGTGCAGCTACTGTCCTTTGCCCCGAACCAAGGTTGCAGCCATGTCGTGGTTGTTGTCTGGGGTTGCTGAGTAATACTCGTCCACAACAGCGTCCCGCCCAGCCAATTTCCTCCCCAACTTCCGCTCGACCAGAAGCAAACTTGTTCCATCTTCATTCAGTTTCATCCGTTTCCATCTTCTGGTCGTCTCCGTCTCTCCCTTTTCCTCTCATTAATCTCCTTTCTTTCCCCCCCCTCTCGCTCTCTCCCCTTCTCCCTCTCTCTATCTCTCTAGAGCCACTCTTGTAACCACCCGACTCGCCCTCCTCTCTCCTGGAGCGGGAGGTTGAATCCACTTTCTAATGTCACCTACGGGCCTGGCGGATCGTCTGCGGCCTCAATCAGTCAGAGAACGTTCTGACCTGCTCTTACCACCACTGTAGGCCTCCACCATGGTTTGGCGGCTGCCTGGTGCCCGCTCTCCTCTTCCGACCAGCGTTGCCCTCCTCCTTCTCCCGCTCTTGGCCGCTCAGCAGCAGCAGCCTCTTGCCCACGATGTCGAACCGTTACATCCTCATTTCCGAGACACCTACGTCCAACCACACGCTCAATCACACTCACTCGCAAACTCCAACGATGCGAGCGCCGTAGCAACTGTTGCTCTGGCGGCCACCAGCCCCGCCGTTCGAGCACCTCCTGCCCAGGCCAGCTCAAATGCTGGTCCGGTTCCGCAGCTCCAAGCGCGATCCTTGCAGGATTGGGAGGTTGAGGACTTTGTCCTCTTGGCGACCGTCGATGGAACCATCCACGCGAGGGATCGAAAGACAGGGGCCCCACGATGGGCCCTCGAGGTTCCAAGCAGTCCAATGGTGGAAACAATCTACCACCAGTCCAACCGGTCTGGATTTGCCGATGCGCAACCGGAGGATGATTTTATTTGGATTGTAGAACCCAGCCGGGATGGAGAGCTTTATATATACAATCAGGCCCCCAATGGAGGTCTCCAGAAGTTGGGTTTGACCGTGAAAGCTTTGGTTGACGAGACTCCATATTCCGGGATCGACCCTCCCGTTACCTATACCGCTAGAAAGGAAACAACCCTCTATACCGTAGATGCTCGCACCGGCGCCATTATTCGTGTCTTCAGTTCTCGAGGTTCCACCACCGCAGCAGAGCAGAGTTGCCGTCGTGTCAATGATCTAGAGGTTCTCGATGATGAGGAATGTGAAACAAAGAATGGCACGCTCACCCTTGGCCGGCTCGAGTACATGGTGACCATTCAAAATACAGAAACTGGAAATCCCATTTGCACTATCAAATATTCTGAATGGGGCCCGAACAATCGGGATATTGACCTCCAAAGCCAATATTTCCGAACAATGGACAAACGACACATCTACAGCATGCATGACGGTGTCGTCTTCGGATTCGACCATTCAAAGGTGGACGGACGTCGTTACACCCAACGATTTACTTCTCCTGTTGCGCGGGTTTTTGATGTGGCCCGCCCTGCTCGCCCTGACTTGCCAGACACGTCCCTTGTTCTCCTTGCCCAACCACTTATTCCTCCAGATGACAGCTTTGGCGCTAATACGCCTGAAGATCGAGAGTCCCGTGTTTTCATAAACTGCACGGAGAATGGTGGCTGGTATGCCATGTCGGAGGCCACGTATCCTCTTGTCACAGGACGTGCCAGACAAGCGGAATGCTACGAAAAGGACTACCTCATCAGCGAGAAACCTTTGATGAGCCACAGCCTTGCACAACAAAGGGCTGCGTTGGTTGGTGTCCACTCTCTCAATGAGCCGTCAGGCAAATATCAACGAACTATTCCTAGTATCTCTGGGCCCCCAGCCGACTTGTCGAATGATACCCCCCGAGATATTGCGAGAGTTCCACCCAAAGCACCTCCCCTACCTACCATTAGACCTGGCCATCTTATTCAAAAAGGGTGGGACAATGTCGTTGATGTCATTGTTACCCTAATACTCCTCACTTTTGGGACATTTCTTTACTTCAACTCAAACAATTTACAGGAGCTTGCGAAACAGAAACTTGATCTTAAAAATGTCATTTCTATCAATGGGAAGACTCTGCCCACGGCTCCTTCTACACCGATAATCACCTCAACGCCGCGAATTCCTCCGGGTTTTGTTGTGAATAAGGTGCCGTCTTCCCATGACGTGGATCATGCACTTGAACCTGGCGTTACTGTAGATATCACCGTCCCAACCCTCGACCAGGGTGGTGATAATACGCGTCGACCGACGTCACAACATCCAATCGAGGATAATAATTCAACACCTAGAGTCAGGATCCAGGAACCTGTTCAAAATAATAATGAGGACGACGACGTTGAAGAGCTAACCCTGCTTCAAACGCCGGAGAAAGCGAAGAAAAAGGCTCGCCGTGGAAAGCGGGGTGGTGTGGCGCATAAACGTGGCAAGAAGAGTCGGAACCAGAAACAGGATGAAGACGCAGATGGTAGGACATCCACGGAGCCCCCATCCGAAAATGACCACACTGAGATCGTGAGGCGGCCAGGGCTCGAGAGGCAACTTTCGCGAACTATTTCAGCAGAGCTGATGGAAATGGATGGGTCAATTAGAATCGGCCAACTAAAGGTTCATACAGATACAGTTCTGGGCCATGGTAGTCATGGCACCGTGGTCTACAAAGGCTCGTTTGATGGTCGTGATGTGGCAGTCAAAAGGATGTTGGTGGAATTCTACGATATTGCATCTCACGAGGTTGGTTTACTGCAGGAAAGTGATGACCATAAGAACGTCATTAGATACTTCTGTCGAGAGCAAACCGCTGGCTTTCTATACATTGGACTGGAACTCTGTCCCGCTTCGTTACAGGAAGTGGTAGAAAAGCCATTTGATTATCCCACTCTTGTCAACGGAGGGCTCGACGTACCCGATGTTTTGTGGCAAATCACCGCTGGAGTCCGATATCTCCATTCACTAAAAATTGTCCATCGCGATCTAAAACCCCAAAATATCCTCGTGGCCGCACCCAAGCCCCGAACGGGTTCGACTTCTCTTCGGTTGCTGATCTCCGATTTTGGATTGTGTAAAAAGCTGGAAGATAATCAAAGTTCTTTCAGAGCTACTACTGCACACGCTGCTGGGACGTCTGGTTGGCGCGCTCCTGAACTTCTTGTTGACGACGACCAAACCGTTCCAAACATTTCAACCTGGGACAATCAGAGCGCCGACTCCTCGGAACCTGCAGTCGTTGATCCCCAAACAAACCGAAGGGCAACACGTGCCATTGATATATTCTCTCTGGGATGTGTATTTTACTACGTGTTAACTCGTGGGGGTCATCCATTTGACAAGGACGGCAAATTCATGCGCGAGGCGAATATCGTCAAAGGATATCATAACTTGGATGAATTGCAGAAACTCGGAGACTACGCGTTCGAAGCTGATGATTTGATCCGGCAAATGTTGTCTCTGGATCCACGGCGTCGGTAGGTTCTTCAATTCATATATAGCCAACTCCCCAACCTCAGAGGAATTGATCGAAAGTGACTAATGAATGCTTCCTTAGCCCTGATGCTACCACCGTAATGCTGCATCCTTTCTTCTGGCCGCCCGCGGATCGCCTTAGCTTCCTCTGTGATGTATCAGACCATTTCGAGTTCGAACCACGCGACCCTCCATCCGCAGATCTTCTCTGTCTTGAATCCGTCGCTCCGGATGTCATGGGCTTGGAAATGGATTTCCTCAAACTATTGCCAAAGGACTTTAAAGACAGCCTTGGCAAACAGCGGAAGTACACAGGGTCGAAGATGCTTGACCTTCTGCGCGCTCTTCGGAACAAACGTAATCATTACAACGATATGCCGGAACATCTTAAGGCTCATATTGGAGGGCTACCGGTGGGCTATCTTCAATTCTGGGCTGTGCGGTTCCCCAGCCTGCTGATTAATTGCCACTGGGTGGTTATGCAGCTGGGTCTAACAAAGGTGGAGAGGTTCAAGCGCTACTTCACACCGCCTGTGTGAAGAAGTAAGAGAGTTTTTTTTTTATTATTTTTTTAATTTTTTAATTTTCTTTTATTTAAAACAGGATGGATTGTTCTCAGCAAATGATACGATTATTATGAAATCTAGACGATAAGTATTGATAGAATATTCATTTTTCATTGTTTCGTCAACGGAAATTTATTGTAGGATATGAGACATGATGGAGGCTTTTTTTTACATTGTGTTATTAGAATTGGAAATACGTGGTACTTCCCCCCCCTTTTTTTTACTCCTCCATTCACAAACTGAGGTAAAAAGACAGTTGTAGGCCTTCCCTAGAGTGTAATTCCCCACAATACAGGAAGCATAGCTTGTAGAATTACTCAATAATTATCCCAGGCTTAAAATGAACTACTTTTCACTCAGAGATGTTAATGGCTTTTGGTGGTTGCAATGGCCTGGTGCTCAGACAGCAGTCATTTAACTACCGTACGCGTGGGTGTTGGGTGAGCAAATTGCCAGGGCAAAGATCGCGCGATGTTCACAGCGCGCACTCTAAAGTTGACCTAATGAGACAACACAATTAACTACAGTACAACAACAACACAACGCAGCATTGCCCCTCTTTTCTCCCCAATCCACTTCTTCCGTTTCATTTACAACCTTGAGATAGCAATTGTCCTCGTCGCCCTTCACGTCTCAGGTGTTCTCTTCTCGCTTTTTCTCCTTCCCCCTCTTCCACGCTAAGCAGCTTGAGAGCTCTCGCCGTTAATCCCTGCGAGGATCCCTTTGCTGTCCGATCGCATGCCCCATAGCCAGCGTCCTCCATCATCATATTCAATATTCGTGTGTTAGGAACGCTTTTTCTCTTTCGCTGAGCCTTTGTTGGCTTCGTAAACCTCCTTGTCTGGCGGCCATTGAGCCAACAACAACCCAATCTGGGATACTCCCCTCTCTGCGCGAAACTCCCATCCCTCCAGCAAGGAAATTATTACCAGACACACCAACGGGGTGAGGAGCGAGGCCGCACCCCGCCTCGCACTGCGACAATGGTGCTTCTCCGTTTGACTGTCAAAGTTTACCCCCGGGAGCAGCTTGGTCGGCCATCTACGCCAAATCAGGCTGGGGAAAATGAGGGCCGCAAATCCATCAACTTTCTCCTACCGGTACACCAGCCGGAACGGGTGATGCTGGGGAATTTGGCTCATATGATACGGGAGAAATGGATGACATTACAGCCTGACGCTGGGTGAGTTGATATTTCTTCACTGCAGATTGGGTAGTCGAGGAGGAGAGTACTGGGTTTCGGCTAACAGTCCTCCATGACTTGATCCCCCACTTAGACCGCTCGAAATAAAGAAGCTCGTAGATGACAAGCACCCGGAGGACACCCTGGATGCAGCATTGACAGTGGCAGATGTGTTTGTGGACAACGGGAAAGCTCTTGCCGACGGCCTAGATCAGAGAGGGGCAGTACGGGTCATCCAACAGCCTGGGCGCCCGGAGCGATATGGGTCTGTGGTCCAGGATTGGGGTGCTATAGCGAGCAATTACGCTCGTCCCGCTCCGCCGTTATTTTTGGATCAGCTACGTCACGAAGATCGTCCCATACATACTGGATTCAGAGGGGGGCCTGTCGCTGGCCCCTCGCATGCTGCGCAGGTTCCAGAGTCTGACTATGTACCCCAGTCCAGCGAGATTGGTGAAGAAAGATCCAGCGGATATGATAACCATACCCATGCGTCGCCTATTTTGGTGGAAGACTCGCAGAAACCCAGAATCTTCGCTTCTTCTGCTGGCAAAAGCCTGGGTATATTTACATTTTCTTTTCTTTTGAACACTGTCATATCCTGTACCACAGTACCCGCTAACTCTCTATGTTTTTACATGTAGACTCACGCAACTATGAATGCACCATGCCGAAAGACCTTAGTCGATCCGTTATGACTACCCAGGAAGAAGATATAGGTTATGGCGGTACTATTCACGATGCATTGAAATATACAAATGCTAAGGGTAAGTCCTACACTATCATTCAGATATCCCTTACGGTTGTCATAGGTGTTAACTTACATTGTCTCCCTTACCAGATGAAGCGGCAATGCGAGGGATAGAGCGACAGGAATTGCTGAGCGCCAGCATGCCCCCACCACGAGTTTCGGCGGCGCCGCAGTCCTCATTTCCCAGCCACAAACTTCGTTCCACGTCTTCGACACACAGCAACTTGAATGCTACAACATCCCATAAGAGAGAAGCAGAAGCTGTGGACATCTATGCCATTCCCTCCACTAGCCAGGAGAAGTTCAAAACACCTCAGAAGCCTCAGTCTACCAAACGACAACGAAAGAATATAAGTCGAACTGATGAATTCACAATAAAAAACAATATGGAAACTCTACTTGCGTCCCCTGGAGATAGAGCGAACAACGCGATCATCGTTGATAGCGATGTAGGTGAGGATAAGCGGACTAATCAGGCCCAGAGCCCAAGGGATGATAATGTAACCACCGAAAATCAATCAGGTATTCGACGTGGGACTAGGAAGTCAAATATTCGCGGCCCCGGAAGAATATCCATGGCACTTAAGCCCGCGATTGCGCCTCCTGGGAATGCGAAAACTTCCACCCCAGGTTCGACCGGTACTACGAAAGCACCTGCAAAGAAGAGCATCTCTGTCGTAATCGCCGATTCAGATATTGAAATTGTCGATCGGCCCAAACAACACACGGAGAGGAGCAGTGGTGGTCAGCAGGGGGACACCTCCCAACCTAGAGGAAATGTAATCGATGGCGGAAATAACGATGAAGGAGATCGCAATGCATCGACTGGCGCAAATGGCACGAACTCCGCAAAAAGAGGTTCAACTCAAAGGTCCAATGCCTACCAGTTATCACATGTGGATGCTGAAGATAGCAATCCTATTTACTCCGATGTCTCAGATAGCAATATCCCGGATGATTCCGGAGCGTCTTCTTCAAGGGCGCAGAAAAATACTCAAATCGCGACCCCCCAGAAGCCTACACAAAAGCCGACCTCTTCGCCGGTTGAGAGACGCCAAACTCCAGGTAGTGGCAGCGCGCCCTACTCACAGACTCATAACAGCCTTGGCATCCTTGAATTGACAACGGATCCAGATAACATTCCCGAGAAACCATCTCACAGCTCTCCCAGTCGCCCTCGCGGTGCACAGGAGCTCGAACTGGGAATTACGTCACCACCGCCGAAACTCTCAAGAACTCCTTCGACGAGCCAGCCAGTTGTTGCTCCTGATGCCAGGGGAAACACCAGGAGTGGTGTGTCCACCACGCCAGCGTTTCCCCGCCCGCGTCCAGCAAGCCAAAGTCAAACGGAGCGTCGGGGTTCCCGTCTAGAATCCGAGAAAAGCAGCACGGGCGATCCGCGTACGCCTGTGATGTCGGCACTGCGTTCAGTTCAAAAATCTACGCCCAGAACTGTATCTAGCCGACGTTCTGTTTCATTCGTCGACGATCCAAAAGTTGACTCGCAGCCCACTCCCTCTTCGGCCTCATCGGTGAAAATCGGCAACACCATGTATCCACCCGGAACAACAGTGGAGTGGGTTGAATGGCAGCGTACGGATGCTAAGCTTCAAAAGAGAATCGATGAAGCAAGGCTCCAAGGAAAGAGCCAAGGCTATTGCGCGCTCTTGGAAGAAGTTAAGCATTTTACGGAGAAGTTGTACGATGCCAACTCGAAGAAGATTGGATTTAAAATTACCAAGTACGAGCGGAAGTTGAACAAGGCCAAGGAAAATCTTCAGGATCATCCTGAAGAGGATCACCATGCGGCAAGTAGCTCAGGGGATGGTCATCTTGAGAATAACCATAGGAGAGAAGACGAAAGTATGAAAAGAAGCAAGAACCACACGGATGTGATGGGGACACCAAAGGGGACTAGAAAGAAGTTGAAGCACCAAACTGGGCTTGATGGTACCTCGGAGGAAGAGTCTCAAGGCGAGAAGCCCCACGCCAAACAGCTATCAGATACTCCTGCTCCCGGGGATTCCCTAGTCTCCCCTTCACTTGAGACTCCTTCCACAGGTAACTTTGTTGTGGCTATCAGCCCATCACCAGGAGGAATGGGCAATGGAATCCCAGGAAAGAATGTGGAAGAGGCAAAAACCTCTAAGGTTGGAAACGGGCTGAAACGAAAACGACCAGAATCGGGCACTGTCAAATCGCCCGACAACACTAAGCGCGTCCGGTCGGACTACAGACCCCATTCCGTAGAGCCTGAGCGAGAGCGAGAGCCGAATAACATGAATACGAATTCCCCGGGGCAAGAACGCTCGGAGGAACCAGAACAGCGCAACGGAAAATCTCCCGCCAGAGATCCCATGTCATCATCAGACTCCAGCAGCTCCGATTCTGACACCGACTCAGAATCCGACTCCAACCTCACCCCAGCGAACGCCAATATAGGCAATCGGCCCTCCTTGCCTCCTCCCGGAGGCTCAGCGCGGAGGTCCCTGGTCACGCCGTTCCGCAGTATCAACAAAACCTGGCCGAACAATGGTGCTCAGTGGTTATCGGAAGAACCAGAAAATACCCACACCACCACTACTACTCCCAAAGGGGCTGCCACCGGATTCGGTGCGCCAACGTCATTCTCCCAGCCTGCACCTGGTAGTACCGGTACTGGTGGTGCTAGCAGCCCGAGAACGTCCAGAATACCTATGAATGGCGGAGTCCGTGGTGCTCCACGCGACACGTTGAAAACGCTTTTAGAGCGCCAGAAGGGGAGTGAGGATGAGGGTAGTGCGAAGAACATGTCTGCGTCTGAGAATGGTGACGGTGCGCAGGGCGAGTATGGTGGTGGTAGTAACGGGTTCCGCGGTCTGAATGTCCTCCTCCGCAGGGCTGGGCTTCGGTAATTTTTGCTATGGAGGTTTCTCCTTTCTTCTATTTCCATTTGCGAATTTTTACCCCAAATGCCAGTTAAACGGTGTTGTCCCTGGCCGCCAGGCAGGAATTTCGGTTTCTGCTTTTTTTCGTCTCCTAGTAGATCGGGACTTTTGTGAATTATCTATTTGATTATCTGATTATTTGCTTTTTGTGATTGGTGTTAAGAGGGAGCAAAACTGCGGATAGTATGGTAGCAAGCGAACTCTTGTAATTTGAAGCGACTGATTTCTGTATGTTTTTCCCGTCTTCCATTTCCTCTTTGTCTTCAATATCCCCCTCCTTACCTGTTTTTTCCGTGACGCTCAATCCCCCTATTCCTGTCCATGGGAGCATATCCGCTACCCGGGTTTGAAGAATGCTTTTAGATGTTGGGCGTGAAGGGAAGTGATACCCGGGGGGTGTGTCCCAATCGGTGAAATGGGAATGAGGGCGGTGCAACAGGATTGTTGAGCCCTTTTGTTTGATTGGGCCTTTGAAAGCGTTTGCGTCTCCCAATTCTGGAGCCTGCATAGGAAGACCTACGTAGGCGATTTCGTTTGTTCTACTACTCCCTTTCTCTTTCTATGTGGTTTGTGTATGATAGTTGTTCTACGTCAAGTTGATTTGATAGCTATTGAATTAGCTAGTTAGTTCATTTGAAGAATATATGTAGGTAGGGAGGTAAATAACTTCATGCAAAATTGCAAAACCAGATCGCGGCACATGGTTCCAAAAAATACATCCGGCTTAAGCTGTTAGTTATTCGAAAGTTGGGTTTTCATTTCTCGTTCATCATTGGTAAGCCCGGCATGTAAAAATAGTATTTCGTACTCCCACTTTTCTCTAACTGGTAATTAAATTAAAAGGTACCAAAATCTCAAATTCGTGTTGTTTTGTCACTCCACCCAGACGAAACACAACCACCAAGGCCGAAATTACCGTGAAACTAAGGGAAATTAGCATCGTAATTTATTTCCCTATGGCCTCCTCCATCCATCCCTGAGGCACAGGCTCGATATCAACCAGCCAGCCAAAGTCATCCAAAATATCCCCGGTTTGGATCCCCTTGAGCGTCTTCAGCAATTTCCTACAGATCTCGCCACCCTCATCGCCCTCGCCAGAATTGAAAGTGAACTTATCATTCTTCGACTTCATCGTAATGCTCTTAATCGGCACAAGCGCCGCCGCCGTCCCCGCCGCCATGACCTCGTCGAACTCCACAAGCTCCTCATACCCAACCCGCCGACGCTCGACCTTGTAGCCAAACATCTTCGCCCCAATCTCACACACAGACGACGCCGTCACCGAATCAATCACGTTCTTGCTATCCGGCAACACCAGCGTGATGGTGCCCGTCCCTTTATCCCTCCGCACGCCGATGAACGCAGAGGTCGAGAACTCATCGATCTCCGTGCGCGTCTTGCTGTCCAAGTGTAGCGTGATGCCGTACCCCTCCGCACGTGCTCGGTCACTATGCCGCAGGACGGGCGCATAGTTGCCACCGACCTTGGCGGAGCCCGTCCCGTCGGGTGCAGAGCGGTCAAAGTCCTCGAGGATCAGCGCGTCGACGGCATGCACGCCGTGGTAGACGCCCGTGGGCATAACGAAGACGACAAATGTGTATTCGTCCGGCGGGGAGAGGCCGAGCTGGGCGGAGGAGCCGAAGATGAGGGGCCGGATATACATCGCTGCGCCCGTGGAGTGCGGGGGTACGAATTCAGCATTGGCCGCGACGGCGAGGCGGACGCATTCGATGAAGTGCTCCTTGGGCACTGGAGGGATGGAGATGAATTCGGCGGAGTGCTGCATGCGCACGGCGTTTTTCTGGGGGCGGAAGATGGTTATGCGCCCGTGGGCGGAGGGGGAGGAGGAGGAGGGTGCGTGGCGGAAGGCTTTCATGCCTTCGTAGGCTTGTTGGCCGTAGTTTAGGCCTGGGGCCATGCCGTGGATTGGGAGGAAGGGGGATGCGACGAAGCGCGGGGGGCTCCATTGCGGGCTGGAGGAGTGGGAGAAGTGCGATTCGACATGACCGTTGACTGTTGGGAGACGGGCTATTAGAGGGGGTTCTCGGTTGTTTATATGCGACGCATCAATGGGGTGGGTCAGTGAGTCAGTCATACCTTCGCGGACTTTGAAGCCGACGTTATTCCAGTCTGGACAATTGGGTTCGCTCTGTTAGCCGCGGTAGATCCCCTTCCAAACCATTGTCTGCTAGAATGCGAATCGCATTTGGAGAGAGTATCACAACATACCGATCGAGTCGACTGGTGGCGGAGGAAAGGCAGAGGTCATGGTACAGTACAAGGAATTTTTATATAAATAGGTAGATAGATAGCAGATTAACTACTAACAAACTAACCAACTGCCGAGTAAAATGTCTCAACGAATTGAAGAAATACTATAAGGAAGAGGATACCTAGAATGGGCGGGTGAGAGTAGGTATTTATTATTCCGCCGCCAAAAGGCGGGGCGGTGGAGGAAGTGGAGAGAGTTCGGGGCATTCGTAAAGCTTAGTTTAGTTATATCATCCGAGATCGGTCTGTCTTCTGCGGGTTTAAGCTGCTTGAACAATGAAAGGTAAGGATTGAACTGTGGTTCTCCTGCTCTATCCTGTAGGGAGATGCATATAAATACGGATGCGTTTGGATATGTATTGTCTGATTTGCGTTCCTCTCGCTCCCAAACAGCTGTCCTTGCAACGCTTTGGACTTCTCCATCCCGTTTCATCTCAGGCTTTTTGGAATATGAACGCCGCAGAGTAGTTAGGTTAGTGTGTAACTGCTGCGTATGCTGCATACGCATTCTGTTCACCTCTACAGATTAGCCGGACTAACTATAACCTAGTGACCGAAAGGCAGACAATGATTGGATTCTTGAAACGATCTTGCGCATCAACAAGACGTTTGCCTTTTTTTTGAGAGAAAAAGATAAAAAAAGAAAAGAAGAAAAAGAAAAGAAATTCATTAGGGCATCACCAAGTCATGTGATTTAGGCTACTCACTGAAGTTAACAAATTCGGTTGTGACAATGGAAGAATTGTAAAAGACAAGGCAAGAAACAGAATTGTGAGCCCAGGATATTCCAGAGATACCGGCCATAATAGATCACCTATTTACCACTGGGAACCGCCTTGAAAAATTGCACCAGTTTGTCATTCAGCCACATCATGTCCTCTTTGTTACCTGGCGGTGCGCCGGCCCAGTCTGAATTTATATGGTCAGCCTGCATATTGCATTGCACATCCGATATTTTGGGCCTTGGGTGATGATGATGACTTACGTCCCCATATGGATGGGAAGACATCCAGCTCGCCAATTCCAGGTTGCAAGTTTGCGACTTCGTACTCCGAATCCTCAGGCCTGTCCCGCATTAATGTCCATCGATGTAGTCAGTAGCCGCTGGCCTCGAAAGGAGACGATGTGCGGAATTGGGGTGCCACCTATAAGTACTTACGGGAAGTAGAGGTCGGTTTTACTAGGCAGAACCAGTGCCTTGGCTTTGATCGCTTTCAGAGCAGCTTCAAAGTTACCGTTGTACCGTTCCTGCTTGGAGATGTCGCCATTTTGCCAGGTCTGTAACATGACGAGCAGATTCTCCGGCTCTATAGAATGGTCAACTCGGTCTTCTTTGACACCAGCTGTTACCACTTATTTACAGTGGTGGAGGACCTTTAGTTAGGAAGAAAGCTTCCCAGAAATTCACCATAAAGTCCTCAAGATCTTTGAATCCGAGGATGGATTCATGCAGCCTCTGCCGGTAAAATGTCTGGCTCATTCCCCTTTGTATTGGGTAAAGAGAAAAAAAATCAGTCATCCGTTGCAACTCAAGACGGTATTTCCGATTTCCTTCTCACTTACCAACCAGAATACCCTCGACCAAACCCTCTCAGCGCAACCTCTCTCTCCTCCCAAGTCCACGACCGGATTGAATCGTTGGCAACCGCAGCTCCAACCTCTCCTACCCCGGCAGACCGATAGCCCTTGGTCGCTAACAAGGTGCTCTTGATGCCTTCAAGAAAAGCCTGGTTGTGCAACGAGGTCTTCGCAGAGCCACAGAACGGAACGATCAAATCCATAAAGTCTGGATATTGGGTTGCCCACTGGTATGCCTGGGCCGCACCCATCGACCAGCCCAGGACGGCGCGTAGATGGGTAATGTTAAAATGCTTGGTAACCAGCTCATGCTGGGCCCTCACATTGTCGTAGAAGGAGACACGAGGGAACTCCTTGATGGCAGGGGAATTGGAGGGCGACGTGGATTGGCCGTTCCCGAACAACGCGGGGACGATGATGAAGTATTTCTTCGGGCTGAGTTCCTTGTCCTCTCCAACCAGCCAGAGGTTATCGGAGATAACTAATTTGCATGGGAAAATGATAAGAATACATGCTGTTAGCATATGCGGATATGCTTATATGATTTTCATTGCTGTGGGGTAACTTATTTTATAGAACAAACGTACGGCCAGAAAACCACGTCGGGTAGACAACTGCGGGGAGACTTGGATCGCCCAGCGCCTTGAAAGCGATATGGGCATTGGGGATAACCTCGCCGCTCTGAAGCTTCCAGTCGCCGAGAGCGAACGTTTCGAAATCGTTCTGCGCTGAAGCCATTACTGCCTTCTCTGTTATTGCAGTGCTAATACAGTGCTATGTGTTTATGTTGACGAAATGATGATGCAAATACTGTAGCGCCTATTCTGAGGTCAAGTCACGATGTCTGTATGGCGCCTCGGTGGTGGAGTTGGCGCGGGGTTGAAATAGGTAAGTTAAGCAGAGTAATATCTGAAGTATTAGTTACATACAGATGGATTTGATAGAGATCCCTGGATACCCGTTGAACCTTGCGGAATCGCATTGACAAAAATGCTCCTCGGTCCGGTGTTTAACACTATTGATTAATTCTTATTGTTAAGCTTTTCTTCGATCCAGGCTATGGAAATATTTAACTATCAGTAAGTTAGTTAATATCCACCAATATTGCTCTATCCAAGGCCCCGGTAGTTAACTAACTCCAGCCATTTTTCATCCGTTGCATGTATGAAAGACAGCAGAGGCACATCGAAATACAGCACTATACAGCACTATATTATCGGAACGACAGCGAATTTTGGTGGCGGGCCAGCCATCTAACCCTTGATGACGTTGCGTCCGGTATGCTAGGGCAGAGTGAAATCAGAAACTCTGCCTCCCCATCAACTTGGCTCTCTCCCTGTTCGTATAACCTTGATTTTCAACTGCAAGCTGCTTCCCAGCTGTATGCGTAGCCTCCACAAAACTAACTCTCGTCCCGCCGAAGTCCGCTATGTCCGAATGTCCAGCTGGTCATCTCTTGGCTATATACCACTTACCAAGGCGATGGAGGCCGGAATTTGCTGCTCGCAGTTATCCTTATTCCCGAAACGAAGCTCTCCCGAGCATGTCATAAAAGAGAAGCTGTTCTTCTAGCTAGATTTTTAAAGCGAATCTCCAAACACCCCGTTGCGTTTTATTGCCAAAAACAGACCCACATAAAGAGTCAAATGGAAAATTCCTATCACGACCAAAAAAGAAATAGAAAGAAAGAAAGAATCACAAAATATGGTTGATTCTCCAGTCTGGTTCATCACCGGCGCATCTTCCGGCTTTGGATCTGCGCTTGCAGAAGCGGTACTGAAGGCAGGCAACCGAGTCATCGCCTCGGCGAGAAACCCAGAGAAGGCTAGACGAGAGCTCCCACAGATTGAAGAGCTTGGTGGGAAATGGCTACAGTTGGATGTCACCACAAGCGAAGTAGGGGAGAACGTCCAGGGAGTGATACAGGAGTACGGCAGGATTGATGTTGAGATCAACAATGCTGGATATTCCCTTCTTGGGACCCTAGAGGATATGAGGTAAGTGGCCAGATGGAATTCAACTGTTGTATATTCCCAACAGCGAAAACTTTGTTGTTTATGAAATTATTATCATAATGATCTATCTATTCTTTTCGAAAATTCCAACGGGTGGGCTGATGATGAAATTAAATAGCGAAGCTGAGATCTATCAGCAGTACAACACAAATGTCTACGGCCCAATCCGAGTGATGAAGGCAGTCATTCCGTCAATGAGAGCACGCAAATCAGGTACCATTGTGAATTTTACTAGCATCGCCGGCCTCGACGCGCGTTTGGCCTGTTCTATGTACGCGGGTAGCAAGTTTGCTCTTGAAGGTACGTCGCTAATAGGCGGATGATATCTCCAATTCCGCCCAACAAACCTTCGTTAACATACAAAACCTAAAAGTCATATCGGAGTCCCTCGCTTGTGACCTCGCCCCCTTTAACATTCGGCTTCTCATCGTTGAGCCGGACGCATTCCGCATAAAATTTGCAGCTGCGATCCAAACCCCCGCGGCCGTGGAACTTCGAAGCCGTACGAAGGCACGCCCGTGCATGAGACGCTGCAACGTTTCCTCACCCTTGATGGCAAACAGCCGGGGGATCCCGTCAAGGCCGTCGCGAGAGTTATGGATGTGATCAACGGGACTGGCATGGGCGATGGGGAAACGGGCTTCTTACGACTCCCATTGGGGCCTGATTGTGTGCAGAGGACACGGGACAAGATTATGTCGCTTCAGCAGAATTTTGATGCCATGGAGGAGATAGCCCTGAACACAAATTTTGATTAGGCCTATATTGCCTACGGACCCTGAATCCGGGATAGAGCTTCAACAGATCTTAACGATCCGTGGAAACGCCCGCTACTAATATCTAGCCGCGGTGATTGTTATAGTCTATACCTTTACACTCCCGCTTCAGACCTGTATGATGTTTTTTCAAATCGTCTTCTGTATGTGAGGCATCGGTAACTTAGCATTAAATAGGCTGTTGAGCGTCAGTATTCGTTCTTCGATTTCTCAAATAGCTTTTAGGATATAACGTACGTTCGTTATATATATGTGCGTATGTACATGTACATGAGCATTGTTATTAGTAGATATGTTGACTCAACCAGTGTTCGCCAGCTACAAGAACGCAGCCTAGCTATAGAAGCAAAAAGATCCAAAAGCTCAAAAACACTAATTGACTTTCTAGGTAAAAAGTCAGCCGCGCTTAAAAATAATCGAGATATTCTTCGCAGCATGCCCTCGAAAGACCGTCACTTGCACGTCGCACTGGGCTGTTTCCTACCCCGCGCGCCTGATGTGTTGGCGATGAACTAAATTTTTGAAGCTTCAACTGCGATCCTGGTCAACGCTTCTAACACCCCGACCATGCCATAAACACAGCCATGAAAGACTGCATATATATGATACAGCCTGCGCCGCCTGGGCATGAGAAAGCACCACCCCTTGTACTCATTCACGACGGTGGCGGAACAACCGTATCATATTGCTATTTAGATTCCCTGGACAGAGCAGTCTATGGTATACAGAACCCGCGTCTGTATTCCGGCCAGCCTTGGGACCATGGACTCCCGGAAATGGCTAAGGTGTATGCGAACCTGATACTTTCAGTTGTGCCATCGGGACGGCTTCTATTGGGTGGTGAGCAACCCCATAAACTAAGGATTGCAATATCGTTGTTTACCTTCTGACACTTTCTACTTAGGATGGTCACTAGGCGGAATTCTGTCGTTGGAAGTGGCCAGCATCCTGCTCAGGACATCCACGGTCCGCATTGTCGGGTTGGTCATGGTTGACTCTATCTACCCACTGGCGATTTCGCAAGCCAAATCGAATGTTGTTGGCCCTCAGCCAGTGTTTAACAAAGATACCCGGCCCGAAACCCGCCGACTTGTTTCCCAATGCATGGAGTTGGCTCAACCTATGGCCGATAACTGGATTCCACCCGTGTGGAGTGGATGTAGCGACTCGGATTTGATTCTGAAAAGGGCTAAATTAGAGAAAGAGCTCTCTTTGATTGATTCGAAACCGTCAACTGAGGCCGTGGCACCTGATGAGACTCACCTTGATATGAATTGGAGTCCGGAAAACGGGGCGACGGTATCGAACATCGACACCCAGCTTCCATCCATCCCCAAAACGATTATCCTTCGTTGTGACGACTACGTTCCAGTGTCAAGGCCAGACCTACCGGATGCAGTCTGCAGGGTCGATGTCGTGCGCGAACTTCGGATTCTGGGCTGGGAAAAGTATCCAAATCATTTCACGCCCACAGTCTTGAGCATACCTGGCCACCACTTTAACATGTTTACAGATGAATATGTAAGTTCTCCTTACATGTACTGTATCATGGATCCATTTGAGTGGGTATAATGGGGATTTACTTACACCTTTGTCATTTAGATTGATGAGGTCTCAACTCAGATTAAACAGGCATGCAGAATGCTGGAGCGTGATTGCTAGGTCCTATATAGGATAGATATCCTTTAGGATACATTTTCGGTCAATTTGACAACAGGTTATCACTGACCTGATTGAAATTTGTAATCGTTGTTCTCTTCTCCTTCCCTGTAAAAAGAACTGAACCTACATCAGTTTTGAATATTTGTTCTTTCTTGTCTACAACATCTTCTTTCACATCTCTGCACTGCAACAAGCTACCCTGATGAACTACTTTGCATGCTGGAGAAGCTGTAATACTTTTCTAGCTTGCATCCTCCCACTACTTTCTTTGTACAATTCAGTTGTTTCCTCATCACCATTGACCTGCCTTGTTTGACCCAAAAGACCATTGTATATTGCCCATCATCAGCCAAACACCGTGTTCTTGATAGAAAGAAGCTCTTGCTTCTTTAGCAGTGCATCGGTGCTTCCGTTATCTACCGAATTACATGTTTATATCGAAGCCGTCTGCTCTGCGGCATCGAAGACCGGCCTATTTTACTCGAACACTTTCCACATTTTCAATACCCGTTCGGGACTGGCGTGCCATCGAGCGTCTATAACATCTTGCTCCATCGCAACAGTAGCATATCACCACCACTGCCCCTGGGACACCGATCCACATCGCAGTGTGATATACAAGTAGGTGTCACCCAGTCCTTAGAGAAACAAAAGTGGACCTGTAAAGCGCAGTGCTGAATCAAACCTACACGGGCTAACAAACAAGCCACGACGGAACATACGCAGAAATATCCTTTTTGCACGCACAATGTGCTTTCAATTCCAATATATCTACAGCTGTACTCATATTACTTATGGTCCCAAATTTGGCCCTTGTCCTACGCCCTGCCCTGACCGCTGGGTCACGTTCATCCCCGTAAACATGGGTGGTCCATGCAGCTGGTGTAGAGCACCATACAACCGATAGTGGCCATGTCGAGCATCAATGACGAAACATGAGCCACGGTCTTTTATTAGTACTCTCACACGCACGAATCGATGGCGTCAGACTCATTGCGACCATTTGTCCTCAGGGGATATTGAGCGAGAAGATTATCGATCATACTGGGTTTATAAGTCAGGGGGGATTATAACCTTCTATCATCTTTGAGACTCAGAGCTTTCTCTTTTCGCAGAACTTTGATGGCTAGACTTTCGATGTCTATTTATTCATGTGATGGTTAAACCCGAGGAGAGGGGGGGAAAGGAGAGGGCGGTTGAGAGCTATACTTTTTTTTCCCTTTTTTTTCCCTTCTTTTTTTTCCCCTTCTGGCAACTCAATTTGACGACGTTACGCATATGGTAAGGTTTTGAAGTTTATAGCATGAAATGAAGTCCTTGAAGCTATGTAGTTATCATTGTGTGCATGATATAATTTCCCACTGCAGGTTGACTGGCTAGTTCCGAATATTTAACTTAAATATTATCGGGCCAACGGTTTTGTAGCGTAATCTGTCCATTTAAAACCCCCTTCGCCTCTTGATTTGCTAACTCCTTGTTTGTTATTTATACTATTGATAAAAAATATCCATCTCTACGCTAATTCAACCCAGAATATTGTCTTCTATGTATTCTTAGCCGTAATACTGCCTATTATTGGACCTGTCAACACCAACATACGCCTACTCTCTTGCCTCTCGAATATTCTCATTCCTAGGTGATACTCATCCTTGGATCCTATCCCATACGCTCCGGGGCGATAATCCAGCGGACCTAAATGGGGAATTAAAGAGGACAGCGTCGTTCCAATTGAATTATGAGAATATCACCGATGCGGGAATCGGTGAGCTGCTGAATAAAGAAGAAGGGGAAATAAACGCCAGGCGCTGCTGGCAATTATAGAGGAGGCCTGCAAATAGACCAGGAATGGAAGTTCATATGGCAACTCTCATCTTCCTCATTATTAACCAAAGAGGTGGCGCCAGCACCCAGGGAGCAAGTCAAAGAGGACAAGTATCTTAGTAAGTAGTTATATGGTTTGTGGTGGGGTGGATAGCGTAGTGGTAAAAGTGCTGTCCATGGAAGGCTGTGGGGGAATGAGACACGAAGGTTGCAACTTGCAGGATTAATATTGAATCATGCCTCCATCATACGATTGATTTTATCATAAAATGATTTTATCATAATCTATTGATCACATTCATATTCTGGGGCCAATTTTGGCTACAGAGGGTTAATCAATAGATAGAATGATATTAAGTTCTAGTGTATGAAGATTGTCTTTATATTCACTTAGATTTAATCAGATTTTGATAATTTTCTCTGAACAGTCTAGTTTCGAGATATCAAAGAATCAGAATCATAATAGATTTCAAATTAAGAGTAGTGAAAGAATTCTTCTGATCAATGATGTACTGTATATTACAAAAAAGCTATGTAATTGGTAAAAGCCTGTTTGAGACCCTGTATACATCTAAATAGGCGTTTTAGACGATGTTACAATTGGCACATATCAACAATACTGATTGTATTAGCAAACAAGATCTTCTCATTGGAGATTGTATAAGAGCTCTAGCTCTGAGAGTCTCTATTTAGAGTCTCTTTGCCTGAGACACTCTCTATACTCAGGCCAGTCTCCATAATCAGAGAGTCTCTATACTTGGGGACTTCTATATCTGAGAGTCTCTATACTCAGTTATATCTGAGAGTCTCTATATCTGAAGGGGGCTCTATACCCGGGGGGCTCTATTATGGCTGAGGTCTGAGACTGTTGAGAGGTTGTGTGGAGCGCATAGGTAAGACTGACTAAACTATATATAGTAATATACTGACTATATTAGGGCTAAAATATTGTAACTATTGGTGTGTGTCTATATAATATAAATAAAATATTGTTTGTGAAGCTACATAAACCCGCCGCTGACTTCAAACATGGAAAACGCCCCTGGAGCCGACGATCGAAACGAGCCAAATTATATTTTCCACGAGCTCGATAGTTTCCTCCTTCAACCAAGTAGCCAGGCTCCATGGTTCCTGATGCGATTAGTCCGCCACCAGCGGAGGAGTGAAACAACGCGCGAGTGGTCATCGCACGGGGGTCATCATTTCAGCATCAGCGACGATTGCCAGACAGTGTACTCCGTACGGAGTAGTTATGCTTTTATCTGGACGAAGTTTTCAGCTGATCGAGCGGGCATGTCGAGACGAAGGCGGCTCTCTCTCTCTCTAAGTTTTAAATTAAACTCACCCAAGACCAAATAATATTAACCACTACCATACTTGAGGCTGCATCATCCGCTACTTAAAAAAAAAATGCATCGCCACACTCTATTTACCCACACCCCAGATGCCCCAGATTCATGCGCGCCTTCAAGCCCACAAAACCCCGGAGTAGCCGGCCGGGGTTCGGCGGTTGAATCAAGCTTTGGTAATTCCGCCTTCGCTCTTGGTAGAGATCATTCGCGGCCAAACCTCGCAAAGATGCACAAAGACTACTTCTGGTTAGGGTTAGGTATTCCCGGCCGCCTCCAACGGGCTCAAAGGTCAGTAGCGTTGCAAAGTCAACAATAATATCACTGTCGCACGCATCCCGGCGGAGATCATCGCTGCAGGCTGGTGATCCTTTTGCCGGAATCATTTCTGGATGCAACCTTGTTAGAAGACTAAACTTTTGCTGGGTGCTGTCGGAATGCATCCGTGGCATGGACGTCCTGATTTAGCAGCGAGTTTCGAGTCTAGCCCTTTTCTGGGGCAGGCATTACTGAATATGGCACACTATCTTGCCTTCATATCTTGGAACCTCATTAACTCTCTCCAAATAGGCTTGCTGAACCGGAAGAAAGGAGGGCGTGTAGGGAGGTGTCTTTCATGGACGATTGTGTGTGGAATCACCTCCGCGCTTTCGACAGCATAAATAAATATATAGCTGTTTATCCTTGCTTGCGCAACGAGGGACCGCTTTACGACTGACTCCGTTTAGATTTCTTAACATTTCCCTGCTGTTTTATACTCTGGGGGTAATTCCTCTTCCTTATCTCTTGCCCTGTCACTTTTTTTCCCCTTTGCGTTCCTTCCCCTATTGCATTGGATTGTGTAGCTCTACGATACTCTCTCTCGATGGAGAAAAACGAAGGAAAGACCTTCGATACGAAAGCTGACACGAGAGAGTCTGAATCGGAGGAGAATGTTGGATTGAAACCCCATGGGGAGATTGTTGGCATTGAAGTCGACGACCCAGACGCTGGTTTGAGTGATGAGGAGAGAGCAGCAATTGTATGTGACCGGAGTAGTGTCCAACTATTGTACTTGATTAAATCGACCCTGTTTGGCTTACACGGAGTTCTGTGATATGCAGGATAAGAAGCTGGTGCGAAAGCTGGATAGGAGACTGATCCCTTGGCTCAGTTTTCTCTATCTTCTAAGGTATGTTTTGCTCAGGGATATCGCCATGGTTGGTATTACTTGCTAACAGAGTAATATCCGAACAGCTTCTTGGACAGGTCAAACATCGGAAATGCGAAAATAGATGGACTACAGGACGATCTCAGAATGACTAATAGTCAATACAATGCCACGCTGACAATCTTCTTCGTCTCTTACTCGCTCCTCGAGCCGCTCACCAACGTTTTGCTCAAGAGGTTTCGGCCAAGTGTGTTTATTCCGTCCATAATGATAGCTTGGGTATGTTTGCCCTACATGCTGTTATCTGGACATATATTTGCCTAATATTTTCGCTACTAACATTCTTCGTGTGCTTTAAGGGACTTTGCTTGACATTTATGGGTTTTGTTCGAAATTTCGCTGGCCTCATGGTAGCGCGATGGTTCCTAGGAGTCGCTGAGGCCGGACTATTCCCCGGTGTGGGATACTTGCTGTCCTGTTGGTACAAGCGATCCGAATTTGGTATTCGTATGGCTGTTTTCTTTTCTGCGGCGGCGATTGCTGGCTCGTTTGGCGGTCTCCTTGCGGCCGCTATAGCCCAGATGCGTGGTGTTGGTGGGAGACCAGGCTGGGCGTGGATTTTCATCTTGGAAGGACTCGCGACTGTTGTCATTGGCGTTGTTTCATTCTGGGTTGTCGAGGATTTCCCGGATCAGGCAACTTTCCTGTCAGAGGATGACCGCAAGAGGGTGATCCGTCGCCTGGCCTCCGACAAGCAATCGAGCGCTGGATTGGAGAAATTCAGAATGGAGTATTTTTGGGCCAGCGTGAAAGACTGGAAGACTTATACTTCAGCCATCATATACATGGGTTGTGATGGGTCGCTTTATGCGTTCTCTCTTTTTGTACCGACGATCATTAATGAGCTAGTAAGTACAGCAGTGTATACAGAGGGGAGAATATTTTCGGAACTTAACTAATATCAATATTAGGGTATTTACGACTCTTTCCCATCAATTTCGAATGTACTTTTAACACCACACGTCTAGGTTTCTCTTCGACTCAGGCTCAGCTTCTAAGCGTTCCGCCATATGCGGTTGCGGCGGTCTTAACAATCACTGTGGGATATATCGCGGACCGCACTCGTCAGCGGGGCATTTGCAACATGGTTGTGTCGTTGTTTGGTATCGCAGGGTTCAGCATGCTCCTCGGCTCCCAGACACCAGCGGTGAAGTACATTGGAACGTTTCTCGGAGCAATGGGCATTTACCCTGCGATCTCAAATACGATTTCATGGGCAAGCAATAATACTGAAGGTACAAAAATGTCTCCCTTGGAGCCAATAACTGCTTTTTACCATTTTTACCATTTTTTCCTTCCGTTTTTCTATCTACACAGGTGATTCTAATTGCAATACAGGTGTGTACAAACGCGGTGTCACGCTTGGTTTCGTTATTGGATGGGGGAACCTGCAGGGCTGCGTAACATCCAACATCTATAGAGGAGACGATAAACCGGAATTCTACCCAGGCCACGGCACTGTGCTCGGATATCTATTACTATTCCAACTAGGCGGGAGCATTGCACAGTACGTTCTCCTTCGGATGGAGAACAGGAGACGGCTGCGCGGAGAGCGTGATTATTGGGTGGCTGGGCTTGATGAGAAGCAGGTGGAGATGAGAGGGGATATGCGTCCCGATTTTATATACACTCTTTGATCCCCTCAGTTGCGAGTTGGGAGACTCGGAAACCTTTACTATTAAGGGCGAGTTGCTATTATTTCTAGGCTATGTCAGTTTTTTAGCCTGCGTTGTTTGGGGTGTTGACCTTGACTTAAGGTTTTATGATCAAGATCGAAGTTTTTTATTTTTTTAGATTTACTCTTTCATCCGCCGGTTGGTCAGTATGAATATACTTTGTTAATTTATTTTGACATGTACATCTTCTGCTGTCTCTTTCTCCTTGATCAGAGCCAGGCTGGAAATGGGGGTTCCAATTCTCGCACCGTTCTTCTATCATTGAGAAGACCCTAAAACTCTGGTCTATGGAACGGACAAAGCAGATAGGAGGCAACATTCCATATTCATCGCAACTGCAATTATTTCTTAGACTATTCTACCTCTTTCTACTACATCTCCTCATCAATTCCTTTTCATTCCGCATGAATGCCCATACTTGGAAGTAGAGGGAAGAGACAGTACCACGTGACCAGCCAGCCTCATCCCTGCCCCTTAATTCTCACTGCTGTTGTCACTTCAACTTCTCATCATCCATTCTTCAGTCTACGATCTTTTTCTTCCCTACAGAGTTTTTATCTCTCTTTATCTCTTTCACTTTTTTCTTTCACTTCTGATCTCACCAGCTACATAACACTTGCCGCTTGTATAGTGGCCTGGGGAAATCTCCTTCGGTTCCCTTTCTTTCAAAACATTACAGCTCTCCGTTAGCGAAACCCCAGGAACAGCACTTCATTGAACAATTGCCATCCTTTGTCTTCCTTCTAGTTGTTGAGGCCTATTGGTCAATAACACCGGAATGGAAAACCCCGTATGTAGCCTGTCAAGACTGTCGGCCTCCCAGGTGGAGCGGGCTTCATTTACCCCTGGTAGCAGTACGCTGCCAAAAGCAACCGTAACGAACCTGTTCTGGGAATCGGTTTCAGAAGGGGCTCTCCAAGCTCTTCAACGGCGACTAGCTGAGCAAGATGCACGCATCTCGTTGCTTGAAAAGGAGCTGAGAAAGAATCGACTTGAACCCAGAAAGTCCGCAGAGGAAACGGTCGAAGGCTCAAAGGAAAGCTTGCCTGGAGCTCGATCCGAATCTGTGTCGTTGCTCAACTTCAACTCCAAGCCTGCACAACCAAAGGAAGGGGGCGCTAGTCTAGCAGGACTAGACGATGGCGTTATATCCTCTCAATTGCGGTACCAGATGCTCCAATTCAAATTATATTCAATTCAGCAACGCCGCTCAAGTGTCGCAGAAGATTCTCCTTCATTATCGTCCCCTCCGGGGCAGAGACCTGAATCATCGTTATTTGACGATTTGAGCCCGCCATCAGAGGAGCCCATTACTCCAAGCCAGGAATACTCACTCGACGACCTCCGTGCATTTGAATCTCATTTAGAGATGAAAGAAGCATCTTCTTGGAGCAACCACGGCGATGGAGCTCAGAAAGGGACAACCAAGACTCTACTTGAAGGCATTGGATCACCAACAGATATCCCGCAAGCATATGGAGTAAGGGCCAAGCCATTGCTATTAGTAAATATCATTTCAGCTCGAATTTAAATCCTTCTCTAGATTGAACTAATTTTTTATGGAGCAGGTCGTTCCGGGGGAAGCACGTACAAAAAGTGCCAGTCAACCAACTCCAACGCCATGGGATGGAAAAGTGAAATACTCACTGCCCATATCCTCCCCCTTTGATAACGTCCACCAGAAAAATCGTGCCCTTAACGCACTGCGCCATTCCGAATACCCTCCAGGTCTCTTCCAACATGGACTCTTCTTTGACCCTCCCAAGTCGGAAGCGAATTGGTGCAGGACTGTAGCCATCACGAACCTTCCACTCAGCTGCTGCTTGAGACACCTATTTCAAGGTGTGCGCGGCGGCACTATATTATCCGCCCATTTGATGAATATGGAACGCGCTGCAGGTTATCATATGGGGATTGTCACCTTCGTTTACGAGAAGAATGCAAAGGCATACGTCGAGTTTTCCAAGAATCACGGAGTGTTCTTTGATGATCAGCGCGCCAGGGTCATAATGTTTAAGCAACCTACATATCCAATGTCAGGAGATATAGAACGGAAGGTCAGTCGTGGCCACACGAGGTGTATTTCCATCAAAGGCCCCCGTGACCCTGAGCGGTATCCCGACGTTGCAGCATTCGTCGAGAGGGAGCTTCCTGTCTATTTCGACCTCGGGGATGATATGGTGGAGAATGAATCTAGTACTGAGATGCGGATTCATTTCAATTCAATCAAAGCTGCCAGTGCTGCCATTGAGGCATTTCGGGGGTATAAGAGACTCGCCAACTGCGAATTGAGCTTTGCCCCAGATCCATGCTCAGGACCACTGCCCGTTTGCCCCTGCCACTAGTAACTACTACAGATCCAAATATTTTGCCCAGGGGAGCATCATCCACACTCTCTCTCTATGATTTCTTTTGCTGGCCCAAAAGCGCAAATGCGCATCAGTTAATATCACTTCGTACGTTATTAACAGCTTGATTATTTTCTGTTGATCTCGTCCTTCTTGACAAAAGAATTTAAAGCTCGGGCACATTTGCTTTCAATTTCTTACTTTGTGGCTGAGAATAAGGCACTACTGTTTGCTCCCTTCCCCATTCCACATACAGGATGCCTTATTTCATCTAGTTTAAACTATGCTCCCCTTTTATGTTCACCTTACTCGCTCCTGCAAATGCTAGCGAGATGCAAAACTAGGGTTCGACAGAAAAAAAAATCCAGAGAGCGAGATCCTAGTACAAGACCTCGTTTGCGTTGTTTTTGCCATTACCCCTTTTCCTTGGTAGAAAGAAGAAAAAGAGAGTTGAATGATGCTAATTGCACGCGGAAACCAACTCGATGAAAATGAGAGAGGGGACGCGCTTATACAAAGTTTGCACAAGATGTCAACAGAATAATCCCCTACTGAAATTAAAACGCGGCAGATATCAGCACGGGGGATGAATGAAGGCGAACAAACGCGTATATTGGGACGGGGGAGGGGACATGGAAGCCAACTTCGAGCTTAATTCATGATGATAACTGCACATTTTTCAATCGATTATCGAATATCGGAGAGATCAGAACCAGAACTGAAGAAAACGATTGGAGAAGAAGTTAACACCGTAGATACTTGAATGGGAGGCGAACATAATATTCCGCATAGGACAAAAAGAAACATCAGGGCAAGGCGAAGGAAGTAAACTAAGACAGGTGAAACCCGCATAAATAAATATCTGAATGAATAAAACTACATCATCAATTCCGCTGTGATAGAGATAAATAATAAACCGCAACAACAACAACAACAGATCACAATTCCCAATCCCAAAAATCCTAAATCCAAAGCCCAACAACCCTAGCCGAAGCAAGGTACGCACAATATTCTAGGTTTGTGTTCCCCCCTTTTACATATTCCCTAGGATTTCATTCTACTCTTCCATTCAGAGGAAGTTTCGCTTCTTTCGATTGAAGGCACGCTGATCCTTCAGCCATTGGCGGTAGCCCTGGATGCTGCCGATCTTTTCTCCGTAGTAATCGGGGACCGGGTTGGAGTACGAATTGGCAGAGGGGTCAACGCGGAATCGCTTTATCCTGCTGTAGAACTCTTTTTCTTTCTATAAAGGTGAAAAGGGACATCAACTATCAGTAAGGAGTCCACGGCAAAATTAATCGATGGGGCATATAGGTGAGAGGGGGTGAAAAAAGGAAAAGCGTAGAGGAGGGTGAAAAAACGGGGAGAGCAACAGGGCAAGGGACAAGAAAACGTACCACTGCAACCGACGCCTTGTATTTTCTATGCACAAGACCCCAGAGCGAATTGCCCAATATCGGACCAAGCAGCCATCCCAGCGCCGCGCACGACGCCGTCGCCAGTCCCAGGACAATGAACGGATCAAGACCCAAAGCCTGCGCACCTATGGTATCCATATTATTCGCTGCAAGCACCTGCACGCCACCTGCAGTACTGAATACGGAAGCTATGATGGATGAGACGAGCGAGTATTTGCGGCGAGAAGCCCGGAGGCGGAAGAAAGAGTTCCAATCGAGAGGCAAGTCGTAGGGGGATGTACTGCTATGAGCAGACGAGCTGCTTGCGGACGATCCCGATGAAGAGGAAGGGGCTTGTGTGGAGGATTTACGGGTGGTGGTAGCGCGGAGGGAGGTGGTGGTATTGGCGGCGGCGGAGTTGGGATTTAGGGCGGAGGTGGAACGGTCTGGGATCCGCGAGATTGGATTTTGCTGAAACTTGAAGAGCGATTGTCCACTGCATCTAGTGCTTGCATGGCGCTTCTGCTGCTGTTGCAGTTGAGCTCTTGGGGAGCGGGCAGTGCTATATTTGCATTGCTGGTGTAGCGCGGGGAACGATGAGCTACTGGAGGAAGCCCCGGTGGTGTTGGTGGTGTTGGAGGTGTTGGATAGGATGAACGGGCTAAGGCTGCATGGGATCCTGCTGCCCAGGACCGCAGTTCGGAAGGGACCGTTTATCACGGTAAGATGCATTCTGTGGGAGTGTACAATGATCGTTCGTGTATCTGTATCTGTATATGTCTCTTTTTGTTTTATGGCGCTGTGTTGTTGCTCATCGGTGGGTTCCTAAGAAGTCTTTTGGATAGAAGGTAGTGCTGGTTTTGATATGACCATTACATAAGCATGCACTAGCCTCGGCGTGCCAATGTCTTGGCATGGATAACCAGAGCAGGAACAATGGATTGTATTGATTTGATACTCTGTAGTTTATTCGAGAAATGCCTATTTATGTTCTGTATCTCGATGGAGTATGTCTTGGTAGATTCGTTAATTGCCACCTTTCACATCCCAAGCAATCACGAAAAAAAAGTAGTATCTTTAGGAAACATGCAAATTCGTCATCAGAGCATCTATATCTATGTGCTCGGTGTTTCCGAAATTCGTTCTGTCCTCCTCAGGTTCTAAAATTGCAACAAATAAACTCCTAGGTAATCCCCCAGTGCGCGCTCGCTAATATAAATCAAAGGGGAAAAAAGAACGTCCGCTATCCAGCCAATTGGACCAGGTCATCATGACATGTAACGCGAGATCATTTGGTCATATCCATGTTGAGCGGTATATTTTCAAATGACGTAGAGTTTTTTAGGCCCGCTTTAAATCACTTGGGCGTGCACCTGAGGCAGGGTGGAGAAAACCATTCATCTGCCCGTGCAGGCGCTTCAATAGCAAGGTATTTATGGTCATCAAGGTAGCACTGAACAGGAAAAGAACAATTCGCCAGCCGGTAGTGAGCTTTTCGAAAATCGGGTAAGGGTACCTGATGGGGTTATAGAGTTAGTTCGAATTTCACTTAGTAAAGAATAGATGGCGAAACGCATACCATCCGTTATATTGGTAGCACTTCTCCACCCAAAACCAGTAGCCAAACGCGATGACGCTCGCCAATCCCATGGATGGGAGAGCCCCGATAGACCAAGGCGGTGATAGGTACAGCAGATCAATCGCCAATACTATAGCTGGGATAGCATGGAAGCCAATATCTATAACCGAATCGATTGCGTTAGTCTTCTGATGTTCAGTTCTGTCCGCCCGATCCCATCAAGGAAAATACAGCCGGGGAGCCTTACCTGCCTCCAAAGATAATTCCACCCAATCAGGCTTTACCAGCTTGGTATCAATCTGGAATTGATGCATTGTTAGACCAAGTATGTATATCATTTCCCCCCCCCCCGCCATCAAGCAAGATTGTCAGTGAGAAGCTTACGATTCTCAAGCCCCAATATAAAATACTAATCAGCACTTCCATTGGCGCGCTGCAAACCAGAAGCACATTCTTAACAGCAAACAGGCGCGTTGACAGAAAAATGTCTGCAGCCAGGCCCGCCAGGTTTGTCAATGTAGCCATACATAGACCGATGATAGTCAAGTACTGGAAATGCCATCCGTAAGCCTCGCTTCTGTGAATCAAATTTAATCAGCGGAGTTCCTGAAATGCACTGATTCACTCCAATATTTGTACTTGGGATATGTTCTACTTACGCTAGATTCGGGTGGTCGGTCATGCTATGGCATCATTAAACCACAGAATAATCAATGAGATGGCGGAAAACCGAGGAAGGGATATAAATAACCATGGTATAAAATGCGGCATATGATCGGATGTAAAATATACATCCGTTCAAAGACATCACAACCACTTACTATTTGAACGACAGAGCGAAGCTCACTAGTGCAGCTAACTAGGAATCAAATAGAACGTAAGCATTCGGTATACACTGTAACAGTAGCTAGTTATAGTGATGTAGCTATGTTGCGATAGCAACATAGATAGGAAGCGAAAGCAGCTAGGTATCAAGACAGATCTGTCACTGACATGTACTAGGGCAGAAACTCCGCGGGAGGGCGAATGCAACCGCTGAAGAGGATGTTTGGTACCAAGAAGAGATTCCAGCGGGAGCGAGGCAGTCCTCATTGTGGCAGCACCCGGAGGGAGGATAACGATGGCGATATCAATAATGGTAAACTGAGCTAGATGATGATATCCAGTGGGGTGGGCGGGGACTTTTTACGGAAGAACCGGAAGGGCGGACGTGCGTATTTATATAAATTATGAATCTTCCCTCTGAATTAAAGTAATCATGTAGGCCTACGAAATCTGTAACAAGAGGATAAGATTCAAACACGGGTTTTGGAGAAACTGAGCTGGTTCAAGCTGGCGAAATGGATCTTGGTTGGAGCTGAAATATTTGATTGCCGAAATAAGGAAAGATCGTGTTATTTTAAATAAGCCATTTCAAACCTCAACCTTCTGCCAACCACTACAGCGTATGGAGCACAAGCACATCCCTATCCAGAGGATACAAGTATACAAATATGAACTAAATACTGCCATTCTCTCGACCAATACCTAGGCAGTCACCGACCGAATAGCCTCAGCTCTGCGAAATCCGTACAGAATCCAGAGTTGACAGCGCAAGGAGCAAGGCTACACCTCTGCAGAGTCCAGATATGTATGATATAACTAGTTCTAGCTATTCTTCCAGAGGGAGATCTAAACCCGGCAGATGGTCTCTTCGCCAAAGACCTAACATGCTCCCAGCGCCGGTCAATAAAGTCCATTCCCCTAAGCTAATCTTGGACTAGACGTATTCGCAGTCATTGTTTGATCTTGCTTTAGCGCGAGATTTGGAGAGCGGATGGCTTAAGAAAGCCTGTTGGAATTACCCGTCACAGTCTCTACAGCGTAACTCTATATATATAGAGAATCTCGCCAGCTAGATTATAAGATTATAATACATACAAGATGAATGATGGATCTTCCTACAAAATCAATCATGAGAAACGATTATATCTACTCTTACGACATCAATTGGTCGAAAGCCCACAATCAGTTGAATTCCCGAGGTTATGGATCTTCTTTAAGAAAGCCGATTCGCTAGTCACCATTAGAGACGGTACTCCATAGAGACTGGTGGTGATCGAGCTCCTTTGCCCCGATGTTCTACACCTAGCACGTTCAATCTTCTGTCCACTCGGTCTGGTTTCAAAGTGCTGATTGACATCCCTTATTTGCTCTTTGGGTTCCCAACACAGGCTCCCTTGCCAATGTCTACCTATGTCTTGCGTCACTTTACACGCCATTCTCGACAAGCGGTATCACAAACAATTCTTGACAGATGGAGGAGAAATCAAATAAGGATTTCCCTTTGTACTAAAAAGCCAATTTTCTTTCTCTAACACAGCTAGCTAAATTTGGTGGTATTGATATAGAAGGGCCATTCACCCTTCAATGCACGTAGGTTTAACAAGTTAGTAGAAGGGAATACTGTATATAACTACATGTGGAGGTATCCTGGGTAATTTCTAGATCTAGATATAGAACTATGCACCAAAATTGCCCTACAGGAGTGGAGTAGCAAGCACGTTTAAGAACCCATCATATCTCGGGATTGGCTGGCACCGAGAAAGTTAACTTGGTTTTTATTAATAGAAGATGAGGTCTTCTCAGATGGATCCAACTAAGGCCAATCAAATCAAGAACCATTTCTTATTTCAAGGTTACATAGGTAGGACCCATGGATCTAAAATATTTTTCACCTTTCGCTACAATCATGAATACAATTTATGCCACTTATTTTTGCCCGGGATCAATGTCGTAAAAATGACTTCATGACAAATTTAGTCTCTGTGTCGGTAACCTCGTGTGCGCGGCAGATTCAGATTGGGGCGTCTACCAGAGCCAATAATAGGCTATCTATTCTACATGCTACGGAGTATCTAATTCAGTATCTTAGCTTTTCATCAAAAACTGTCAGGCACCCTGGTATATATGCCTACTACCTATAAAAAACTTGACAGAGACAATTGCATTGCGTGTTTCTATATATTTATGTTGCCCCAGCTACTGCAGTCATCTGTCCCACATTCTATATTAAGAGAGAACCTTGAGAGCTAGATTAAAATACACACAATGTTTGATTCTTCCACAATTTCCTACCTACGCTCCGTACATCACGTAAATACCAGCTTATTATGTTCCAATACTAACAATCCGCTCTCAAAAAACAAATCCAACCAGTCCGGCCTCATCCAGCTAGTCCACGACTTTGACCCCCATGAATTCCACACAAATATCCTACCCCTAGCAAGAGTTGTTAGCTACTTTCAAGTACCCTCCGTCCTGGCCACATCGCTCGAAACCGGCCCAAACGGCCCCATTGCCAAGGAGATTCTAGAAACGCGCCCCCCCCCCCCCTCCCCGGGGGGCCCCTGATCGGACGCCCCGGCCAGATCAATGCGATGGATAATGAGGATTTCGTCAAGGCTATCAAGGACACCGGGAGGAAGCAGGTTGTTATAAAGTACCAGTCAGTACCTGAACACCCGTTGAAAGAGTGCTCATTAAAAAAAGACGCGCTCTGAGCCTGATCGAGTAAGGGCACGACGTTTTCGTCATCACAGACGCATCTGGCACTTTTGCAGAACACACCCGAGAAGCCGCCCATAAGCGGATGGTTCAGGCTGGCTGCCAGCTGCTGAACTGGGCGGCTGTTACGGTGGAGCGTCACAGGGGCTGGCGGCGAGACATTGAAGGGTTTGGTGGAATATGGCGTGATCATGTCCCGGGTTATTGGTGCTTGATGCAGAGCTATATGTGAAGAGTGGATCCATCAGTGTCTCAAAACTCGTCCTGGAGAGGAGGACATATCCCCATTCCAGCCCCTTTCTATGACACGAAAACCTCCGGACCCCTCTCTCAAAAACCCGTTCCGCACGATCCAATTCAAATTATCATTGGGTATTCTTATTGCCATCGGGCCTCGTGGAGGCGTCATATATATTCGCCGCACCACCTACCCATGTTAGCAATAGATAATAATATAAAGTACAGAACAAAAGCTCAGTACAACTCACCCCTCCCAAAAAGAACCTTCTCCCCACCTTCCATCCCTATCCCCATCCCCATCCCCGTCCCCGTCCCCATCCCCATCCACTCCTCTAACCCCTCCACATCCACCTCTACATCCTGCGCCTTACGCGCGATGGCTGGATCGTCGTTGGCAACCATATTCCCCGACCCGCCACGGCCAGTTGTATATACATCCGAATTGATAGTTGGAGTGACGAGGTCTGCGGGGGTTCGGGATGCGACTGTTTTTTTCTGCTCCTGCTCTGGCTGTTC